TAGTAGCTCCGAACACCACGGCAAGCGCCTCTCGCTCGATGTTAGAGTAGTTCTTTTCCGCCTTGGTCAAAACACGCGAGGCATATGCAATGGGACGGAAATGACCAGGTCGCTCTTCTTGCAATAGCACCGCTCCTAGACCTACGCCTGAGGCGTCAACTTGGACCTTGATGTCCTTCGTAGTGGAGTAGAAAGCCAACGTTTCAGTGGCGCAGAGTGCACATCTGATTGCGTCAAACGCGTTGCTCTCACTAGACTCCCACTTCCACACAGCATCTTTTTTGAGTAAGGCGTACAACGGTGCCATGATGGTGGCAAAATTCGGAATGAATGCTCTGACGTAGTTCGCAGAACAACGGTGAACGATTGCACTTCACTCACAGTAGTTGGAGGTTTTGCGTCTTTCATGGCTGTAGTGCGCTCGGCTGATGGCGATACACCCTCCGCTGAGAATGTGTGCCCCAAGTAGGAGATGCTGTCAAGCATGACTTCAAACTTCTCGAGTTTTAGTTTCATGCCGACTTCTTGCAGGCGCTGGAGAACTTTCACAAGGGTCGCTCGATGCTCGTCAGGTGTTTTGCCCGTAACCACAATGTCATCGATGTATACAATGCATCCATCGATGCCAGCCAGCACAGTCTCCATGGTGCGCTGAAAAATGGCAACAGCCGAGTGTACACCGAACGGTAAGCGCACATATTCAAACAAACCACGGTGAGTATTGATAGTGGTGTACTTTCGGCATGATTCATCGAGCTCGAGCTGGTGATACGCCTGCTTGAGATCGATTTTGGTGAATTTCGTACCGCCTGACAATTTAGCGCGGATCTCAGCGATTGTAGGTAGCGGATAGCTTTCCAGCGGTGAATGTGCATTCAGAGTGCGCGAGTAATCCGCACAAATGCGAATCGAGCCATCCGGCTTTTTGACCGGAACAGTTGGCGTTGCCCATTGTGAATATTCAACTTTCTCGAGAATGCCATCGCGCTCGAGTTGATCAAGAGCCTCATCGTATTTCTCAGTAATTGCAAATGGGACTTTGCGAGGCTTGAGGAAAACCGGGTGTGCGTCGTCAACACGCAGGTTGACCTTCATTGTGTTTAGTTTGCCCATTGAGGTAGAATCAAACAGATCTGGAAATTGGGCCATAATTTCCTCACGCAGTTGAATTTGTGCCACGGTTTCATCAATTCTAGTTTTGACAGAGAAGATTTCATTCCATGGTAATTGAAACAGTTGTAGCATGTCCCTTCCCAAAAGGGATGGTCCCGAGACATCTACAACTCTGAGCTTAACGGGCGCTGTCGTACCATTCAAGGTGACATTCATTTCAAGCTCGCCCAGGCAGGTAATAGGCTTATCAGAGAAACCCCTCAACAGTACGGTGGATTTAGGTAAGGTAGACAGAACCCCACCCAGCTTCTCGAAATCCCGTTTATTTAGTATGGACACACCACTGCCAGTATCAACTTCCATGCGAATAGGGATGGGTACCTCATTGATTACAACATCCACAGCAAACGGGGGTACGCTGCCTGTAGTATCACGTACAGTATACATTGGAACGCTCTCACCTGCGTCTTCACAGTCAGAGTCGGAGGTAGAAAGATCCTCACCCATGACATGGTGACAGTCACGCTTGTCTCTCTGCAGTTTAGTACGACAAACCTTCTCCAGATGCCCCCGTTTGTGGCAGTACCGGCACTCGGCGTCCTTATGTCGACACTTGTTTGCCAGGTGCATATCCGACCCGCAGCGAAAACAACGCTTTCCGGACGCCATCGGCTGCTTGGTGGATCGACGTTCCTTCGTCATGTGTACGGGAATGTCCGTGGGAGACCCGATCGACGCCGAAGCAGCAGAGGGTGCAGTGAATTGTTTTGAGTAGGAAATGGCCAGTTCCTCCTTGCTAGCCAGGTCGATGACTTTCTCAAACGTGTCAATATCGGACTCCTTGGAGAGTAACAATTTCCGTCGTATCGTCGAGCTTGCCATGCCCGAAATAAACTGGTCCGTGAGGGCTCGGTCACGATGGGAGCCAAATTGACAATCGACAGCAGCACGCTTGAGTTTATTAGCAAAATCGACTGTAGTTTCACCCGGAGCTTGGGAGACTTGGCGAAACTGAAAGGCGGCGGTGGTTGGGGTAGTGTTCTTTTTGTAGTATTTCTCCAGTACAGCACAAAGCTCGTCATACTTCTTTGACGCGATCTCGTCAGGTAGGATCAGGGATTTCAAGGTTGAGTAGACCGTCTTAGAGAGCAGGGAAATTAGATGCGCTGTCATTCTCTTCTCCGCTGCTCTCTTTTCACCAGAAGAGGCATTGGACGCCACGACACCAATACTATTGGCACAGAAGAAAAATTCAACGCGTTCGCGATAGTCTTTGTTAGCCCCATCCCTCACACAAACAAGTCAACAAAGAGGCATCTTTGGATTGAGGAGTGCTGGTTTCGAAACAACTGGTTTGAAGCTCAAAGTAGAGCTGGTGTTAGCTCAGAGCAGAGCTGCTGTTAGCTCAAAGTAGAGCTGCGGTTAGCTCAAAGTAGAGCTGCGGTTAGCTCAAAGTAGAGCTGCGGTTAGCTCAAAGTAGAGCTGCTGTTAGCTCAAAGTAGAGCTGCGATTAGCTCAAAGTAGAGCTGCTGTTAGCTCAAAGTAGAGCTGCTGTTAGCTCAAAGTAGAGCTGCTGTTAGCTCAAAGTAGAGCTGCTGTTAGCTCAAGGTAGAGCTGCTGTTAGCTCAAAGTAGAGCTGCTGTTAGCTCAAAGTAGAGCTGCGGTTAGCTCAAAGTAGAGCTGCGGTTAGCTCAAAGTAGAGCTGCTGTTAGCTCAAAGTAGAGCTGCTGTTAGCTCAAAGTAGAGCTGCGGTTAGCTCAAAGTAGAGCTGCGGTTAGCTCAAAGTAGAGCTGCTGTTAGCTCAAAGTAGAGCTGCTGTTAGCTCAAAGTAGAGCTGCTGTTAGCTCAACGTAGAGCTGCAATGCTAAATGGATGTAATATAGCGCAAGGCAGAGCCGCAGCAAATAGCTAGATAACACCAGTTGTGAGAGTGGACCCGGTTAGTGGGTACGATAATATTATGATGGTGTGAATAAGTTGGATAGGGAGGGATGGTGGGAAAAGAAACACTGCTGAAGCACGATCCGTTGTCTGGAAGAGCACAACAGGGCAAGCAAGATTTGTTTTTCTTTTCCGCAAAAATGGGCTGGTGCCATTTGTGATTACGCAGCAAAACAAAGCGCATGACGTCAGTCTTGAATGCAGTACAAAGCAATGCAGTGCAGTGTGTGCGCTAGTTCGGATTGTTGCTAACAAGTACTAGCACAGCTAGTACACCAAAATCACCCCCGTCGAAAGGCTCGATGGTGGCGGCGTAGGGCAAGTAAGTATTCGTCGCCATTTGTATGGTCCCTGCCTAGACCATACAATGATCTAATCATGCAGTTTATACACACACGTAACTGGCTCACTCTGAACGGCTCTGAACTCGGAATGTAATTATCTTCAACCAGACTCAGCTGCAGCAAGAGAAGACTGCCTCCGAACATCCCAAAACCAACTTCACACGAGCATGCATCTCTCGTGCGCATGCTCGTGAGAAGTCATAATAATATGACTTGACTGAGGGACACAACAAGTAGGCAATGCATATGGTACTGGACCTGCAGGGATGCATTGGGGAACAGCACCATCACGCAGACGAACTTCTGCTACGTAGATCTATTCAGGAATGCAACCAAGACTGTCAGAGAATACATCTGAGAATTCACTCAACACGTCGGTAGACTCAAAATACCAGAGTGACAACTTCTAGTTCTCAGGCTTCCAGTAGTGGCAGTAGTGGCAGTAGTGCCAGTCATGCTCCTTGATGTTTTCCATTTATTGGTATGCAATTTCAATCTCTGTCCAGTCGTCTCCGATAGTGCCAGACCATGTAGCTCCTTGTCATTGTCGGGTATATCTGCGTCAGTTCATGTTAAATCCGTTAGCTTGATGTTCCTTTTTTCCAACAGCTTCTGACACGGTTTTGCATCAAACAGTGCCTGAATCAGATGATCTCTAATCTGGTCATCGTCATCGTTAAAATGACAAAACCTTGCTTGATTCCGCAGCCGGGTCACAAACTGTGTGCCATTGTCTCCTTCTGAGCCATCCGCCTGAAAACATGGCCCTTGTACAATGTAAGGCGTATTGGCAGTGACGGTGAACTGTCCGTCCAGGGCTTCAATCAGTGCCTTCAGTGCATCAGTGGCTCTTGCATCTTCATAGATGTCCTGGGTGTCTTCACCTCACCTGTGCAGGAGTAAGTAAGCCTTTGGTTCGATTGTTGTCTACGGTGCCTTCCCCTACCATGCAGTACGGGAAAGCATTCTTCCACTTGCGCCAGCACTCTGCCATGACATGGGCAGGCCCAGTTGCGTCCAGCGGCTTCGGTGGCTAACGATCTCCGGAATTGTTCATCGTTCACGCTTTAGTTTATCTTGGTCACCAATCGTTATAGCTTTTCAGCCCCACTCTTGCTGTAATCTCATGCATAGTTCCCCCACTTACAAGCACACGGTTCGGAGAGTTCAGAAATATGTTACATTGAAGGGACAGGAAGCAACTTCCAGCGCGCACAACGCATCAAGTCCTTGGCTACACAAGAAATGCTTCATTCCAAATTTTCGCCAAAGAGGGCTTGGGCAAAAAATTGGAAAGACTGAAGTACTTTTTTTTGCGTAGCCAAGCACTTGATGCGGTTGTGTGTGCTGGTAGCTACTATGATCATGACAAGACAAGGCTACAGAGGAGTTATGCTATTCTTCTTTAAAAAAAAATTAAACAGAGGAAAGACGTTCGGCACAAGCCAATGGCAGAGCACGCACAGGGGAGTCAGAGGAAAGCCTGCATAGCAACAGTAACTAGGATGGACAAGTAATATTGTCGCCCGTAAAACATGCATACAAGCTATAGCAGTGTCTTAGTATTGAATGTTTTGTTTCATGTTTGATTGTCGTCTGCAGCGTCAGTTCTTGGTTATCCATGCGCCGGGCTATTCAGAAACCAGCAGGAATGCTATTGCAGAAGCTCTGGTCAAGGTTAGGAGATAGTGGTAGTAATTTGCCAACACTCTCACCGACAACTATCCTGCCATTCTTCTGCTTGTGTATATCTCGGATTGGTTTTTCTGAATATTAGGTACTGAATATGGAACATTGGACTTTCTCTAAATTGTTATTGTGTATGTGCGCACATATGTGTATGCGTGTGTGCATATGCGTGCGTATATGTGTGCGTGTGTGTGTGTGTGTGTGTGTGTGTATGTGTGTGCATGTGTTGTTGTAGGCGGCACTGTATTCGGACACAGAGTTCGTGGAGAAACCCATCCAGGAACACATTGCCTGTGCTACCAGTCGACTCCTGAAGCAGCTACTCAAAGCTCTGACTCCAATGCCAGTACCCGGACGAGTGCATTACAATTTTTCACTGTTTGATGTTGCACAGATTGTCAAGGTATTGTTGTACTTAGCTATCGTTGTTTGCTGCCATCTTCCACATGATAGGATTCTCGTTATAAGTCCAACCTGTGGGCATGAGCCCTATACTACTTGGGAAAAGTTTCCATAGCGTATGTTTGGCTGCCCTTACATGGATGATTGCCAGGAGAAAGCCCTTCACCTCCCTAAACGGTATATCTTTTTGCGCAGTCACAATCATTTCTTAGAATGATATCTCCAGTCAGATCTATCTACTGTTTTCCTGAACTCATGTCATGTGTATCTGTGTGTGTGTACCGTTTGTCTGATACTTGCAGGGCCTCAGTCGCTTGAATAACATACTTCAGTTGGTAAGCACTAGCACGGGACATGACTACATGTACATGTACATTGTAGTTATCCGGGGAGAGAGGGGAAACCCCCTTCTTACAGTCCTGCTTAGAGGGGAAACCCCCTTCTTACAGTCCTGCTTTCACTAATACAGTAAAACCTGTCAAGGCAACCACTCGGATACTCGGATACTCGGATACTCGGATAAAAGGCAATCACCTGACCCAGAAGACCACTGCGAACAGGAACAAGGGATGCTATTTCCAGTGAAATGACCCTGGATAAGGAGACCAACTTGTAGCCGGGACCACACTTTGAAGATCCCTTGAGCGGCCGTCTTAGTCAGGTTTCACTAACACATGTATGCACCAACTCCATTGCTTGTGAACAGGTTGGGTGATCCACTACTCGGAAAGTGCTCTACATCTTCAGGCAGAGCTTTTCACACAGTGAAGAGAGATTATCATGAACAAGCGTGAAGCTCCGAGTTGCAACCGAGTTTCCTCTCTTCCCTGTATTTCCATTGTTTGTGCACGTGTGTGTTTCATGTATCAGCAAGTGATTGTCACTTTTTTATTTGGGGAAAGATACCCGAACATGCACAATGTGTGGCCATCTCATTGGTCTAGCCTAAATAACTCTGGGGCTTTACTACTAGCAGGAACAAGCACTTTCCATCAACTGCAGGGGATTCCCCAAGCCCCAGGACCATTTAGTACTAGACAGCTGTCGTGATTTGTAATAGAAATGGCACAGCTTTTGGAGTTTGTACTTTCTGCTACTTTTGTAAATTTCCTTATGTTCAGGACATGGAATTGGATGCGCAGGAAATTCCGGGCATCTTCTATGAGATGTGGCGCTACGAGGCTCGCTCTGTCCTTTTATCCAAGGTCACTCGCCAGGCTGAGGAAACCTGGGTAGCGGCAATCATTGATGGCATCATGCATGATGTAAGTATACGTAGAATCTCTCGGCTTATCATAGTCATAGTCCCACTGCACTGAGAATGGGTTTCTATGGTGACGGTGGATTGGTTTTTACGGTGACTGAGCAGGAGTTTCTATGCGCGATGGTGACTGAGCATGGGTTCCTATGACGATAGCGAAAAGTACCATCCAGAGTAGCCTATCTCGTGAGAACCCCCCCCCCCCCCCTTGGTTTACAGCCAGAGAAAGGAAGTTACATGACCGGGTGTGATTAAGTTCATACGACGTAAGAACCACACGCGTAAGGAGCAGCATGCAAGGCATTTCCAGTTTAGTGGTGCTTTCGAAATGCGAATCGAGTGTCAGGTATTCCATCGACAGCTTCAAGATGGTGAACCAGCTGCAGCTGTACAACCTCCACGATTTTGAGAGTATTGGCAGTAGCGGTGCTGGTCTGGAGTTGCTTGGTGCTGTTGGACACCTCTGCACGGGCACAATTGAACTACTGGTGCAGGTGCAGGTTTGAGCGATCAGCGATCCAACGTTTGTGGAAGCGATGGCGCTCAGGAAAACTTGATGAAGTACTCGGTGGGACCAAAGTGGGTGCATCAGGACTTGCTCGTCCGCCCCACCTCCAAAACCTGACCATGAAAGGATCTAGGCGGTAGGGTGCTCTTGAACAGGACTTTACGATATTGCCGACCAGTTCAATGCTATGCTCGGATGATGAGAACGGTCTACCCTGCATCATACTTGTCTCGGGTGGTGATGTATACTGTACCTTCTACCGATGTCAACTGACTTCTTTCTCTTCCTTGACTCTATGTGCAGGCATTTGCGGAACACTACACTTCTCCCAAGGAGCATGAGATGTTTGTGACATTGCCCCTCAGCCATGCACAATATGAACAATCTGCAGAGAATGTAAGTCTCAAATAATCGACGTGGAGACAACAATTTTATAATAGCAATAAAAAGAACAAATTCTGCAGTCATCGCCACACTACAACGAAGTCATGAAAGTTTACCAGAATTAATTTTCTTGTTTTTCACCCACCGTTGCACTTAGCTCTCACTTCACTTCTATTGTCTCACCTTCCCTCATTCTATTTTGGCACTGTATTTTGTTCTCGTAACACATCATTGAATGTATATTTAATCATTGTTCAGCATGGTTACTCTTCAGTCACGACTTTCCACTGATGAATGTGACAAGAAAATTAATTCTGGTAAACTTTCATGACTTCGTTGTAGTGTGGCGATGACTGCAGAATTTGTTCTTTTTATTGCTATTATAAAAATGTAAGTCTCCCACCACATTCTGCAGTTAGAATGTCTTTTGTCATCCTGCTGGACTGTGTGGCCGCCATGGCTTAGGGGTTAAAGCGCCTGTCTAGTAAACAGGAGATCCCCGGTTCGAATCCGGGTGGTGGCTTTTCTTTTCTTTTCTTTCGCATGGAATTAATGTTGCAAATTGTGCACAACAACAGCATATTTATTTTTCTTCACAGGATTATTTTGTGACACGATTCATCTCGCATTGGCACACCCAAAAGCGATGGAAACTCGCATCACAAAAGAAGTCAACGAAGCGATGTTGTTTTGATGATTTTTCTCAAAGGGTGTTGTGTGCGCGTGCATGTGTGTGTGTGTTTACGACACTGCAGCTCACTGTCCAGATCAGTCAAGTGAAGGAGAACTCCAAACAGTCCATCAGGCACGCCATACAGGAGGTGATCAGCGTCGACTCGCAGTTTGAGGAGTTCCACGACGTGCTGAAAGGAGAGCTATGCACGTTTGCCCTGGAGCACGTGGTACAACTGCACCGGTGTTTGGTCGGGGAAGGGTAAGATTTCAATGTCAATGTGAATGCTTCGGGAAGGGTTGGGGATAGGGAATAGGATACTCAAAAGAATGCTGCTCTGCTCTGTGTTCTATTTCAGCCGTCACCCCCACATGCTGAGAGTATTGATTGAAAGGTCCCCTTCCATACATCAACCGAGACATGGCTGTCCAACCAAGTTCAGTTTGCCGAAGGCAATGATCCATTCATAGAGGCTATCCAGAGGTCATGACTGCAGTACCTTATGTATACGCTTCATCCGTATTTGGGCAATTTTCCATCTCGTTATGGCTCTGCCACTTCTTTTAGCTCCATAAGTGGACTACCTGTACTAGATCTGGATATCCTCTATGACATCATCAACGAGTCAACGAATCCTCAATGACATCAGCAATGAATATTCAACATCATCAACTATTGCATTTTCTTTCTTTTTTCTCTTGTAGAACACACGTTGTGTCAGTGTGCACAGCGAGCCACAAGAACTCATCGCTTGTCCGACTTGCCTTTCTGCTCTCCAATCATCGTGTGTTTGACGTCGTGCCCGAACCCACCGGGGCGTTCTTTGAGTGCCTGCGGACCGTGTTCAAGCTGGCCGTGTGTGAAAACAAGCTATGCGGTCTCGTGGTGGAGGTGAGTTGATTTTGCACGGTGTCTGTTGTGTGTCTGTTGTGTGTCTATGTGCTCTATTTGTGAGCTACATGCAGTTTTAAATGCATCTTCCACATATCGTCTAGGATACTGGCTATTGGCTATAATAGTATATGGTGCTACTCAATCTCCTACAATATGGTGCTATTAGATGTACGGAAACATTATTATTTTAGCGTTAGTATACCCGGTGCCACTGCGGACAACAGGCCAGTATTATTGTTATGCTATTTCTGTTATTCAGGCCCATTCCCCACTAAGTAGTATTCCTTCATTAGTTGTATACATGTATGCCCATTACCATGGCAACTCTCCACCATTACCATGGCAACTCTCTACCATTACCATGACAACTCTGTACCATTACCATGGCAATATGCATGCCGCTTCTCTCTGAACACACAGGGCGAGCAGTTCGACAATCCCGTAGTGCTGGAGGCAATGAATAGCCTGATGACTTGCGGAGAAGTAGTCGGACTGTTCAGCGAGGATGAACTGGACGGTCTGATCCAGGTAGGTATTCTGATTCAGAGCTACTGACTTGTAAGAATGGCAAAAGTGGTACTGGTATACTCTTGCGGAGAAGTGGGTCTAGGAGTTGCTTCAGTCATAACTTCTATTCGTGTCAGGTACCATAGCTCACAACATGCCCTGCGCATAGTTTACCAGGTGACTGGAGATATCCCGCCTTGTATGTTCTGCGTAGCCTCTAGAATTCCTCGTTTAAAACATAATACTATTCTTGGCTAGTTTCGCTCTGTAGACGCTCCCATTTCTGCTTCTTTTTCTTCTTCTCTAATCCAGAGCCTACACCCCATGCTCTCAGTGGAGTACCCGCAGTTTCTCACGTGTCCAACTCAGTTTGTTCACAACAAAATCCGCGAGAATCTGCGAATTGTCGTGTGTCTCCTGCCGGACAGTCGCTTCCTGAACTGTGCTGAACGGTAAGTGAAGAGGTGTTGTGTACACTCTTGATGGGCTGACTCGATTAACTACGGCTTGGGGCAAGCATATACATGAGTAGCATGGTAGAACATGTGCAAGTTGTTGCAGGGAGGCATTTTTCATATCGGATGTTATTTGAACAGTGCGGGTGTTGGGAACTTGAGCCCTCACTGCAGTATGCTCTTGTTCGATATTCTCTCAGGCTGTGCCCATCACTGCTGTACAAATGCCAAACACTCTGGCTGCACAACTGGAGTCAGAAAGATCTCGAGGAAGAAGCCAGATATACGCTGTTCCAGCAAGAGCGCATTCCTAGGCTGAGCCGTGGTCTAGAGTGAGTGTTTGTTTCATTGGATACTGGTGTTCGTCTTGTTCCGAGTCTAGTTATTTCTGATGTGTAGTACATTTTCGGTGCTTTTTTGGTGGTGTTTTGATACTTTTGTCGTGTAAACATGAGGCCAATGAACTGTGGGGCAGTTTGAAGATAATTTAGTGGTGGCAGTTGCATGCTTCATGATGTGTGTCTGTGTCTGTGTCGATACTTGGCCAGTAACAGGAGTGCATGCTAGTCTACATGTACAATGGTGGAAAATGAAATCCAACCTCATGAATACGACAGCTTCGGGGTGATACAAGTGTAGCACTATCAACACTAGGCAGTGGCTGGAACGTGCCGGTCCTTTATCCATGTGGTTGGATTTCATTAGGCACCGCTGTAGCTTGCTATGGGTGCTGTACACAGTGCGGCTTCTCATAGGCATGCTCCCCTGTGCTCTGTGCTCTTGTTCTGCATTGCAGATTGTATCTGGTCAAGTCGCTGGCTGCATGCCACCTTTTGATGCGCAGTTACAGCAGGCAGGGTCTGTGGAGAGGCCCAGAGCCGGAGAAAGAGGCCCCAAGACAGGCCGATGCAGCCGTGCAGCAGGAGTCCTCCTCGCCACCACTGCTTGCCAAGGCCCTGGCACGGCACCGTGCTCAGATGCACATACCACCACCAGCGGAGCCCGGCAGAATGCCTCGGAAGACGTCACAACTTGTGAAAAGTCACACAGGAAACAAGACTTTGAATCCTGCCCTGCTCGAAGAGATCCAGGAGAGTGATGATGCAGCTCTGCCGTTGCAAATGACCAATGCTGCTATAGTAAAGGAAGCTCTCGAAGCAGAGAACTGTGAGGCCTGCACCCGCAGACTGCCGATTGCCGAGCGCGTGCATGCGTGCTTTCTCGGCTCAGGTGATGCTGATATCGACGATACACCTGCGAACACCAAGCTGTCATTGGACTTTATTGGTGCGGGGACGTTCCGTCACTTTGTGAGCGTTTTCAAGCAGCTCTACCTGGACAAGGTGGCGCAGTCTTCAATATCCAAAGATCAAATGATGTAGGTGACTGTTTTATAGCCTTTATTTATTATAGATAGCAATGAATAATATTAGTTCCGTGGTTATGCCACACAACAAAGAAGTCTGAAAAGATGTTTAACCGCGGAAGTTTTGTTTTTTCACGGCTGAGCGTAGCGAAAGAGTGCAAAAAACGTATTTTTCACTCACAAATATTTTCGTGCATTTGCTCTTGTTCTGCGCAACTCCGTTGAACCTGCCATCGTGGTCTTTGTTTTTCCTCGTGGTAGTTGAAGTTTTCAAGTGCTCCAGTTTTTAGTTTCCACTCGCAGCCACACAACACCACAACTCATCTTATTATTTTTTCAGAATAGATCTACAGTGTAATAGTCCAGGAGAAAGAAACGACAGTGCCGTGCACCGTCTATAATGAATCGGTCCAGCCTACAAAAGGTCCACATCGCCTGGTTGGGCCTGCAAACTGATGTACCAGTAACCTGACGTTTTTGGGAGCTGCAGATCGATCTGCGAAAGGCGGAAACAGCTAAAACGAGCTGAGCGTAATCCGCCACGCACCACTGCGGCAAGTTTGGTACCAGGCGGAGCAGAGTCACCGTTGCGCGTTGACAGCTACACAAATCAGGGCGTTTCGGACGACCAGCAAAGATTGTGGAGGTAAAATTTAGTTGACAAAACAATTGGTCACTCAGTTCCGACATGTCGAGTCGACACCTACCTGTACCGCAACCATACTCTTCAAAGCTTCAGCGAGTCCTTGAGAGTTTTCCGTGGGCGCAGTGATGAGATCGAGAGTCTACGGAGTCGGTGATGAGCGCTGTCGATCACAACATCGTGTCCCAAATGGTGGCGAAGCTCCTGGCAGAGGTGACACCGCAGTCATACTGAAGTAGTTGTCTGATATCGTGGCGAAGGGCAGCAAGGTCGTAGCTGTCTGTTGACAACACCAACCGGAGTTCACTGGGACAGCCAGCCAGTTTTCGGACCGCACATGGACCGGAGAGAAAAGATAAGTATCAGTACTTGAGACGGTGGATGTTTTTTCGATAATTTAAGAAGTACATAATCATGTAGTTGACACGATCGAAAGGGGTGTACAGGCCGTCGTATTCAAGGGAGCAAACAAACACCCAGCCCGTACCGCTCTAGGCCCTACACAGGGTGCATGATCAATGTCACGGGACCATCAGAATGTTATGGATGTGCAGAGCAATGTACATGACTGTATCGTGTTTGTAGAGGCAACCATGAACAACAAGAGTAGTTTGTCAGTCTGAGTACAAAAATCGGGCAACAATGGCATGGCAGTAAATGTTGTCCAAGTCAAACATCGTGCAAAATGCTAGTAGATTTCCGGCCAGGTGTAATCGGGGTGTAACAGATTTCGACGTCCGCAGCCATCGGACACACAAGGGGGGACAATTGGCCGGCAGGACGAGACATATGTTTGTTTGTTTTTTCACGGGTGGGGCCCACCAGACATGGTTCCGGAAGAAATTCACGCAAATGTTGACTGCTTGCTGACTTCAAACTTGTGTTCCCGAGGTGCCCATCCACCTCACTCACGTCAGATAGTAGTAGTATTATTCACACATTTCTACCGAATGAGTACGCGGCTAAGCAGTACAGGGAGCCAGCATATGTTCTCTCAGCATAAAAGCAAGCAAAGAATAAGGAGTACATGGGCAATGGAAACAGTTCCAAAGTACAGCCTGGGATTGTATGAGTGCAAACAAGTACGACAATAGTCATGGGCTATTGCAGCAAGCGACAACAACACAACAGATAATGGGACAGCAACCGCAGGGGGGCATGCGATGTTAACCAGGGGTGGGAAGAAATACTGTCCAGGTTTCCTTCATCCAGAGTGTAAGACTAGGTTCCCGAACACGCTCAATATCAGTGTACGTTCCAGACGGAGCGATAACTAAAGCGGCAGGTAGCGCGTAATCCTCACTCGGTCGCTGCAGTCTGCAATGTGCGAGGTGAGGTAACATGATGGCACACTGCACAACTCCACTGTTGTAACACCAAACCAATTCATAAAAGTTAAGCCACCACTTTGATTGTGTAAGGTGTGCGAGACACCCCAGTCAGCTGCCAGGCCAAGTCAACTGGTTAAAGCTTTACGTATCTTGATCTCGCTTGTGCATGCCGTCCTTATGTTTTCGGTGTTGAATCTTAATGAAGTATTTATATATGTTTTCCTCTTGCTGTCCTTTCAGTACCAAGCCAGTACCTAGGCCGTGGAACAGACACCGGATCACCCACGACTGGACATGATGCAAGCGATTGGGAACGGCCTTGTGTGGTGTATAAATGGGTAACCCGGCTTGCCATTATTTAGTGTGTATGTGAGTGATGACGGAGTGAGTAAGAAGCCCGATGGGCAGTGATGACACATGATTGCGTAGGGCTTGATGCCATACTCACGGAGAAGCCCAATGGGCAGTGAGGACACAAGATTGTGTATGGCTTGATGCCATAATGAGGGAGAAGCCCGATGGGCCGTGATGGCACATGAATGTGTATAGCTAGATGCCATGATGAGGGGGAGGGAGAAGCCCGATGGGCAGTGATGAGTATGGCTTGGTGCCATGATGAGGGAGAAGCCCGATGGGCAGTGATGACACATGGTTGTGTATGGCTTGATGCCATGATGAGGGAGAAGCCCGATGGGCAGTGATGGCACATGGTTGTGTATGGCTTAATGCCATGATGAGGGAGAAGCCTGATGGGCAGTGATGACACATGGTTGTTTATGGCTTGATGCCATGATGAGGGAGAAGCCCGATGGGCAGTGATGGCACATGGTTGTGTATGGCTTGATGCCATGATGAGAGAGAAGCCCGATGGTCAGTGATGACACATGATGGTGTATGACTTGATGAACGATCATGTGGTTATGAATGATTACAGACATGTTGAAACCGAGAGAGAGAGAGTGAGAGTTACATAGAGGTATGAGGGTTTTTTATGTCTCGGTACCGGCTTTTCACCCCGTTTTTTGTCGGGGCACGCGGAGGAGCGTACGTGCACGGGCAGTACGTGTGTGTACAGTATGTGTGTGTGTACAGTACGAGTGGGTACAGTGAGTGTGTGTGTGTGTACAGTGAGTGTGCGTAAGGGTGCATGTGTGTGCAGTAAGTGTGTGAGGGGCGGACGTGTGCATTCGATACAGGATTCCTTCTCTTGCAGGAACTGAACGGACGTCCAGCCCAATCACGGAAGTACAGCACCTCACATTGAATTTACTGGCAGTACTACTCCATGATGTAGCACTCGCAACCTAGCAGGGGAACTTTCGGGCATTTCGCAGAGATATTGTCTGCTCGGAGTGCACTGCTGATCATGTTATCCTGGCTGATGTGTGCTCGCCCGGTTGCCACCGGACCCAACCAGTTACCTGGCCTACTAGTGAGCATCCCAGGGCAAGTCTGGCCGGGTCTCCATCATGTTCATAGTAACTATACACTTGGCCACAGATGGTGGTCACAGTGCCCAAGACTTTGGCACACTGGCGCCATGCGCCACACTGCTCGTTTTCCTTGTCCAAATCTATGTGTGCTGCTCTCCTATCGGCCTCACTATCCTTTACATCGTGAGTGTGATTGCTCTGGTAGACCACTACCCCATGTACTGAACAGTCGCTTTGTGAGTGAAAAGTTTTGTTTTTTCACGGCTGAGCGTAGCGAAAGAGTGCAAAAAACGTATTTTTCACTCACAAATATTTTCGTGCATTTGCTCTTGTTCTGCGCAACTCCGTTGAACCTGCCATCGTGGTCTTTGTTTTTCCTCGTGGTAGTTGAAGTTGCCCGCCCACCCACCCTGGTTTCATGGGAGTCGTCCGCTGTTCTTCTTGACAATCTATGCCTATGTGTGTGGCTTATGATTATGACATACACCGGTTATTACATACCATTTCTTGCTATCTCTATTCTTGGGTCTGACTGGCAGCGGGGCAGGAATTAATGAAATAGAAAGGTTTTTTGGCCGAAAGGCGTGTTTTTCCTCTAGCCCGGTTGAGCGGTCGCGGCTAGGAATGTAGGGAGTCATTGTTTTTCAGGCGCTCCCCTGCTGCCCAGTCACCCATGCTCACCACTGGCCATGCTGTTTCACTTGATTTCACGGCCTTTTCTCCCGCTTGCTGGCGGTTCTTTGATGGATTTAGATGTTTTTCGGCTATTTATCTATTATGTGGCTGCGAGTGTGGTTTTTTGCTTCTACTCATTTCTGGAAAACCACCACGGTGGTGAGTGTGATTGCTCTGGTAGACCACTACCCCATGTACTGAACAGTCGCTTTGTGAGTGAAAACTAATATTATTCATTGCTATCATTAAATTATTGTCTCCACGTCGCTTTTTTTGTATACTTTATTATAGGTTTGTGATGTACTGCTACAGTAAGATCGGGCGCCGAAGAACACCTCGCCGAAGAACACCCAGGCTGGAAAACCGGCAAAATTTAAGAACAGTCCAGGCTAGAATTATCAGATTTAAGAACACTAGATCTACATTGTACGTAGATCTACATTGTACATGTATGGGAGGTGAGTACATGTCATGTACACGTGTAAACAGTAACTGCTACATGTACAGTCATTCCCATTTACGACACCCACTAGTTTAGAAGTACTACATTGCACTACATGTACATGTACATGACAAACGTCATGACGTCACTCGACTCGCCGCGCGCGTGTGAATAAGAACGGTCTGGCTAGAATCAAAAATTTAAGAACTTTCCTAGGCTGCGCTCGAGCCCCTGCGTTCTTCGGCGCCCGATCTTACTGTAGTGCTAGTTGTAGAGTGTACCGAGCAATGATCAGACTGGAACTGCATTGTGTGGTCATGTTCCGTATTGCATTTCATGCACCTCATTCCAGTGTTGTAGTACGTTGATTCCTGATGTATGCACACGTGTGCGCTCGTGTGCATGTTGTCTGTACAGTGCTGCCATTGACACGATACAACGGACCAACAACCGTATTGCCGAGATCCAGGCAGAGGCGGCAACGAAGACTGCAGAGCTAGAAAGCGTGGAAGCCAATGTGCAACGATCGCTCGCCCAGCTAACGGAGTCATCCTCGTTGCTGGAGGCGCTGTATGCGCGCATGAATATTGATAAGCACAAAGGCCGCTACTTAGCTGCTGTGCTCGGTGCGACTGATGAGCGGGTGAACAACCTAGAGGAGCGCCATCGAGTTGCTTTGAGCAATCGAGTCATGGTCGACAAGGCCGAGCTTGTTTCCGGGCTGGAGAGGCAACAGCAAGAGCTGGAAACTCGTATTGTGGCTGCTACGGAAACGACGAACAAACTTTCTGAAGATCTGGCAAACGCCAAGTCGAAGGTTAGTGGCATGCCTGCTTCAACTTGTGCTGTGCAAGTCCATCAGGATTGGTCTGTTAAGGTAGCTCAAACCTCTTTGAAAGTTGAAAATACCTCAGAAGTGATATTCGTATGGGGGTACTTATGCATTTTGTTGTAGCTATGGGGCCTCGAAGTTCAGAAAATTGCGTTTTCTTACTTTCAAGTGTTTCAAGTGGCCATAAGTACACCAAAATGCTCCGTAGTATCTATGCATGCTAGAGAACAACTTAGAACAGAGAAAACAGCACTTCTTCTTTGAAAGGGCCAAAGTGGTCCGAGCTACCTTAATAAGGGTTGTTTTTCACTGCTTTGTGCTACTGGAGATCATCATCTGTTGTGCATCCGCTATGTAGCACTTAGTCTAGTTGTCTGTTTTATAGGAACCATGGCAACCACTAGCTGTATCCACCACCCCTGCATAAAACACCATGGATCACCTCTTGCACAGGGGGGGGGGAAAGTGGTACCCGACAAGTAGGGTTATTATATCTATTCAAGAGGGGTTTATAATGCATATATTGCACACAATACCATGCACCACCCAAAATGGCCTCTTGGCTTCCGATTGTAAAATATATATACAGCTTATGAACGAAGTCTTCAAGATGGGCCTTTCCAGAAAATTATGGACATAGTGGATGGCTACAGTTGAGTCTAAGTATCTTGAGAAAAGCTTTTAAATGTCTAAATGTTTTGGCTGGACCAACATCCTAAGACAAATGTTGGAAATGTACACGTAAAGGATGAAGCCATGCCTGTAGTAACCCATCACCTTCAGTAAGTGTGCAGCTTGTGTGACAGAAAGAATGAGTCATGGAGTTGGTTACATTAGGACATTCAAAAACAATTGTAACGTTTCACAATGCTCCACTGGTGTGTAATGCTGTTGCTGTGCTGCAGGTTCTGGCGGTGAAGGCCAAGATTGATCGTAACACCATGGAGCGGATCCGAACACTGAACAGTCCGCCAACACTGATTGGAGAGGTGATGGAGATGATCCAGGAAACGCTCAGGTTCTATGCTCCAATCAGTGCATCTCAAGAGGGAACGCCGGCTTCTGGTTCTCAAGTCTCCACGCTAGGCGACACAAGCAGTAAAGCAGGGCCACCACAGACACCAGCGGCAGCACTGAAGCGTCGTCAAACAGGCGGCCTTCAGCTTCAGCTTCAGAGTAAGATCGACAAAGATCGTTGGGCCGACATTCAATTGTCTATTGGAGATCCGCAGCGGTTTGTGGACTCTTTGTTCGCCGTTCCGTGGGAGGACACACTGGAGCCGGCCATCCTCAATCTCCTCGAGAGTAGATTGAAGCCACAGCAGGTCGAGGTGAGAGAACCTACACACAGGCGAGTAGGGGTCAGGACCACTGCTGCTGCCGCCACGCCCAGACCCAAGGCTACGGGGCTCAAGGACGGCGCACCGCGGGCCACACACATGGAGACCATGATCACCGTGAAGAAAGCCAAGTACGCATCCGAGGACACGGCCATTCTGACCTCCTACATGCTGGCAATCGTGGATTACCAGCGCGCTCTGCAGCCGCACATAGTCGCGTGTGATCAGCTGGGCGAGCTCAAGTCGGAGCTGTCCGGTCTGCTGCTGCAGAGCAAACTGCAATCTCAACCCAGTGAAGAAGCAAGCAGGGCAGCAACACCAGCCCCACCAGTGCACCGGGGCTTGGTTCTTAGTCCTGATGAGGTCACCCGCCTCAAGGATGAAATGGCTGAGGCCCAGAGGCAGTACGATGAGGCTGTGATGAAGAAGTTCACGCTGTCTCTTCGGCTCAAGGAGATCAATGAAGACGTTCGCAATGTCTCGCATCTGATGACATGGTGAGTACAGAAATAAGTCAATTGCATTCCTTCATGTCTTCACTAGCAATGAAAAGTTTTGTCAGACGCCACCACCACCGTCGCCGCCGCCGCCACCACCACCACCACCACCACCACCACCACCACCACCACCACCACCATAACCACACCATAACCACCACCACCACCACCACCACCACCACCACCACCACCACCACCACCACCACCACCACCACCACCACCACCACCACCACCACCACCACCACCACCACCACCACCACCACCACCACCACCACCACCACCACCACCACCACCACCACCACCACCACCACCACCACCACCACCACCACCACCATAACCACCACCACCACCACCATAACCACCACCACCACCACCATAACCACCACCACCACCATCATAACCACCACCACCACCACCACCACCACCACCACCACCACCACCACCACCACCACCACCACCACCACCACCACCACCACCACCACCACCACCACCACCACCACCACCACCATAACCACCACCACCATAACCACCACCACCACCACCACCACCACCACCACCACCACCACCACCACCACCACCACCACCACCACCACCACCACCACCACCACCACCACCACCACCACCACCACCACCACCACCACCACCACCACCACCACCACCATAACCACCACCACCACCACCATAACCACCACCACCACCATCATAACCAACACCACCACCACCACCACCACCACCACCACCACCACCACCACCACCACCACCACCACCACCACCACCACCACCACCACCACCACCACCACCACCACCACCACCACCACCACCACCACCACCACCACCACCACCACCACCACCACCACCACCACCACCACCACCACCACCACCACCACCACCACCACCACCACCACCACCACCACCACCACCACCACCACCACCACCACCACCACCATCACCACCACCACCACCACCACCACCACCATAACCACCACCATAACCACCACCACCACCACCACCACCACCACCACCACCACCACCACCACCACCACCACCACCACCACCACCACCACCACCACCACCACCACCACCACCACCACCACCACCACCACCACCACCACCACCACCACCACCACCACCACCACCACCACCACCACCACCACCACCACCACCACCACCACCACCACTACTGATAGATCCATATCCTCTCTTCTTTTCATCCTGCAGGTTAAATCAGCAGGAGAAGCGCTGGAAAGCAGTGGCTACTCGGGACACAGAGAGCTCTACTGCGGCCACAAACTGCCTTGTGCTGGCCGCCTTTCTTGTTTATGTCTCACCATTACATCCGGGATGCAGGTATGAACACGCTGCTGCCTGTGCTCATGTGCTATTACTGGTGTGTACTTGTTTGTTTGCTGATGTACTGGTCAGTTGGTCAGTTGTCCCTTTGGATGGACTTGTTGCCAGAATCCCATTGTCAGCAGTTATGCAGCCACTGTCACTGATCATTTTCTTATTACTAACTTGAGCCATGCCAGTGCCTGTGCTTTAATGTTACATATGCACACACTTGTAGTGTGTGGACACTGCCAGAGGGAGCATCCCTCTTGATTAACTGAGCTATTTTCTTCATATTTCCACTAACCTGTGTGTGCTCATGTATGTGTGTGTGTACTTGTGTCTGTGCATGCACACATGACATTTCTCTTAGGCATGAGCTGATGGACAAGGTGTGGCGGCTGTGCTTGCGGCACGGAATGCCCGAGCCGAGCAAGAAAGTGCTGAAGACCTGCTCATACAGTGAATTTGTCCTGTGCAGCGTAAGGACACGAACTATATAATTTAAAGTCAGCTGGTGCCGCTGAGCTGTGTATCTTGTTGATAGTTACTGCACCAACACAAACACCATTCAGCTCTTGTATTAGGGTGAATATCTTGTTCCATCTCGCTCTGTTTCATAGTGCTAGCACGGTACACATTGCTGTGTGTTATGCTGTGTGTTAGGGATGATTCATACTTCACAGTACACACGGTAAACACATCACGTGACGGTCGGGCGATTAGCAAAAACAAACTGAGATCGAAATAAACTTCTTCGTGATGCGACGCATTTGCCATACGCGAAATGAAGTATGAATACAGGCTTTAGGCTGTGTGCTGTGTTGCTTATGATGCACAACTGATGCTGCAGGGTTGCAATGCGGAGAATTATTTGGACTGCTTCAAGCGTCGCCAGCTGCAGCTGATGCTGCCAACGGACGACGCGTCACAACTGGTCGCTGCCATGCTGTCTAACGGCCAACTGCCCAGTGTTCCTCTGCTGACAGACACTCACCTTTCAATGCAAGCCTGGCTGATGTCCTTCACTGACAATATGTGCTGTCTTAAGCACCAGGTATGTAGTCATGCTAATCTTGTCTATGTTTTACTCGCCATGGACTTCTTCTTTTTCTTTCCAGCAAAACTATTTGAGCACGTCAAAACCGCCTACTTTGGGGATCATGGAATTGTTTGGAAATTTGTACGAGTGCTGTGATCCATGTTGTAAGTCACAGTGCATTCCTGATCTTTTGTTTGCTGATCGGTGATAGGACATTGAACTTCATCAAATGCTTGAAGAGTGCATTCTGGAAGGCAGAACAATGGTCATTATGGACGTCGAGCCGTCCAGTCTGCTTGAAGATCCCATTATGATGCAAGTACTGCAGCATGAATATCCTCTCAAGGAAACGAAGAAAGCTCCGGTAGGTTGAATGTTGATGTGCACAGTAGGCCAATGCTACATTGTTACATGTTCCTGGGCTGGGTACATAGGCAACACATTTAGCGGATTCTGAAAGGGAACTCGCGCTCAGTTGGAATTTTAATTCCGATGTGATCAGCTGATATCTCAACTACTTTCCTGATGATGTTAACTGTGTGGCTCTCTTCAGGGCAGTTTCTCATACTGAAATCTGATTCCCAGTAAACGACCAAAGCCTCCATGTGTAAGGGAACCCTGTTTCAAGTCAGTGTATTTTGGCATTTGACAGTGTAGCTGGAGTTTTGATTTTTGGCTTGAGTGTTGGCTTTTAGCTGGAGTGTTGTCATCTGTCCTTGCTGTGCAGTTTGGTAATCGGGAGCTGGCATGGCATGAGTCCTTCAGGTAAGTGGTTGCCATCACTGCTCAGCTAGTCTCGATTGCAGGACATAGCATGGGTTGCAGTATTCAGTGGGAACTCGATTATGTTCAGAATTCAGTGGAAATGTGATTGTGTTCTCACCGATAACTACCCACTGAAAGTGGAGCAGACGGAACCTCACAACCCTGACTTGTTTTACTGGCAGTGAAAGGGTTTGAACCATCACACTGTATTGCAATCTTGGTCTGGACAAGCTACGTTCCACACTTGCAAGCTCGCTACCACAAACATGTGCATGCATTGATATATTTTTAATTGATTTGTGTCATTTTTTTATTTGGTTGTTGCAACAGGCTGGTATTATGTACATGTGTGGCTATTAAAGCTATCCCACAGCAATTGTTTGACACGGTTATTGTTATCGATGCCACCGGTGAGCGTGGTGGTGTGGTGAACATCTTCAGCCGCCGCTACATGGCTGTCGCCAAGCACATGCAGCGTTCCCATGTGGAAACTATAAACGAGGTGAGAGCGTGTTGCAGACTGATCGGTCCGGCACTGGGCCTAGGAGACAGGGAATGTGTGCTTATGCATCTGTGCTCGTTCAACCAGCTAACCCTCCAACATGCTTCGAAAGTATTATTTCCCCACCGTTTGGCTTAGTGTTAGCTGCCCATCGGTGTTCATGCTGTGGAGGTGTTCATTAGTATATCACCTAGCATTATCCAGTGTGGTGGTGGTGGTGGTGGTGCCTTCTGAACACTAGCAATTCAGCACCTGTACAGATGACAGGGTTAGGCCTTCACCAACACCCTACTTGTATGTTGTATTCCCTGCCTTGCAGCGCATATTCACGATACAAGAAAAGCTGGAGGAGATCGAACTCAACATTGTCAAGATCATGTCCAAGTGTCCGAAGATGTTCGACGTTGTCAACATGGCCCTTCTCCGCAGCAACCTGCATGGGCTGAAGAAGCGCCACGACAAAGAAACGAAGGAGTATGTTCAGCAGCTTGCGTTCCTACATACAGCACAGTGGTGTTACTCTCGTGCTTGCTTGTCACACATGCCCGTACCTTGCGGATACGCATTGTGCATTGGTGTCAATGCGATGGTGACATATACCAGAATGGTGTTTGCTTGCTTGGCGAATGAGACTCGCGATCTTGGTAGCAAATGCCACACCAGTTGTTACTTTGCTCATACCTGCGTGTCATGCCTTAGTTGCAGCACATTCTTGCTGCAACTTGTGTATTGGTTTCTTCTGCCTATACCGTGGCGATGTCTAGGTTGGAGTATCTGCTTGACGTCGAGAGTCGGGCGGGTTCCGATTGTGAAGAGCTGGCAAGCAGTGCAGCTGTACTGTACGAAGCCCTGTGCAGCACCGAGGTGCTGTGCGCACAGTTCACCGTCAAGCTACCGGTCATTTTGCAGATACTGGACTCGGCCGTCCGTGATGTGGACCCGTGAGTAGGATTTCCTGATATCTTGTCCATGCTGCTCTGCAATATTGTTCGCAGGGGTGGGTCGGGGGGGGGGGGGGGGGGGGGGGTTCCAGGGGTTCCGCAGAACCACTAAAATAATTTTGAACCATATGCATGCCCTTGTATCAGCTATTCAGTTTTGGCTAAATTGGAACCCCTGTAGAGATCTCTGGATCCGCTCCTGGTTCTACGCAGACTCTGAAAACCTGAGCACTCTGGTTAAACCGCAAAGCCTGGAATTCATATCGCTATGCACTTAACTTTCACACCGTCCATTTCTGTTGACTGATGTGACCTATGGGATAATGTCTAGGAAGAGCTCTTGCACCTGTCTTTGTTCTTTGCCTTCAGTCCGCACCGTCTCAGCGACATTTGGTCTCTCTTCCTATCTCGGGCCATGTCTTATGCATGTGGTATGCTGGAAGAGCTCGATCAGATTGCCTTGTCCTTCTTTTTGGCCATCGAAATGTGGCAAGTAAGTATAGCTAGAAGTGACGAAAGCCCCAGGACTCCAGGCCACTCGCCTGTGTTTAGCGTGGCTGGCCTTGTGGTGTATGCAGGACAGCGAAGGGCTACGGATAATGATTTACGATATCCTAAAATTGGCAAGCTGGCTGTGATATGGCTTGGAGTGGTGTTTTGTAGAACATGTTACTGTGAATGCTGGACACAGTGACAGTAGAATGATGTTCATACTTACAGCATGTAACTGTTGAGTCACTGGATAAAAGTGTCCGGTGTGATTCTTACGTTAAAGCTCACGATCACCTAACCATTATACCCACACTTGCACACTGTTGACTGTGACCTTTTCGAGCTTGGCAATTCATGTTCATGTCTGTTTGGCTTTGATCGACTATGCTGTGTCTTGCAAAGGAGCAGGAACGAGCAGCAGATAGCCGCAAGGCACTCGTCACACAGCTCGAGAAGGACTTCCTTCTCGCACCGGCATCGACAGCAATGAATGTGTTCTGCGTAGTCGGCGCACCTCCTGTGATCAACATCCAGGTACGGCCGGCTTGACTTGATATTTGTAGTGCCTGTGCCCAGTGCAATCAGGCTCAATGCTGGCTTCCTGTACTCCTGCCATGCGGAGCACTGAATGCAATCCCCTGTGTGTTTGTCCACTCCTGCCGTCGAATTTCTATTCAAATGCTATGTGCTCTCTTTGCAGATGCCCACTGCTATTGTGGATCGCAGTACGAAGGAGAAGGGCAAGTTGCCAATGTGGAAGAAACCGTTTGATTGGCTACAGGAAGAACAGTGGCAGGGAATTCAGGTCAGTGTAGAATACAAGCGGCATTTGTCATGGCTCCATGTTTCAGTGTTTTGTTTCAACGCATGACTTGACAACTCGGCCATTGCGGACTTGAATTGGTTACAAACAATAGTGCATTTGGCGAAAGTACATCGCAATGAGAGTGCGGAAGCCTATTTGGGCACACTGAAATATCTCTTGCAGTTTCTCCCTGGGGCTCCAGTTGATGTCTGCATAATGAACTGAAGTTGTTCTGCTAAAATTATTCTGTGTGGATGGGAACAAACCGACTTCATTTTTTTGACCATGGCAAATTCTTTCTTCGATGTTGTTGGTGGAATGCCAAATAGTCACAACAGAATACTAGTGATTGTCCTTCGGCGCCAGCCCATCTGTGTCCTCCCAGAATCAATGCTGGTGTGTCCCCAGATCTTCATCGAACACCAAGTCGGCCACGAGCTCTGGGAGATATTGTCTGTGATGTACCACTTCTCTTGCACATCTGCATGCTTCTGTGCATGCTTCTGTGCATGCTTCTGTGCATGCTTCTGTGCATGCTTCTGTGCATGCTTCTGTGCATGCTTCTGTGCATGCTTCTGTGCATGCTTCTGTGCATGCTTCTGTGCATGCTTCTGTGCATGCTTCTGTGCATGCTTCTGTGCATGCTTCTGTGCATGCTTCTGTGCATGCTTCTGTGCATGCTTCTGTGCATGCTTCTGTGCATGCTTCTGTGCATGCTTCTGTGCATGCTTCTGTGCATGCTTCTGTGCATGCTTCTGTGCATGCTTCTGTGCATGCTTCTGTGCATGCTTCTGTGTGTGCATGCTTCTGTGCATGCTTCTGTGCATGCTTCTGTGCATGCTTCTGTGCATGCTTCTGTGCATGCTTCTGTGCATGCTTCTGTGCATGCTTCTGTGCATGCTTCTGTGCATGCTTCTGTGCATGCTTCTGTGTGTGCATGGTTCTGTGTGTGTGCCATTGTGTTTTACTATGTCTTGTCATCTGGCTAACAACACAGCTACTAGCGTGCAGCATGCCCTGGTTTATAGAGCCAGTAGAGAAGATGAGTCGTGACGGCAAGGAACAACAATGGCGTGTGCTCTGTGAGACGCAGTTCCCACAGAATCTTCCCTTGCCCGATGGCCTTGACTCCAAGTAAGTTGTTTCACTTGAGTCACACATCAGTGGATGCTTTGCTGAAGTGAGCTCACGCATCAAAAAACCTGTCTGACGTGTTTGTAACATAGCAGGCAGGCTGTAACCAGGTTGAACTGCGGTGTAAGTAGCTAACCCATGATTGATGTCAGAGCTTAATTTGTCGGTCTGTTTGTAAGCTTCTGCCACAGCATCGCTGTACCTGTCGCTGCTCTTGGTAACTTGCCACCCATGGTCTCGTCTCTTTTGTGGCGTTGTCAATAGGATTTCTGAATTCCAGCGTCTGCTGGTACTGCGTACCATTCGGCCGGACCGCATTCTGCCGGCTATCTTGGACTGCACTCGCAAACTACTGCATCCAAAGTAAGAATTCGGGGGGAAAGTGGCAAGCTCCGTGGATCAGTGTCGGAAAAGGACAGCTGCTTTAAATGATCAGCTGTGTTCATTTCACTTCATACATCAAATGCTAGATGAATCGGTCCGTGTTCAGCTTCAATTTCAAAAAGAGAAGAAGACAATTCATTGGTTGGAAAGACAAGATAATGTCCAGGGAAGCAATCACATTGTATTCTGAACAGCTATGGTCTTTGTTGTTGCCAGGTGCCGTATTTATTGCCACAATCCATTGGCTCTGAACTTCACGGAACAATGTACATGTACATGTGTGAAATGATGACTTCCTTCTACCGTGGTTGTAGGTTCTCGCCAGTATGTGCGACGTAAATATGTCCAAGGTAGAACTAGCATCAGTTGTGCATGTTGAATCATCCAGTATCTGTACTCATATCTGTCCGTCTGTTCATCTGTTTCCGATTGCCGTCCCACGCCAGGTTCAATCACACTCCAGACTTCTCGCAGATTCCAAGATTCGTAAACCGGCGTTGTCCAGTACTGGTTCTGTATGACTCGGAAGAGCAGTACCCCGCTATTCTTATCAAAGGACTCGCCAAGAAAAACGGAGTAAGATAGGAGACTAGAACGACCACTACACGCATCTTTCCATTGTTCTCAATCGACATGCATCTCTCTAGTGCTCTTGATATGTCCACTATGGATATGCATCTTTCGACTCCACACCTTTTTCAGTTTGATGACAAAGCAACTGGTGATATTGTCTAGGTGTGCATACTCTGAACACAATCATGTATGTGTGGTATTAATGTACAATACTATCGTGCAGAGCAAGGCGTTTTGACGAGGGAATGTTACACATGTAGTCGTACATGTACACTTTAGCATCCAAAATGAAACCTGATGAGACCAGCCTGAGCAGTAGTAGTCGGAGTGTGTGTTATACACGGACTGTATGTCGACATCCTGAGATTTCATGCTCTCTTCTGATTGCGCTCCTTGTTGTCTCTTCTCTTCAATCGTTGGTGTAGAGACAGGTTGAGTGCTGTACGCTTGCGTCCACATCACAGGCCATGGAAAGATACTGCATTGACATTTGCGAGAGGTCGCAAAGACTGGTATGTTTAAAGTTTCAACCAAGTGTTCAGTAACCTAATTTTAACACTGCATGCACATTTATTCTTCAGCTTTGCTAGCCCATGTTGGCACTGTGCTCCTGCACATGGTGTTCACACCACTCACAGGGGCGTCGGAAGGTATTTTAGTGTGGTACGGTCAGCCATCTGAAGTACAATTTACTCGTGGGGGAGGGGTGGCTGAAAATTAGAGCCCAGATCAGTATATTTCATTGATTCAAGGGGTTCCTGGGGCAAAAAGTGGTACGGTCAATACCATAGTGACCGTACCGTGTCCGACACCCCTGACTCAGTTGAGATGATTCTTGTGCATGCTTTCCATTCTGTCATGTTGAATGACACGTTTCAGTTCACAAGGAACAGTTCATGACGTTTAGTCCACAGTGTTTGTGCAGGTTGCTGCTGACCCAGCTGCCTATAGATAAACGTATCGCCAGTTTCACTCGTGGGAGAGTTGTTCACTGGAGCAGCCCAGGCATATGAGTATCTACATATATTTTGGTGTTATGCTGCACTGCAGGGATACTGGCTGATCTTGGAGGATATCCAGTGCTGGAAGTCCTTGTCTGTCAAGATCGCTACGCTTGCACAGGACGCAATGTCAGTGAATCCCAGTTTCCGACTCTGGTTCACCGCCACGCTGGACAGTGTTGATGATCTACCCGCTGCTGTCCTCGCCTGCTCCATGCCGTTCCGTGCCAAGAGTCCCTTGGTGAGCTGCTGGCCACTCGTGTTGCAAACTGATACCAAGCACTGCAAAGAGTATTGGCCTTCTTTGGTGCATCCATGTTCATTTGTGTGGTGCTCTATCCCTATATACGTGGCAACAAGCTTGTGTATGTAGGCATGCGCACGTGTGTGTGTGGGGGGGGGGGGGGGGGGGGGGTGTTGTGTGTGTTTTGATGGAATTTTTCCCATGACTACACCCCCTCTAAATGTGCATAGCCGAGTAACCATATTACCTTGTGACTCGTTCTGGTGCTTTTTTCTTGCTTGCTGTTCTCATTGCATGCACACCCCCGTTAGACTGTGAGTCGTAGTATGCAGCAGAACATGGCATGGCTGGAGACCGCCTTGCTCGGTGAGAGCACGCGGCCAGAGTGGGTACCGACGCTGCACAACGCCTGCGCCCTGCACTCCTTACTCGTCCTGCGCAGCAACATCAAACTGCCGTCACTCGGCGTCGCACAGCACTGGAATACATCGCACATCTGGGTCAGTGCTGTAGCCTAGTCACCACTACATGTAGTATTCTAGTATCGCTAGGTTGATTGAGTGCTGCTGCTGCTTTGCTAGAAAAATACTTTGTGATATCATGATCACACAGAAGAAAAAAAGATTTGTTTGCTTCATTACTGTGTGATCATTGTATTACTGGCTGTGTCCACTGGACATAGAGCACTGTCTACTGGACATAGAGCATTGTCCACTGGACATAGAGCATTGTCCACTGGACATAGAGCATTGTCCACTGGACATAGAGCATTGTCCACTGGACATAGAGCACTGTCCACTGGACATAGAGCATTGTCCACTGGACATAGAGCACTGTCCACTGGACATAGAGCACTCTCCACTGGACATAGAGCACTGTCCACTGGACATAGAGCACTGTACGCAGCCTGAGGACCTTAGACAACTGTACATGATTGTGATATCCGTGGTAGTGTGTCTAGCCTGCCGCTTGACCATGGGTTGATGTCAGTGAATAACTGTTATCAACACCCACCCACATGCACATGCACATGCATGAACACAGTGTGATGTAACAGTACATGTCTTGTGTTGTTCTCTGTTGTGTCGTCTTCGCCTGTTGGTTTGCCTGCTGCAGGAGGCACTGCGCTGGATAACGCAGGAGTTCCGCTCCGCTGACAGCGTGATTGCGCAGGTCGGTGCCGGGGAGAACACACGCTCAGTGTCTTGGACTGCGCTGCGCTACTACATCACCGAGGTATGGCGTATTGCTCCGGGTATGGTGTATTGCTGTGGGTATGTCGTATTGCTCCGGGTATGTCGTATTGCTCCGGGTATGGCGTATTGCTCCGGGTATGGTGTACTGCTTTGGGTCCTGGGAACTACACTCATTGCCAGAGTTGAATTACGGATCAATGATGGCGGCAGAGAGGCCTTGTGTTTATTGTTGACTTCTTTGTTTGTTTTGGGAGTAAAGTTGATGTCCGCTTGACCAGTTGAACCACTATCTGCGGAGTTACCTGAGGTTAGGCTAATATCGTTTGCAATGCCTAGCAGGATAGTTTGTTTTGGTACGGCTTTCTTTTAGCTGGTTTGTCGAAAGTCGTACCTTTTTGTCACCATATCCTGGACTCTATCTGCCTGGTGTTGTGTTACAGGTGATCTACGGTGGTAGCGTGGCCAATGCCACTGATCTGCAGACCATATCAACACTGGTGGCAACGTGGTTCTCACCAAGCTCAGTCAGCCGTGACTTTGAGATACCCAAACGTATGTGTTCTCGTTACAATGCTACATGTGTATGTTTCATGTATGATATGCGCCGTATGTGCTTTGCCGTGAAGTTCTAGCAAAGCGTGTTGTTTTGTCCTATTTTGCTCAATGATCGAATACGTGGTAGTGTAGGGAGGGATAGTACTAACATGGTGATGGTGTCTTCTTTTGGGTTTTAGAAAATATTCGAATCATGCAGAGCTATCCAATGGAATTCCTCATTCGGGGGGGGGGGGGGGACATGTACTCTTGCTGACAAAAGTATGTCACTAGCTTGTTGTCAAAAGATAATTGATTCTTATTTCTGTCTGTCACATCGGCCACTAAGAAGCGTGTACACGTAGTCTGACTACAATAACGTTTCTTCCTCTTGTCTGCAGTGGGCTACAAGTTACCAGCGGCTGCTTTCCGTGCCAATCCATCCACCACATCTCTCTCGCGTGACGTCACCAGCAAGCCGCGTGTACTGCCTGACGCGGCCGAGACCTGCTACTTGCACCCAATTCCCGAGGTAAGGTACTTTTGTCGTGTTATAGGCAACTCGCATGCGTGTGTATGGCAGGGAGATGGATGGGGGGGGGGGGGGAGGAGGAGAGGCAATGTACTCTAGTAGAAGGTCTAGGATACACAACTCGCACCCTGGCCTACATGTAATGAAGTACTGTGTAAGTACTAATTTTCGTTCACGAAATCTTTCGTTAGATCACTCCACCAGCAGGTTTGTTACGTACTAAATTTCGTTTTTGGTTGAGGTCTGTCAGTACTGTCACCCCAAACGTTCAGAGGGGGTTACTTTAGTTTGGTACAAACTTTAGTTATTTCGTGCCACCTAACGATTAATTCCAAATGAGACTTTGTGCTTATACAGTTGATAAAGTGATTGATGAACAGCCATGTATTCAAGTACATGCATCTCTCCATCACCTCTCCTTGCACTGTATCTGATGGGGTTGCTGTGCTGCACGCTTACTGCTCTATTCTGCTGGGGTGTGTTCCGCAGGCTCGTCCACGCTATGGCCTGGAAGTACTGCAGCGTATCAATCAACTGTTCACTGGGTTTGAGGACCGGGCACCGAATGCCCACAGCCGCATGGCCAGTCGCCGTGAGAAGCTCGCCAGCAGCTACGAGAGCCTGAAACGGGTGTTCAAGGCGCCCAGCCGGGTGTATGAGGTGAACGAGGGCCCGCGGAGGACGCGCAGAGTTCCGCTGCACATCGTTGACACGCGCCCGGCCGGCGGCAAAACAATAGAGAAGGATGTCATTCTGAACGTGCAGCCATTGTTCGCTGCATTGCATGAGCCGGCCATAGCTGACCTCTCTACTATCGTTGCCACTCTCCTAACCCGGGTGCCTGTAATCTGGACGAGAGTAAGTAGCAACCATAACACATTATTTTGGTACAGTCGTCCCTCTTTAATGGTGTACTAGCTGTGCTAGTACTTGTTAGCAACAATCCGAACTAGCGCACACACTGCACTGCATTGCTTTGTACTGCATTCAAGACTGACGTCATGCGCTTTGTTTTGCTGCGTAATCACAAATGGCACCAGCCCATTTTGCGGAAAAGAAAAACAAATCTTGCTTGCCCTGTTGTGCTCTTCCAGACAACGGATCGTGCTTCAGCAGTGTTTCTTTTCCTTTCGTAGCTTTGCTGCCAGCCCGAGTGTCACCTCGACACTGTATTTCTCCAGTATGGCTGACCTTACTGTCGACACTGTCAAGGCAATGCCTTGCCAAGCCCTCCGCGGCGAGCCTTCTCAGCGCGGCTTGAATCCGAAAGGAAACTGAGTAAAAGTATTTACAGCACCGTTTGCTGGCACAACTAGCCCTTGGTAGCTCCGGCCAGGAGAACCAGCAACATGACAGTGCGGACACGGCTCGCGAGCCCAGAAGCCCGACGTGCACCAATGCCTCCTCCGCCAGCTCAGGTGACGCGGGCTCAACGGATCTCTGCGCTCCCGTACGGGACGAGGTGTAGTCGGCTTGGTCGGCCGCCATTTTATTATTATCGGAGAGCATTGTGCCGCTCCTCACCCAAGGCCAAGGCAATGCGGCAGCTGCCGCCACCACGCCAGGTCAAGCTCCTGTAACCCACCCGACCAGCCACCTGCACCAGCTGTGCCCAAGGCTGTGCAAGAACGTATCTTGCGAGGGGAGTTCGTAGATTTTTCAAGTTTGTTGCCTGACATTCTTGCACACTTCCGGCCCAACATTCCGGCTGGTGCACAGCCCGAATAACAATAGCCAGCTAAATATCGTTGAGTCGGATGACGCGAAGCAGGTGCGTCGCAAGGTTCACGATAAATATACATGTAGCTACCCGGCTCGAGGCATGGACCACATACATGTCTGTTATCGCGGCTGCTGCCCTACACCGCACTGCTGAACTGCTGAACTGATTGCGTACCAGCAGTTGATCCCGACTGCTAACCGCCAGTTCTTCCCAAGCGCGTGGCTAGAGTACGACCGCCAGCTGCGGATGCTCGTGGCCCAGTATCCAGGCACGAAGAGGTTGGACACCATCGACGTGAACCTATGGCAGATAGCTGTCACAGGCCATGCACACCCAAAATGCGCTCAATGTAAGACGTTCCATCCAGGGGCGGTTTGTGTCCTTTTCGTCTCCAAGCCAGCAGCATTTACCTCCAGTGGTCGCAACCATACTAGCGACGGCCAAGAAATCTGCCGCAACTTCAATGGAGGTCGCTGTTCTTCATCGTCGTGCCGCTTCTCCCACACCTGCAGCCAGTGTGGCAAGGACCACCCATGCATCATGTGCAGCCAGCAGCAGCGCGGAGCCAATCGGCCACCCCGCCGCTCCTAGCAGAATGGCTACTGAATCGCTTGACTCGGTATGTAGCTTCTTTCCTATACACTCTGCAGACACCACACCGCTAGCTGACCACTTTGCCCGCCTGTTACGTAACCACTCAGATCAATCATGTGTTGCGTATGTTCTCCATGGCCTGCGCCGTGGCTTTACTATTGGATCTGCCGGCCAACACGACATTTCGGTTTTCTCTAATAATCTACCCTTGGCTTTCACTCACTCGGCATTTATATCCGAGCAATTAGCTGCTTCCTGCGCCCGCAGCGAGACCACAGGCCCATTTCCGTCACCTCCATTTCAGTTCATGCGCCACTCTGGTATTGGTGCCATCCCCAAAAAGAACGGCAAGCTGCGAATGATCCACCATCTGTCTAGTCCGGAAGGCACCGGCGCGAACGACAGCATTCCTGCCGAGCCGCTCTCTCTGCACTACGCGAGCATTGACAACGCGATCAACATCATCAGGTCATGCCCACAGCCTGTGTATTTGTCCAAGCTCGATGTACGCAGTGCATTTCGGCAGATCCCAGTCCGCCGTCAGGACCTCGCTGGGAAGGCTCCTACTACTACGAGCGCTTTCTACCTTGCGGCCTCCGCTCCAGCCCAGCCGTCTTTGACTCAGTAGCCACAGCAGTCAACTGGATCATGCAGCACGAGTTTGCTATAGATCACCAGCTTCATTACCTCGATGACTTTCTCGACATCTCCACTGGTTTGGCTGCAGCCAACCAGCAACTCACCATCCCCCTCCGGGCATTCACGTATCTCGGCACTCCTCTTTGCTCCATCCCAGCTCGAAGGGCCACCACCATCATTGACCTTCCTTGGTATTGTCCTAGACTGCGAGCGCCACGAAGCTCGGCTACCAGAGGACAAGCTGTCCGAGATCCGTGCGCCACTCATGGCTACTATCAGCGAGCGCAGCATCGGCCAGCGTCAACTCGAGTCCCTCCTGGGGAAGCTCACTTTTGCTGCCCGAGTCATCGTTCCTGGACACACATTCATGCGTGAACTATGATCAGCGTGCCCTGAACTGTATCTGTGTATGCGAGTGCGGTGCATAAAGCCCACCTTGAGAATGGGTTTGCCGGCCCCTTAGTAGATGCGTGGCTTCTGAAGAGGGTGTTGAAGGGCATCCAGCGATGCCATGGTACGGCTGTACTCACCCCTCGCCTTCCTATAACTATGCCAATCCTACGACACCTGACGGATGCACGCCGGAAAGGTAGTATCCTGAATGGCCATGACAAGCTGCTCTACCAAGCCGCCATGCTGCTTCTTTGGATTTCTTCGGTGTGCTGAATTTACTAATGGCATCACACGGGGCTGTACTAGCTCTCCTGGTGACGGACGCCTGCAACTCTTCCTGCTTTCATCCAAGACGGACCCATTCGGTAAAGGCGTTACTAGTGACATTGGCCCGTCTGTACCGCCGTACTGCCCGATCCGTGCCATTGTTAGCTACCCATTTGTCACTCGTCGCGAGGGACCGGAGCAACTCTTGTTCGTACTCTCGAACAGACAGCAGCTGACCAGGCAGTCATTCACAGTAACAGTATGGTCTCTTGTCGCTGCGGCCGGTGTACCATCCCAGTCGAACTACTCCGGGCATTCGGTCCACATTGGTGCAGCCACCACCGCTGCTATGGCTAGTGCCCCCGACTCCTTCTTCCGAGTGGCAGGTCAGTGGAAAGAGCGATGCGTGTCTATGCTACATCCGGACTACAACAAGCGGTAAGCGCCAGCTATCGTCCTGGCTTGCTGCCGTGCCATGGATGACATGATCCCCAACTCGGGTGAGTAATAAGCTACTGAACTCTAGCTGCACAATGCTTGCCTGTGCTGACATTAATTGACCCCTGCTGTGCGTCAATAGTGCTTAGCTAACGGAGTGCTGGTTTCATGGGTCCACTCTCACAACTGGTGTTATCTAGCTATTTGCTGCGGCTCTGCCTTGCGCTATATTACATCCATTTAGCATTGCAGCTCTACGTTGAGCTAACAGCAGCTCTACTTTGAGCTAACAGCAGCTCTACTTTGAGCTAACAGCAGCTCTACTTTGAGCTAACCGCAGCTCTACTTTGAGCTAACAGCAGCTCTACTTTGAGCTAACAGCAGCTCTACTTTGAGCTAACCGCAGCTCTACTTTGAGCTAACAGCAGCTCTACTTTGAGCTAACAGCAGCTCTACTTTGAGCTAACAGCAGCTCTACTTTGAGCTAACAGCAGCTCTACCTTGAGCTAACAGCAGCTCTACTTTGAGCTAACAGCAGCTCTACTTTGAGCTAACAGCAGCTCTACTTTGAGCTAATCGCAGCTCTACTTTGAGCTAACAGCAGCTCTACTTTGAGCTAACCGCAGCTCTACTTTGAGCTAACCGCAGCTCTACTTTGAGCTAACAGCAGCTCTACTTTGAGCTAACAGCAGCTCTGCTCTGAGCTAACAGCAGCTCTGCTCTGAGCTAACAGCAGCTCTGCTCTGAGCTAACACCAGCTCTACTTTGAGCTTCAAACCAGTTGTTTCGAAACCAGCACTCCTCAATCCAAAGATGCCTCTTTGTTGACTTGTTTGTGTGAGGGATGGGGCTAATGGTGTACTAGCTGTGCTAGTACTTGTTAGCAACAATCCGAACTAGCGCACACACTGCACTGCATTGCTTTGTACTGCATTCAAGACTGACGTCATGCGCTTTGTTTTGCTGCGTAATCACAAATGGCACCAGCCCATTTTGCGGAAAAGAAAAACAAATCTTGCTTGCCCTGTTGTGCTCTTCCAGACAACGGATCGTGCTTCAGCAGTGTTTCTTTTCCCACCATCCCTCCCTATCCAACTTATTCACACCATCATAATTATCATACCCACTAATCGGGTCCACTCTCACAACTGGTGTTATCTAGCTATTTGCTGCGGCTCTGCCTTGCGCTATATTACATCCATTTAGCATTGCAGCTCTACGTTGAGCTAACAGCAGCTCTACTTTGAGCTAACAGCAGCTCTACTTTGAGCTAACAGCAGCTCTACTTTGAGCTAACCGCAGCTCTACTTTGAGCTAACAGCAGCTCTACTTTGAGCTAACAGCAGCTCTACTTTGAGCTAACCGCAGCTCTACTTTGAGCTAACAGCAGCTCTACTTTGAGCTAACAGCAGCTCTACTTTGAGCTAACAGCAGCTCTACTTTGAGCTAACAGCAGCTCTACCTTGAGCTAACAGCAGCTCTACTTTGAGCTAACAGCAGCTCTACTTTGAGCTAACAGCAGCTCTACTTTGAGCTAATCGCAGCTCTACTTTGAGCTAACAGCAGCTCTACTTTGAGCTAACCGCAGCTCTACTTTGAGCTAACCGCAGCTCTACTTTGAGCTAACAGCAGCTCTACTTTGAGCTAACAGCAGCTCTGCTCTGAGCTAACAGCAGCTCTGCTCTGAGCTAACAGCAGCTCTGCTCTGAGCTAACACCAGCTCTACTTTGAGCTTCAAACCAGTTGTTTCGAAACCAGCACTCCTCAATCCAAAGATGCCTCTTTGTTGACTTGTTTGTGTGAGGGATGGGGCTAATGCAGCATTTTACGGTGATTTAAGCCAGCACCCTCTATTGCAGGTTTGCCGAGTGGAAGGTTTGATGGACTTCTCGTGTGCTCTGGATGGCAGTTGTGAGTCAGTCAAGTGAGAATTTAAGTCGGCAGGAAAAGCGCTACACCATGTAGGGAGCAACACAAAATTACCCTCTATAAACCAGCATAATTTTCATGTACTCCGTGTTAGTGTCATGTTCAGTTGGAATTGATTCATCTGACTGCTGACAAATCATTTGAAGTTTTCTCTTCCTCCACTTCTGTTCCCTGTTGCCTTGGATTTGTTTTACTACCTAACCGGAGTTGAAAAATAGGATACACACCACGCGCATGCGCGCACGCACGCACACACACACACACACACACACACACACACACACACACACCTTTGGACCTTTGGAAAGCCCATCACCGAAGGCGATGATAGCTATTAGGCGAGGCAGTAGCACACACACACACACACACACACACACACACACACACACACACACACACACACATACTCTCCTTTCTGCTCCTAGGCTCTGCCAATATAGTCAGAAACGTATCCGCTTATCCAGATCCAAAATTCTCCCCGGTGGTAACAATCTTTAGGGAATAACAAGAATGAAATGGAACCAACATGTTTCTCCTTTATGCCAAGGGTGATTGCAGATGATTCCTTGTAAGGGAATGACTCGGACATAGTACTTTATTCGTGGTGCTGTATCCTTTCATGTACAACATATTTCCCCAATCAATCTTCTTGTTTGTAGGAGGTTCTTAAAGACCGGCCGGGCAAGCCGTTCTACTATGAGCGGCGGGAAACACCAGCATGGCGTAACTTTGTGCATGCAGAGCTGTGCTGGATGAACCGTGTCATCAAGGAAGTGCACTGCACTCTGCAGGTATGAATCACGTTAGCTTAGCGAGTTATGCCATGGCTGTTATCGTCTCCTACCGCTTTAAGAGCTGCATCTGTGCCTTGTTCCACATTGGTGCGGCCATGAACTTTGAAGAGGTGGGGGTCCGGGATCCACCCCTAGAAGTTTTAAGAAAACTAGGCCGAATTAGCCCATATTTTATTACTTCTAGAATCACAAGATAAAATTATCAGTGCGGCTTTGGGCGCACCTGCCGCACTGATTCCGACGCCCCTGCATACATCAGGTCTTTGCTGACACAGCTAGGCTGCTTCATTGTTGCACAGTGGTCTGTGATGTCACCAGAGCATCTAGTTACACAGTGCTATCAGCAAGGCCATTGTGTTATGCACTGGCTGGCCAGCTTGGGTGTAACTTTCACATGATGTGCACGTGAATACTCTCCAGGTATTTGCATACACCAACTGCCTGCAGTCACATCACTGGTTTTGCTTACCTGACAGCTGTTCACCAACTCACTTACTTCACTACCATCACAATGCTCACCCACTACCAACCAACCCATCTTTCAATACTTGCTCAATTACAAATAACAACATTTTGTTAGTGACTGCTTGCCTGTAATCATGACATTTACCCAACAGTCTTTGGTAACTATTATCCTCAGTTCAGAGAGCGAAGACCATCACGTATATTGTTGCCCTGCTTTGCATTCCTACTCTTTGTATAGGGAAAATTTAACAACAAGGGATCTGCCTCTTTATATGTGTGTGTGTGTATTTTTTAATGCCAAACATGAGCTGCAGCTTAGGACGCACGCACAACATGCAACATGAATCTTGTGTGTGTGTGTGTCTCTCTCTCCCAGGGTATCAAATTAGCTCTAGAGCAACGCAAGCCATCGTTCGATTGCCTGTCTCCAGACATGCGTTCGGCGTACCAGTGCCTTCAGCAGTCGATTGTGCCACCGCACTGGTGTGAGCTGGCTGGGCCAGCGTCACCACCTTGCAACACCAGTGCCAATGCCTGGATGCATGATCTGCAGCAGAGGAATGCTCATCTTGAGAGCGTGCTTACTCAGGTGAGTAGAGCTAGTCTCAGTGTTACCAACTGCCCGTATTTGTCTGTATTTTTTACGGAAAAACGATGTTTTGTCTGCAGTACGGATTTCAATCGAATTATCCCGGAAAAGCGAAAAAAATACGGTGTCTTCGAAAGGAGGGAAAAATGGTGCAGAAGGCGCCCATCCACATGCCATCGATCGATCTACCCAAAATCGGATCGCAGCCTGCATGCAGTGCGCTGTACATGTATACATGCTATGTGCATCATGCGACTCTTTGAAGCAAGCGATAGCTTTTTCGGCTTTTTCTTCAATCCAGCTTCTTGCCTTGGTTCCTTGTGAGAAATTTGCACAGGTAATAAAAACTATACAGGTGAGAAATGATAGGAAATTCAGCAAGTGCAGTGTGACAATGGACATGCATGTGCAAGTGTGTGTGTTTTGGTTTTTTCCAAATTACACTAAATAATCAGTGAGATTGTTGACCTGAAAAAAACGAGTACGGAAAACGCTGAAAAATTCCGCAAAATGACACTGAGCAATACGGATGGGGTAGAGGGCACTTGGTAACACTGTAGTCTGCAGTGGGGGAATTTCCTCGATAAGCGGTGGTATGTATGTATGTGTGTATATCAAATAAACATTCTGGTCGTAGGGGAGCCAAGTGTGTTCTAAAGCAGCAGCAGCAGCAGCAAAAGGAAAAGAGAAAAACTAACTGCTTTGCAAAACACGCTGCCTATACCTATCACGATCAGCTGCGACGAGAGAGAGAGAGGCAGGCAGGCAGGCAGACAGACAGACAGACAGACAGACAGACAGACAGACAGACAGACAGACAGACAGACAGACAGACAGACAGACAGCCAGACAGACAGACTGAACGAGAATTGTATGATTGATGGGTGGTAGGGGTTTTGAAATACTTAAGAGAGCATGTCTGAGAATACCAAAGTATGTGTGCAAGTGGATCTCTCCGATTTCGCTCAAAATTTGCAGGTAGGTTCCCTTTGGGGTGTGGATCGATTATGCAAAGCCCTTGAAAAAGTTTCTGAAGGGAACCTTGAAATTTGCATACCCCTCAAAAATGGCCGAAATATCACATTATTTATGGGTCTAGAAACGAGTCACGCCACAGCGTATACGAACAAGCTATGAACAAAACTCCATCAAGCCAACATTGCCTCACCTTAGAAGAGTTCCTGGAGCAGTACCGCTTAGCCACGCCAGCATCCCAGAAGACGAGGTCCATCACCCCCTGACGCCACAAATGATCGTCTTGAAAATAGCCAATTTACAAGCGCTGGCAAAACAGCCAGCTACGTCCTCAATTGGCCAGAACTATACACCGGCAGATAGTAGAACACCTCTTCTAGCGCTGAGGACATGTCCCCCATCTTCCTTTTGGGGTTTTCTTGAAATAAACTTTTTTGAATTTTTCCACTCGACCATGCTGAAATACGGCCAAAGTCATACCTGCGCAGGAAAGCTCGCAACTCCGCGACGTCTCCTCAGCAATTTCTACTCCAACACTACTCCCAAGGCCGCAGAACAACATGTAGTGTTGACTCTGACAAGGAAAAGCAGCGGTGATCACTTGTCACTCCAAACGACAAGCTTCTCCTTGCGCCACCAATAATTTTTTGTGCGACTGTTGCTGCAAAAGTGACTGAAGGCCTGAGCGCAGTTTTTGAATTTTATTGCAAGATGCACGGTGAAATCACGTGCCTTGTGACGCAAGAATGCCAAGTCGCGTGGCCCACGGCTCACGCGATTTCAGAGTCACCTTTGTCAAGTGCGCTTGTTACTCGCCTTGAACGCCCGTTGGTCTGGAAGTGATCACACTTGTGTTGTTACGGCGCTCAAGAACACGCTGACCGTGTTGTAGGCCTACGAACCGGGACTTTCCCTGACCATGTAGGTCGAAGACCAGTGAAATGATGATGAAATCACATTCTTTATGACGTAAGAAATCTCTCATGCAGTTCACGCGACAAGTGCGTGCAGCCAGTGCTGCTCGCGTGCCAGTCAACACAAAGGGACCGAGCTAGTCGCTTTTGGCGAGCATCGACATGAAAACAAGGGACTTTTACTGTTGGACTATGTTCGGGATTGCAGGAGGTAAGTGTGAAAGAGGAATAACTCTCCATGCTGTACGGGGCATATTCCAACGGCTTGCTGCCATTGCAACACTCCTAGGACAGTTTGTGGGGGTTCTCAGCAGTTCAAGCAGGAAATGAAGCTCATCTTACCTCTGCCATCATGGTCTGTTCCGAGTAGCGTTCCAGGCACATTCGCGATCGATGGCCGCGTAACGTGATGCAGGAAGCGTCATCCTACGTCACAGAGCACGTGATCTCACCGTGCATCTTGCAATAAAATTCAAAAACTGCGCTCAGGCCTTCAGTCACTTTTGCATCAACAGTCGCACAAAAAATTATTGGTGGCGCAAGGAGAAGCTTGTCGTTTGGAGTGACAAGTGATCACCGCTGCTTTTCCTTGTCAGAGTCAACACTACACTTTGTTCTGCGGCCTTGGGAGTAGTGTTGGAGTAGAAATTGCTGAGGAGACGTCGCGGAGTAGCGAGCTTTCCTGCGCAGGTATGACTTTGGCCGTATTTCAGCATGGTCGAGTGGAAAAATTCAAAAAAGTTTATTTCAAGAAAACCCCAAAAGGAAGATGGGGGACATGTCCTCAGCGCTAGAAGAGGTGTTCTACTATCTGCCGGTGTATAGTTCTGGCCAATTGAGGACGTAGCTGGCTGTTTTGCCAGCGCTTGTAAATTGGCTATTTTCAAGACGATCATTTGTGGCGTCAGGGGGTGATGGACCTCGTCTTCTGGGATGCTGGCGTGGCTAAGCGGTACTGCTCCAGGAACTCTTCTAAGGTGAGGCAATGTTGGCTTGATGGAGTTTTGTTCATAGCTTGTTCGTATACGCTGTGGCGTGACTCGTTTCTAGACCCATAAATAATGTGATATTTCGGCCATTTTTGAGGGGTATGCAAATTTCAAGGTTCCCTTCAGAAACTTTTTCAAGGGCTTTGCATAATCGATCCACACCCCAAAGGGAACCTACCTGCAAATTTTGAGCGAAATCGGAGAGATCCACTTGCACACATACTTTGGTATTCTCAGACATGCTCTCTTAATGATTTGCTTCTTGCAAATAGAGATACATCACATTTTTTAGCATAGGCTTTCCAGTTGATGGACTTGCAATCCAACTGTGAGTGTAATTTCCTTTTGTTTTGCCTCACTCTTAGCCCCGTGAGAAGATACCCTGCTATCAGCTGGGCCTGTTCTCCGATCCCGCCAGTATGCTGTCGGCTGTAGTTCAGGTAAGGGTGTATCCTAGTGAAGGTGTGCATACGGTGGTCCTTGCATCGTAATCACCTTGTGTAAATCATGTCATGCGTGGCCTGACCATTGTTTTCTTGTTGAAACCGGTCAACGAGTCCCGACACGGCGTGCTCACTCACTGTAACATTGGTTGCAACTGCTAGTTGGTTTGAGCGGGGTTTTGAATCTAGTCTGTGCCTGCACAAGAATGCTGCTTTTTGCCAATTCTCTCACCTGCTCTGGTATGCAGGATATACCGAAAGCTATTCGCGAGCGGCTAGCCGTCACAATCGAACCCAGAATGCTCAGAGCTGAGGTCACCAGCCGAGATCGCGAGCATGTAAGTTATGACATGGGCAGCGTGCGCACACGCGTGTGTGTGTGTGTCTGTGTGCGTGTGTCTGTGTGTGTATGTGTGTGTGTGTGGGGGGGGGGGGGGGGTACTTGTATGAGTGAATTTAGTGTATGTGGTCACTGACCACTAGCGCACTCCAATCTGCTGTACGAGTATGGCCGCTGTTGAACCGTGTTCCCTGCCCGCGCTGTGCTGTGGTGTGCATGAAAAGTGATTGCGTTTACAACAGGTCAGGTGGCAATACCATACAAGTTTGTAAATAAGCATTGCGCAGTACTGGTCACACCTGTACTAACTTCTGTGCATGAACTAACTTTCATACCTGACTTCTATGTAGTGGAGAAGTCGTTTTTTTCTTCATTTGCGTATCGTAGCATGCACATGTACGTGTGCAGGGTACGATATGTGCGTGTACAACGTACTGCTGCTGATGTGTATGTGTATGTATGTGTGTGTTTGTGTATGTGTGCGTGCGTGTGTGTGTGTGTGTGTATGTGTGCGTGCGTGTGTGTACAGCTCCGCGCCCCGCCACCGGAAGGTGTGTTTGTCCACGGTGCACAGCTATGGGGTGCTGCGTGGGAAAGGAGCAGCGCCGACGCGTACGACGCCTGTCCTCGCACGTCACCCTCGCCAATGCCTGTTATCCAGCTGAAGCCGGTGACATTGGACTTTTCACCGTCGCAGAAGGACGCCCAGGGCGGGCAGGTCACTGGGCCCGGCGGTATGGTGCTGCAAATGGGCAACCCGTCAAAGACAAGTGGCGGTCCCTTGTCCGCCGCTTTCCACTGTCCCGTCTTTCATGCCCAGGGTTCCAAGAACAGACCTCCACTGTTCACCGTCGATTTCTACAAGCACGAGGACCGCCTGCCCCTGCGCTGCACGCATGCCACACTTCGCCCGTTCTAGAAGCGTTGCGTTTCCGAGAGCTGTCCGTTACGCTGCTTGCCTGGATTCGAGTATTCTGTCCATGACTTCGACGTGTATCCGACCTTAGTTTGTGTGTTATTTGGTCTGTATAGAGACAAGTTGTGACATCATCATTGTGCTGTTGACACTGCATGGACATCGACTAAGATGAACATGCCTAGTGTTCTTGATCTGTGTTGTTTCTCACCTCTGCCCATCGATTCTATTCCACTACATTTTGCCATGTTACCCTGAAAAGCAGATCAGAAATTCATGTACACTATGCTATGTGTATCATTGTATGGGTTTGACGCAGTTGAAACTTTAGTGATTTATCAAGAATTTGCCACCACACAGTATCCTACCAATTGCATTTGCAACCGTCACTGGTATTTGTGTATGTGACATTGTTAAACCGGTGCTTTCATGTCCAATTGACCAAAAGTCTCTTCCCAGTTTTACATGCCTGTTTTGTATGCTCGGCTGCGTTCTCTTCAATGCTTTCGTTCCATTTTTTCAATTGTTCCTGCTTGTGCACTTTTGACGGGTCTTGGCATTCCACAATTTAATGGGTACCGGGTGGCCGTCGTTAGGTTTGATATAATTATTATTGTAGCCCGGTATGACTATGCTTGTACTATTCTTGTTTTATGACTTGCCGACATACGTTTGACATGCTTTTGATATGCTTTTCGGTCTTTTTTGCTCGACAACCATGTACAGGACTGTAGCACGGGGATTTCAGATGCTCCGGCCAAATGGGATACTTGACCGGAAATGTGCAACATTAACCCCGTTTTGCACGAATTGGGTGAATTGAAGTTTTCCAAAATCATGAAGGCCAAGGCCGCACCTGGTGCCACAGCCCTGATATTGCATCGGTGGTTGCCCAATACCGGTACCAGTAGGCAGTACTAGTACGTGTATCTTATCTTGTTTTCTTGCCATGATTTTGATGGACGTAGACCAGGTACAGCCTACAGGTCGATAGTGACTAGACATGGAAATGTATTGATATGTTGGACTAAAACTAAAAGCTGCTATAGTGCTAAATCGACCTCCTGTTGACAGTTTTGTGCCCTCATGACCAGTGATGACTGACTGCATTAGCGTGAGTGAGCCAAGCATATGCCCGCACTAGTGCACTTGCATGTGGATGACATGCATTTGCCAGTTCGGTGGGGTAGACCTCCTCAGGCCACGTTTACTATGTTTGAAAACTGTCCTGATCTTTTTTGTCACACTCGACACGATGGGCAGTGCACTGACTATCGCAAGTGAATGATGCAAACCAGGTGAGCGCGCAGACAAACGTGCTAGACAGTGCATGCGGTCTCTGCGCCTGGAAGCTGTGATTTTCACAAAACCGGTCAACCTATGATATGCGGCCACAAAGCCAAAAGGCAGTGTGAGACTGCCGTGCGGAGTAACCTAGTACTGAGTACTAGTAGTAGTTCTGTGCACGGACTGTGTAAACCTGTCACTAATGCAGTGATGGTCATGTCCTCGGAGCATCCGAGTTTGCGGCACAGGGTTTTCTCCGGTTGGTTTTGATGGACAGTTTATTCGGACATTACTAACTGGTCTGTTCGCTCATTCTGATCATCCTGTCACCGTTGATGTCAAGCTTGGTGTACAGTCGCAGAAATAATGGCGACTGACGATAGGCCGAGCCTGTCACCACAGTCCGCGAAGCTCAGCTAGCAATGAACATGCGACGCAAGGTGAGGGTTGTCCGACCGAAGGAAATTTTCCGCGAATCGACAGGTACCACACCTTTTGCTTGCTTCATTCTCTCTGTCGTCGTAACGGCGGGCCTCGTAGAACACGTCCACAACACTTCCAGTCACGTTCTCATTCTGAGCCGGGACGGCGGGAGGACGAAATGGCGGAGAAAGCAAAGGCCGTGACCGAGGCGGCCGGCAGCGAAAGCAGCAGCGGTGAAGACTCGGATGGGGAGACGGAGACGTCGTTATTCAGCCCGTACTTGTCAGCTAATGCTCTGCCACTGCTGTACACGAATCTTGCTGGCGAAATGGTGTACGTGCTGTCCACTCGCCTGGCAGCCACTCCTGGTATCAGCGAGAGCAAGCGACAAAAAGGTACGTGAGATGTCCTACAATCACATACTGTAATCATGGTAATTGCTCATGCAGCGATAGGTAGTTCATGGTTCATGGTTAGCAAGGAAGGAACGAGTGGCATCCTCGTCCTTTCATTCAGACAATGACTGATGTGATGATGTATGGAGTCTTGGAGATGGGTTGCCGCATGGTGTTCAGCATGTGCGTGTGGGAGGGGTACACGAAATACTTGATGCACAGGTTGGTACCAGGGACTGCCCAGCATGCCATGCGCCAGTGTTGGCCGTTGGTTGTTGGATTTTGCATGTCCATGTTGCACAGGAAGCCGGGTGTGCCCTTGTGGATGTACCATTACCAATACTGACCGTGTGCCATGTGTTCTACTGATGATGTCTTGAATGTGTGTGCACCTATTGGTAAAAATACTTGTAAATCCTGTGACTCGGGCCTGTCGCACTACTTTATTACTATTCAAGATCGGTACAATGGTCTTGGCGATTTTCAAGAGCAATTGTCCAAAGCGCCTCAGTGGATTTACAATGGCTTCTGTGTTAGGTGTACTGAGTTGGCTTCCTTCAACAGTATCGCTAAGTTCTAATTGTTATGTTCGGCCTGCAAGCCATAATTATAATCAAGAGTACATAACCCCCCAGAGTGTGCAACGCCTGATCCAGCTCTGCATAGGGTCTTGGTCGAGCGGAATCGGATCTTTGCGTCATAATACGGTACACATCTGAGGGGAACCCGGGGAGTCGCGGGTACTCTTGGATCAAAAACAATGGTGCCCTGCCTCGAGACCGGCCTTGCGCTGGTGTGAAGTGTACGCATGACATCAGAAGATCCGATTCCGCTCGACCAAGACCCTACACAGAGCTGGATCGGCGTTGCACACTCTGGGGGGTTATGTACTCTTGTTATAATACAGATGAGAGAGACAGTACGGAGAGAGACAATACGGCGACAAACACTATACACTACACAAATGACTATGACGTTTGTACTGATGTTGATTACTGTGTTGCTCTTGTGTGCGCCCTCTGGTCAGTTCTCTGCGCACTTGTTGATACGATATTTGATCGGCGCTTCGTGGACGAGAGTCTCATGAGCTACACGATCTCACCAAGCCGCGGTGCCTTCAAAGGCATTTTCCAGAAACTCATTGAAATCAGTTCTATCAAGGTTGGATCAACCAGCCTGAATAAGGTAAGTAGCCGCGCTGCTCGTAGGAATACTTGTGCTGTTTGCTGTGGCTGTATTCTGAAACATGTTAGAGAGAGTATCATTCTGAAACATGTTAGAGAGAGTATCATTCTGAAACATGTTAGAGAGAGTATCATTCTGAAACATGTTAGAGAGAGTATCATTCTGAAACATGTTACAGAGAGTATCATTCTGAAACATGTTAGAGAGAGTATCATTCTGAAACATGTTAGAGAGAGTATCATTCTGGAACATGTTAGAGAGAGTATCATTCTGAAACATGTTAGAGAGAGTATCATTCTGAAACATGTTAGAGAGAGAGTATCATTCTGAAACATGTTAGAGAGAGAGTATCATTCTGAAACATGTTAGAGAGAGAGTATCATTCTGAAACATGTTAGAGAGAGAGTATCATTCTGAAACATGTTAGAGAGAGTATCATTCTGAAACATGTTAGAGAGAGTATCATTCTGAAACATGTTAGAGAGAGTATCATTCTGAAACATGTTAGAGAGAGTATCATTCTGAAACATGTTAGAGAGAGTATCATTCTGAAACATGTTAGAGAGAGTATCATTCTGAAACATGTTGGAGAGTATCATTCTGAAACATGTTAGAGAGAGTATCATTCTGAAACATGTTGGAGAGAGTATCATTCTGAAACATGTTAGAGAGAGTATCATTCTGAAACATGTTAGAGAGAGTATCATTCTGAAACATGTTAGAGAGAGTATCATTCTGAAACATGTTAGAGAGAGAGTATCATTCTGAAACATGTTAGAGAGAGTATCATTCTGAAACATGTTAGAGAGAGTATCATTCTGAAACATGTTAGAGAGAGTATCATTCTGAAACATGTTAGAGAGAGTATCATTCTGAAACATGTTAGAGAGAGTATCATTCTGAAACATGTTAGAGAGAGAGAGTATCATTCTGAAACATGTTAGAGAGAGAGTATCATTCTGAAACATGTTAGAGAGAGAGTATCATTCTGAAACATGTTAGAGAGAGTATCATTCTGAAACATGTTAGAGAGAGAGTATCATTCTGAAACATGTTAGAGAGAGAGTATCATTCTGAAACATGTTAGAGAGAGAGTATCATTCTGAAACATGTTAGAGAGAGAGTATCATTCTGAAACATGTTAGAGAGAGTATCATTCTGAAACATGTTAGAGAGAGTATCATTCTGAAACATGTTAGAGAGAGTATCATTCTGAAACATGTTAGAGAGAGTATCATTCTGAAACATGTTGGAGAGTATCATTCTGAAACATGTTAGAGAGAGTATCATTCTGAAACATGTTGGAGAGAGTATCATTCTGAAACATGTTAGAGAGAGTATCATTCTGAAACATGTTAGAGAGAGTATCATTCTGAAACATGTTAGAGAGAGTATCATTCTGAAACATGTTAGAGAGAGAGTATCATTCTGAAACATGTTAGAGAGAGTATCATTCTGAAACATGTTAGAGAGAGTATCATTCTGAAACATGTTAGAGAGAGTATCATTCTGAAACATGTTAGAGAGAGTATCATTCTGAAACATGTTAGAGAGAGTATCATTCTGAAACATGTTAGAGAGAGAGTATCATTCTGAAACATGTTAGAGAGAGAGTATCATTCTGAAACATGTTAGAGAGAGAGTATCATTCTGAAACATGTTAGAGAGAGTATCATTCTGAAACATGTTAGAGAGAGAGTATCATTCTGAAACATGTTAGAGAGAGAGTATCATTCTGAAACATGTTAGAGAGAGAGTATCATTCTGAAACATGTTAGAGAGAGTATCATTCTGAAACATGTTAGAGAGAGTATCATTCTGAAACATGTTAGAGAGAGTATCATTCTGAAACATGTTAGAGAGAGTATCATTCTGAAACATGTTAGAGAGAGTATCATTCTGAAACATGTTAGAGAGAGAGTATCATTCTGAAACATGTTAGAGAGAGAGTATCATTCTGAAACATGTTAGAGAGAGAGTATCATTCTGAAACATGTTAGAGAGAGTATCATTCTGAAACATGTTAGAGAGAGAGTATCATTCTGAAACATGTTAGAGAGAGAGTATCATTCTGAAACATGTTAGAGAGAGAGTATCATTCTGAAACATGTTAGAGAGAGAGTATCATTCTGAAACATGTTAGAGAGAGTATCATTCTGAAACATGTTAGAGAGAGAGTATCATTCTAAAACATGTTAGAGAGAGAGTATCATTCTGAAACATGTTAGAGAGAGAGTATCATTCTGAAACATGTTAGAGAGAGAGTATCATTCTGAAACATGTTAGAGAGAGTATCATTCTGAAACATGTTAGAGAGAGTATCATTCTGAAACATGTTAGAGAGAGTATCATTCTGAAACATGTTAGAGCTATCATACGGGTATACATGTACTTGGTACATACCTTCTGAAGGTATGTACCAAAAGTTCTGGGCTGAGTGTGTTTGCGTGTGTTTGTCTGCAATTGCCTATGCTGCCTGTAGATGTACGACCTCATGATAATGTCATTGAAGAGTCAAGTGAGTCTAGTGTGCTTGTATACGGCTGCTGTTCATCTGGAACACCAGTAACACTGGTGTTAATAATCGGGGGACCCAGAGTGTGTGTGTATGTGTGTGTATGTGTGTACTTGACGACTGGTATGAAGTGGCCACCTCTTCTCGCTCCAAATGGCGCAAGGCTTACCGTTGTCTGCCAGACAAGCAGAACAGACCTCGACCATCACCGGTTATGTGCCAAACTTGTCACCGCTCCTTCAGTCGTGTAAGTGACAGGAAGCGACACAAGTGTACAGCTACGCGTGCCCTACCCGTAAGCCAACAGCCAGGAAGCTGTCACTGCGATCAGTGCGACAGATGGTTCCGGAGCAAGGGTGGATTTGCCCGACACAAGTGCTCGCCAGCAACATCACCAGCAGAGGCATCTTCTGACACACTTGAGTCACCGGTTACAAACAATATGTCCTGCGAACGCTGCAGCTTCCACTGCGCCCACTGCAACCGCTGTGTGCTATCGCGCCAAGGCATGAAACGTCACAAGTGCAGCCGTGGCTCGGCCAGAGCAACCAACACAGACCGTAGCTCCTTCTGCATCGTTTGCAATTGCGGTCGGCGTTTCAGTAGACCACAGGACCTATCCCGTCATCGCCCCTACTGTTCCGAACCTGCTCAACCCCCCCCCCCCCCCATGGGGTCCGCATAGCCAGAATATGGCAGCGCGTCCAAGGTCCAAGGTGTGTATGTGTGTATGTGTGTATATGTGTGTGTATGTGTGTGTGTTTCAGTGACAGTGGGGGAGGAGGGGTGACACTGACCTCACCTGTTTTGAGGTTTAAACTAGTGTCATCCCCACTAGCCCGGATACAACTATAGCCAGTGTGTGGCACATCCAAGGCTGACAGCATGCCAGAACTGCCAACTTTCTTTCATTCCACATTGATAGGGAGATCTCCCTCCAGGTTGGGCAACCAGTAGGGAGGTCGACTGCCTTCAACATGTAGAGGTGTTCATCTGTTGTTTTTGAACTTGTTGTCATGTCCTCCTTCTTTCTTGTTTTGCGACTCGCTGCACATCCATGGTTGGCAACTTAGCATACTTGCCGCATAGTCTGAGCCGAGTTGGGAGGTTTTCAAGTCTGGTCGGGCGATATTGAGATGTTTCGGAAACACTACCAAACTCAGGGAATCTCCCGCCTGATCCGGGGAGATTCGGCACCCCAGCATTCAGAGCATGTCCATCTATTGCGAAACGACTACAGTCCCTATTGCTTGTATGACAGCATGCACATTCGAGTAATTGAAGAAAAAAATCAAATAATCAAATTGTCTGCTACAAAATTTAATACTACTTTGAGTGCTCGGTAAGTTATAAGCACTTCACCCCTAGTGTTTTATCTAGCTTCTCATCATCTACGCTGATACGTTGGTGGTATCATAGACTGCCAGTGCCTTTCCAGGTTTCTATTTTATGTTTGTCTGATCCCTTGCTGCCACTATCTATCTGTGTGTCTTGTCGGGTTTAAGTTACAACATGCTGGTTTGCTTTGTTGATTGCTTCAGCTGTACTCGTGCCCACGACCAGAGGACTTCCTCTTGGTGACCATAAACCACTTGGACGGCATACAGAATGCCATTGGACCTAACCCAGGAACTGTGGAGTTACTGGACAACATCTATGACATTGTACTGAAAGTAAGTCACAGTAGACACAAAGGTTGCCACACGGCATCAATCTCATTGCCGCGATGACACGGCCCATTTGACAGTCAACCAAATGCGACGTACAGTGCTGCTCAATAAAATCCGATCATGTGATCACGTGATCACGTGAATCATGTACGCACCGGGGGCTGTGCAGCCCTAGACCTGCAAACACTGGAATGTTCACTGTTGCAGGGAGCGAAGCTGACTCATTCAATAGGATTTCTTTGAGCAGCACTGTACTTTGCTGGTACGTGTGTGCAGTTAGTCATGGAGGAGAAAGTTCGAGTGATTGTTAGAAATCATCTCTCCAACGCCTTCACAACCAAGGTCTTCCACTGCAATTCGCAGCAATTAACTAAGTTTTCAAATTGTTAAATTGCTAGAAAGTTGTCCTTAATCTAGTCTCTATTTTATTTGTTTGCTGTTGATATTGCTTTTGCTGTTGTTGCTGCTATCGTTGTTATTGCTGTTGTCCATTCCCGTTTAGAACTTCCAAGATCTGACATCCGGTCAGTTCATTGTGCTCAGACAGCTGCTTCTGAATTTCTTTCTCGATGCGAAAACTAAGGTAAATGACTGAACATTTCAAGTGCTGCCTAACTTTCATCTTTCACTACACACGTAGAAGAAAGACCCGACTCAGAATTCGTTGCAACTACGAGTTTCGTGCTTTTGTAGCAATCATCAGTCAACTGATGATGAGAAATAGAAAGAAGGCCCCTTTATAACTGATAGTCTGGCAATGGGTAGCAAGTAAACAGGGAATTGAGCGAGTATCAGTAATTGAGGCTAAAATCAGCAGTGTCCTGGCCTGATTTGTCACGGTACGGTCATAACGTCAATCATCATCAAGAGACTACATGCTGGGTAGGATCACAACTCGGTGTGAGCCAGTGGAAGAGCGCCAACGACATGGTCAGCTGGCTCAACTGCATCGAGGAGAAGGACAGGTGCACGTTCAACTCTCTGTGAAATTGCTATCCGCTACCAGCACCAGTTATAAGGGAGCCTTCTTTCTATTTCTCTCTAACTGTTATATAAGCATGAAACTCTGAGTTGAAACATACGTTCCGCCTGGTTCAAGTACAGAAACGATGTAGCAACCAGGTAGAAGAATCCCTACTCTACCTCCCCTCTCCTCCCCCCCCCCCCCCCACCCCTCCCAACCAATCACACGGCATATAAAGTAAACATTGTACCATGGCTTGTGTTTGGTGATTGCGTCACAAATGATGCAGCATAGGTAGGAACTGCAGAGGTGAATACCCGTGACGTCATCCACAAGAGCATGACTGCAACAATACAGTGAGCCGCGTCAGGTATGTGTGCTTGAACTTGAAAAACCTTTGACACTGGTTGTTTTGAAACTCTGCTCTAACGTCGCTCCTCTGTCCGGCTGAATGGACTGTTTTTCTGTGCCAAGGTCTCGGTGCTGATGAAGGAAGGCTTGCAGAATGAGAACGGCCTTGTCATTCAGCATGGCGGTGGCAATGTTCCGCACAGCTGTGAGCCACCAGGCGCCATAAGGTAACTATGAACAGCTGTGTTGCAGTCCCGTTGGGTTAAGTGCAGCCTTGGTTGAATGTGAGTTAGCTGTAGAGCAACTGATATTCCTTGTGCTTCTGCTGCTCAGCCGGAAACAGATTATTTAGAAAATAATCTTATTGTGAGCCTTGTCAGCATTAAACAGAAACAAATAGCCAGCACTGATTAGCTTGCAATGTGATGTAAGGCTTCATGTTTGGCACACTCGTCGAGTCATTACTACATGTACATATCACGATTTGACTGCTCTGTTCAATTAGACCGTGGCAGATCACATCACGTATAATATGTAACGCCGGTATGCCAGGCACCGAATACCCACATGCTGTCATCAAGATGAGTTGGTTTTGAACAGGTCAAGCACTGTACTCCAAAATGTATGTGCCTACAACTACCGTCAGGGCACGAGTAAGTGGTTGGTAAAGCTGAACGATCATTGCTTCCGGTGTTGATCTTTTTCTTTCTTTTTTTGACACCTTCTCGGTGCAGGTACTTCAAGCAAGATGGCCGCACGCCGGCAAGAGAGGAAGGAAGCTTTGCAGTCGACTATCGCTATGAGCCGAGTTTGCCAGCGCCATCGCTTGAACGCCACGATCATCGCGGCACAAAGCTGGGACTTAACTTGTAAGACTGAGGCTATTCTTTCTACAATGTCATGACAAAAGCTTTTAAAAACATGCATAGCTCTGTACTAGTATGAAGCAGTACCCCCACACAGACACGCGCGCGCCCCGCATCCCCGTACATACATAAATTCCTTAAATAGTTGTCTTGAATTTGTATGATCTTGGAATCCAACCAATTCTAGTGACCTGTCATTATATCTTTATTTGTTATGCATATCCACAACATGCACTGCCCTCTTTTCTTGTCTGTAGATACAACTCTCCTGGAAGTTCTGCTAAACCACCAGTTGCAGCAACTCCTCCAATTCGCGCACCCGACGCTAGCAGTCGCAATCAGACCGGCCCTGTGGATTCTATGGTAAGGTGTATCATCAACACAACGTGAATGTGATGCAAAACAAGATGCGTGCGAATTCCATCATAGTGCTAATTCGAGGCCAATGATGTACACGTGCTATCCATCATGGTCTTTATAGCTATTGCGAAGTTAGGATCTCCTTCCTAAACATGCGTGTTTTGTCAATAGTACCCCGCCCTCCATTGTCTTGAACACCGACCTTGCTTCGCACATGACCAATCGGTGTACCATCTTCATTCTTCATCCCGAAGGATGCACTGAAATGCTATTTGAACACGAGTTGCAGGTGTTGGTACATGTGGAATTCCATGTACCGTATTTCCCCGATTGTAAGGTGCACTCGATTATAAGTCGCACCCCCACTTTGAGGTTTGAACCACATTGTTTCAATACATGCATATAACTGCTAAGTAGGATGATGTCACTCTCGATTGTAAGTCGCATCCCCTTCTTTGCGCTTGAAGTTTAGTGTAAAAAGGTGCGACTTATATTCGGGGAAATACGGTATATCTGAGATTCTCCATCATGTGCTGTATGCGTGCCGTATGGACTATAATGCATGTAGGTGGACCAAGCAACCAAGGAGAAATTCCTACGACAGGCACGGGCCGAGGATGAACTCATGCGAAAGGCACTTGGTGAAAAGCAGCTGGTGAAAGGTTAGTTCTCATCCTGGAGATGCTGTTTCACTGTGGCCACTTGCAATGTGCATGGAAGTAACAATGGGCCGGACTACTGGCGGTACCGTAGGGAATTCACTCATTCCGAAAATATTTAGAGTTTAGAGTTAAGTTAACTTTGCCCTACTCATGTTGGGTGTGTGAATGAAAGCTGTTATCATGGCTCTCAATAAGTTCCCTAGCTGACAAGAGATACTGTACGGTTGTTTCGGGAGATCGTTTTTGGTAATTGTTGTTCCTTCCACAGGCACACTGGCAGGGATGGTGTTTGACCAAGATGTGCTTGACCCACAACCTCCAGTATTGCTGCTATCCTGTTACTTTCTCTCATTTGTGCAGGGAAGAAACCATCATTTGATCTTGAGCTGGATCTGGGTTTCGCATCAACAGACAGGTACAGCCAGTGTGCTGAATAAAACTATCATCGGACCTTGCAAAGTATTTACTGCAGCATTTCAATGCCGTCTGTTACATACTCATCGTGTTCCAGTAGCTCACATTTTGATGCACTGCCCTGTAGCTGTTGAAAGCACCCACATGAGACCATGCCATCAGCTAACGCATAACATTGTGGAGTGTGAATACTGGCGTGACTGCACTTGTTGAGGCCGCGCCATGACCCCGTCTCCTCAGTGTTATTTTGCATGACACAAAACTTCACTGTTTTGTACAGAAAGTCTTGTTTGCAGTATTGGTGCCAGATCGGATCTCTTGCAAACCTCTTGCAGTATTGGTGCCAGATCGGATCTCTTGCAAACCTCTTGCAGTATTGGTGCCAGATCGGATCTCTTGCAAACCTCTTGCAGTATTGGTGCCAGATCGGATCTCTTGCAAACCTCTTGCAGTATTGGTGCCAGATCGGATCTCTTGCAAACCTCTTGCAGTATTGGTGCCAGATCGGATCTCTTGCAAACCTCTTGCAGTATTGGTGCCAGATCGGATCTCTTGCAAACCTCTTGCAGTATTGGTGCCAGATCGGATCTCTTGCAAACCTCTTGCAGTATTGGTGCCAGATCGGATCTCTTGCAAACCTCTTGCAGTATTGGTGCCAGATCGGATCTCTTGCAAACCTCTTGCAGTATTGGTGCCAGATCGGATCTCTTGCAAACCTCTTGCAGTATTGGTGCCAGATCGGATCTCTTGCAAACCTCTTGCAGTATTGGTGCCAGATCGGATCTCTTGCAAACCTCTTGCAGTATTGGTGCCAGATCGGATCTCTTGCAAACCTCTTGCAGTATTGGTGCCAGATCGGATCTCTTGCAAACCTCTTGCAGTATTGGTGCCAGATCGGATCTCTTGCAAACCTCTTGCAGTATTGGTGCCAGATCGGATCTCTTGCAAACCTCTTGCAGTATTGGTGCCAGATCGGATCTCTTGCAAACCTCTTGCAGTATTGGTGCCAGATCGGATCTCTTGCAAACCTCTTGCAGTATTGGTGCCAGATCGGATCTCTTGCAAACCTCTTGCAGTATTGGTGCCAGATCGGATCTCTTGCAAACCTCTTGCAGTATTGGTCACGGCCAGATCGGATCTCTTGCAAACCTCTTGAAGTGGTGCAGCAAGTAATGGAAAATCTTCATCTGCTTTGCAACTGTCTTCTGTGTTAGCCCAAGCATGGAGAAAAAGTCTATCCAGCCTCAGGCGTCCACTAGTCCACCACAGCCTGGGGCTTCACAGGCTTCACTTGTTCCTAACACAGTGGCAGACTTTTCAAAGGTAAGAGCTAACAAATTAGTATAGGCCCAATGAGCTGTGTAGTTCGAAGTACCTGTACCTGGAGTTATGAAACACCGGAGAGGACGTGTCATCAATCTTGTTGTTGTGTGGCCAAAGCATCTCCAAAACTTGAAGAAAAACATATCTGCACCCTCCGAATTCCCGGGATTTCTACCGGGTATGGGGCTTCCCGAGAATATGTATTTTTTTTACTTGCGCCTCTTATTTTCTAGTCTGCTAAGGGCGCGTTCAGACTACCGTGAATCCCGTCAAACCGTGAATGCCGATAAACCGTGAAGGACATTCACACTCTACCGATAACAAACTAACGTTACCGTGAAGTTTTCAGCTCTCACCGCGGCACTGACAAGGGATTTTCCCTTTTTTCCCAGCGCGCATGCAGCCTGAGCACTTTTTTTACTGCCGGTAAAAGTTTACTGCCGCAGCAGCCGCAGCAGTAAAACTTTTCCACCGGTAACGTCACGTGATCCAATCACCTTGGCGACTTTCCCATTCCGTCACTTTTTATCGGCAGTCTGAACGCGCCCTAACCCGTTTGGCAAGCAGCAAAAAAAAAGAATGCGCCCAACGTGGGGCTCGAACCCACGACCCTGAGATTAAGAGTCTCATGCTCTACCGACTGAGCTAGCCGGGCTGCATGTTCAAAGGCAAATGAGATAAAACTAATAATAAGGCCACATTGAAAAAGTCCTTTGTTCAGGACATGGGAATATCTTTATAAGGCCTGTTGGTGTTTCAAGTTTCAACGGCATGAGTCTGCATCAAGCTCCAACTATTCTTATGCCTGACTGACCAAGCTATGCATCTGTTGCCATATGTTGCATCTTGTCACAACTGAAACCGCTGTGCCCCTGTGTCTGTGTTCTCCTGTAGGGCTCTCGCAAGACCTACGAGAGTATATGGAAAGAATTCACTTTCGACGACGAAGACCAAGGAGGTATGATTCTAGAACTTGATTACTTTGGGGGGTACTTTACTACTTACAGCACTGCTGCTCAATGAAATCCGATCACGTCACTCCAGCTTGTGCCCTGCACTACATGTAGTACACTATCCTGTGTTCGCAGGTCTAGGGCTACACGGTGCCCACGGTGGCATTCACTCGCTTGATCGGATTTCAATGGAGCACTGTACTGTACTTGTAGGCAACATGATTGTATTGAAGTCCAACATCTCTACAGTTATTATAAAATACTGTAAGTCAACAAAATTAATATTTGGCGGATATTTAATTTCGGCTATTTTTCGGGCTGGGCATTTTTGGCCTAAAATTTGCTGCAGCTGAAATTTTGTCTTGCAAGGTTCAGTGTGGCAATGTAGACAGGCAGGTTCAGGGTGGCAGTGTAGACAGCAGCAGTACAGCCCGAAATTTTAATGCGGCGTTTTAGTCCTGGAGGCCGAAATTTTTAAAACATGCCGAAAATGTGTAGACTGACAGTAATGGGTGCAGACCGCAGACCTTGCTATGCTAGTTATAAGATGAAGAGGTGCAAATGTAGCCCGTAGTCACTTTTCACCATAGGGTCAGGTGTTTAGGTTGTGAAAGACACCCCTTTACTACAATAAGCTTGACATGTGGAGGGCAGTGTTCACCTCTTCTTCCTCGTTGCCTTTCTACCCCTCATGTCTCTCTCTGTATTGAAGCCGACCATGAGGAGGAGAGCATGGTATGGGACAGCTGGCTGGGCTGGTGGTCAGGGAAGAAGACAAACAATACTCTCGTTTTGTTCTTGTGGTGTCCTGGGTACAGATAGCTCTGGAGGACTGGCGGACCAAGTGAGAGTGTAAAGTGTGCAAAAACAACAGCAACAGAGAGCAGCAGTAACGGGCACGTACGAGAAAAGCTCAAGAAGGACGTATCTGAGTACAATATGGAGGTAGCAAATGAACGTTGCTGTGAAGAGGCTCAGGCAGGACAAGGGCGCAATGCACATGACAGCTGATAACGTTAGACAGCAGATGGTGCAAAGGATCAGCCAGAGCGGCGGCGGTGGTATAACAGTAACAATTGTTCATTTTATCCAGCAATTCTAAGCCACGACAACTGGATCACGCCAGTATACACAAGAAGAGACAGCGTAGCTAGAAGATATGTACATCAAGAAAAAGAACAGTGGTAATATATAATAATTGTTCACGTTGTTGTAGCTGTTGTCCATTATATGATACAGTATACACCTGCTTGATCCACCACTCACATACACATAGATGATATTGAAGTGTGACGGGATGCTATGATTTGGTGATTTTTTTTTGAAAAGTCGTAAACTATTTATGTAATCCTCATGGCAACTGAATTGCCCAACGACAACTTGTACGTTGTTGGCGGAAGCAGTTTGTCGTGCCTACTTCTCAGTACTTCTTAGTATAGCCGAAGATTGTACATTCCATCTTCGTCGCCTGGTGCGAACTCCGATGTGTACGGTGTCGCTGTGGTCTTCGGTGTGGGTGGTAGATCATCCAGGCTGATTCTCATACCTCCATTGTCCTAGGAAATGTGTGACAGTAGTAGCAGAAGAAGGAAAGGTTGATATTCGGTTTATGATTGTTCACTTCAATCAGGAAGCTACTTTAGTGCACTTGCAAACGCCACTCCACAAGCGCTGCAAACCGCAACGGCGGCAAACATGGACCAAGCAGTGCTATCTTGATTGTGTACATATATGACTTGGCAGTGATTGATGTCAGAAGTCGATAAATTACGACTTTGGGTCCATTGACTACGACCACAGTGAAGTATGGTGTCTGATGGGCAGGCCCCTCATTTTGCATGCTGGTGTGTGCGTGTGACTTTTCCCCGTTCCCAGGAGTGGGATCCCGCCGGGAGGGCCCAGTCCAGTCACTACCGGCGGATGTGTCACCTCACTGGGAAGGAACCTACCCAAACGTGTACATGCAAGTGGATCCGAAAGTCAGCGCAATGCCATGACTCCAGCTTGGCTGTGTGACGTACCACTGTCGAGCCCTATCTATCAGACCAGCCAGGGTGTTGTTGTCTACATGGTTGGCTATACAAGTCCCGAAGTGTGCCGGTGGAATCCATTCAAACACAGGCTACAACAATATACAGTCTAGTGAAACATCTTCTTACATCTTCAGCAGCTGATTTCCAGGCTTGCCCAAACTGCTTCTGCCACGTGGTTCGTTCCGGGCCGTCAGGATCATCCACGGATACTGTCGAGACAGGGCGTGATGCAATAGCTGGCAGGAAAACACAATGCATGAAAAGACAGATCAGTGATCAAAAGAGCTGTATGCACACACTTCACAGTCTGGTTACTCCTCTAGACAGTTCACAATGGTCGATGCATGCTGCTTTCGAAACGCTAACCTTCTTTTCTTTGATAGGGTGCACAAACCGACATACAATAATCATTACAGTCATGTAGCCCACATGAATATCCATCCCCTAAAGCAGACTTTCTATTGACACAAACGGGCTATCTGCTCCTGCTCTGACCATCCACGCAAGGATACGGAAGTTGTTCATCTCAAAAATGTGGCACAGGAAATTTCAAGCAAACCAGAACAACTGCAGCATGGAATGAACCACAACTGCAGCATGGAATGAACCACAACTGCAGCATGGAATGAACCACAACTGCAGCATGGAATGAACCACAACTGCAGCATGGAATGAACCACAACTGCAGCATGGAATGAACCACAACTGCAGCATGGAATGAACCACAACTGCAGCATGGAATGAACCACAACTTCAACGTCAGAAGGAAGGCTGTAAACAGTCGACCAGACAAAAAGAAAAAGAAAACCTAAAGTATGTGTGTAAAGTATGTGTGTAAAGCAACTCACGAGAGCCAGACGAGGTTGCCATCTCCGACCGAGCGGCAAGGTCCTGGGCAGCCTGTGTACCATTACAGTGTAAAAACAAATACAAACCAAAGAATTAGAAACGACCAAAGATCTTGGGACGGGTTAATTAAGAGGACAATAGATCATAGAGCATGCGGAATATAACGAAACGCCTCTTTCGAAGTCTTATAAGAACACGTCTGCATGCCATTAACATGGTAAGTTTGTTTCCTGCGGTGCAGGTGAAAAGGCTTGCGGTATTTTGCGCGGCATGTCAACACAGTGGCATCACCATCAGAGGTGTCACCTGTACAATAGCAATCTTCATCATACCCATGGCATGTATTGACTAGCCGCTGGCTACAAGCAGTAGTACAACCACTACTAGCACATACATGTTCGCCTTGCTTCTTTTGCGTGCCACGCCGTAAGCGGCCAAGGGTGCCCGTCCTGTCTCGCTTGTCGTCCTCGGTGGATTCCTCCTGGAGGCGAATGATGCCATCAATTTCTTCCTCCGTCTCACGTGATAACCATGGCATCTGCTTGTACGTCAGTTCGTAATCCTCAAGGAGAGAATTGCCCAGCTACAAACGGATCCAGCACAAACAGGAGAAAGGATTCAGAGTGGGTCAGACAACAATGCATGACGGGGAGTCAATCACAAACCCACACCGACTGAACACTTTCCTGCCAGTAAGGAAAAAACTACACACAAAGAGCTGGGCGCGTGTACATTTCTCGTCCTCTCTCCTCACAAATCCCCTAGTTCATCAATGCGTGTATCACGGTCGTAAGATACCGAATAGTTTCCTCATGTATTTGCCGCTGACTGAGTTTAGTTCATTGAGCTTTCTTCCACCTCAATCCACACATCTACAACATAATGAGACACTACAGACTAAGGGGTAAATTGGGACTGAGCTCACCTTCGCCAATCGAATTCCTTGAATCCAGGAATTCTGCTCCTGTCGCGTCTCTGCACAGAAGTGCCTCATCTTCCTCTCCGTTATGTCCAGCGGTCCAGCAGGCTATAACAGGCATAGCAAAGAATGTTTTCTCTCAAGGTGGGCCGGGCTTCGGTTCGAATCCAAAACAGAACTCGGCATGACAAGCAGACGTGTGGCATTGATTGCAATACAGCAGAACATCGTCCAGCTCAAGCTAAAGCTAACCTGGATAGGTTGATCATTCGCCAGGAGGGCTCTACCTTTGCACTGCTTGCTTACTAAGGTGCAGCACCACCAAGCCCTCACAGATTCGCAAAGTCTTGTCAGGAACACTGTTCACTCTCACCTTCAACGAAAAGCAAAACTCAGTGTTTGCTTTGTACTTCCTGCGGTACGCATGGCCGGTATACACATCCATATCCTTCAGTTCCGCAAGACGATGCAGATCCTTCATGGCCTATACGCAGAAAGGCACATGCAGAGAGTATACTAAGGTTAAAACATTACAAATACCCCGCCTCCCCCAACACCCTGTACACTGCACTACTATTCCTAACGCTATGCTGGAGAATTCTGTACACTGCACTACTATTCCTAACGCTATGCTGGAGAATTCTGTACACTGCACTACTAATCCTAACGCTATGCTGGAGAATTCTGTACACTGCACTACTAATCCTAACGCTATGCTGGAGAATTCTGTACACTGCACTACTAATCCTCACGCTATGCTGGAGAATTCTGTACACTGCACTACTAATCCTAACGCTATGCTGGAGAATTCTGTACACTGCACTACTAATCCTAACGCTATGCTGGAGAATTCTGTACACTGCACTACTAATCCTAACGCTATGCTGGAGAATTCTGTACACTGCACTACTAATCCTAACGCTATGCTGGAGAATTCTGTACACTGCACTACTAATCCTAACGCTATGCTGGAGAATTCTGTACACTGCACTACTATTCCTAACGCTATGCTGGAGAATTCTGTACACTGCACTACTAATCCTAACGCTATGCTGGAGAATTCTGTACACTGCACTACTAATCCTCACGCTATGCTGGAGAATTCTGTACACTGCACTACTAATCCTCACGCTATGCTGGAGAATTCTGTACACTGCACTACTATTCCTAACGCTATGCTGGAGAATTCTGTACACTGCACTACTAATCCTCACGCTATGCTGGAGAATTCTGTACACTGCACTACTATTCCTAACGCTATGCTGGAGAATTCTGTACACTGCACTACTATTCCTAACGCTATGCTGGAGAATTCTGTACACTGCACTACTATTCCTAACGCTATGCTGGAGAATTCTGTACACTGCACTACTATTCCTAACGCTATGCTGGAGAATTCTGTACACTGCACTACTAATCCTAACGCTATGCTGGAGAATTCTGTACACTGCACTACTAATCCTCACGCTATGCTGGAGAATTCTGTACACTGCACTACTAATCCTCACGCTATGCTGGAGAATTCTGTACACTGCACTACTATTCCTAACGCTATGCTGGAGAATTCTGTACACTGCACTACTAATCCTCACGCTATGCTGGAGAATTCTGTACACTGCACTACTATTCCTAACGCTATGCTGGAGAATTCTGTACACTGCACTACTATTCCTAACGCTATGCTGGAGAATTCTGTACACTGCACTACTATTCCTAACGCTATGCTGGAGAATTCTGTACACTGCACTACTAATCCTCACGCTATGCTGGAGAATTCTGTACACTGCACTACTATTCCTAACGCTATGCTGGAGAATTCTGTACACTGCACTACTATTCCTAACGCTATGCTGGAGAATTCTGTACACTGCACTACTATTCCTAACGCTATGCTGGAGAATTCTGTACACTGCACTACTATTCCTAACGCTATGCTGGAGAATTCTGTACACTGCACTACTATTCCTAACGCTATGCTGGAGAATTCTGTACACTGCACTACTATTCCTAACGCTATGCTGGAGAATTCTGTACACTGCACTACTATTCCTAACGCTATGCTGGAGAATTCTGTACACTGCACTACTATTCCTAACGCTATGCTGGAGAATTCTGTACACTGCACTACTATTCCTAACGCTATGCTGGAGAATTCTGTACACTGCACTACTATTCCTAACGCTATGCTGGAGAATTCTGTACACTGCACTACTATTCCTAACGCTATGCTGGAGAATTCTGTACACTGCACTACTATTCCTAACGCTATGCTGGAGAATTCTGTACACTGCACTACTATTCCTAACGCTATGCTGGAGAATTCTGTACACTGCACTACTATTCCTAACGCTATGCTGGAGAATTCTGTACATGTACAAGAAATGAATTGTAAAAGTGAATAGGAGCAAAGTTTTAAAATGATTACAACAAGATGTTTGGCAGCACATAGCTGCAGAACCCATAGGATATGACTGTTGAGTCGCCTCCGTACCGTGTGACATTGGAAATGCATAGACAAGTACAAGCAATTGGCACTTTAAAATAACTTGGATGATAACTCACCGCAGCCTTTCCTTTGTGCGAGTAGTAGAGGCCAGACTTGCGCAAGCTAAAGTACTGCTTCTTCCAGTTGCCCTTCCGGCCTTCCTTGTACATCAGGTAGCCTTCAATGTCGGGCAGGGTTTGGGCAACAAACAGCTCCTGTACAGAACACGCACACAAGTACACACAACCAAGCCACATTGACACCACCTCGTGTTGAGCCAGCAGACAATACGTGTACACTAATTAGACTAGGGTGGAAGAGCTCATCCGTGGGCTGAAACCTGTGGATCAACATCTGCATCTGCAAAGTGCCATCAGAATGAGGGCCAAACATGCTTCCGGGATCATTGATATGTTTTACAAGTGTCGCCAGTACATTGTTGGTTAGGGTCCGTTGCGTAACCAGCATCTATACGAGAGAGCATTCAAACATTGTGAGACTCATCTGCCCTTTACATGTATACTCAGAGGGCAATTTGCTTCCAAAAGTATGCAGTGATTCCTAAAAAAGGTTTTGCTAATTCCACACCAACAGAAATCACGCACAAACCTTCATAATGATATCACGCTTTGTAGATTCCTTCACTGCCGTCTTCTTTCCTGGTGCGTACGCATGGCTTGATGGCATAAATAGCTGAAGGGAGAGAGAGAGAGTGTGAGAGAGAGTCAGATGGAGCAATTACACATTATGCACAAATACAGAAAGCCAGCACACGAAGCACAGAAGCCATACAATTTTGACTAGGCCTTTCGTACCATTACTCTTCAAGTCGAATACAATGGTGATTAACAAGGTAGCAAGCAAGTCCTTAAGTTATAACCGGCACTTTGGCGGTCAGAGCATTGACAAAAATAGCACTTGAAAAATAGCGCTAGTGGCGCCAACAACATATTTGGCGGTCAGAGCATAGACCAAATAGCACTTTAAAAGATAGTGCTACAGAAAGACAGACACACATACACACACATGCAAACACCCCCCCCCCCCCCCCCACACACACACACATGTGCATGCAAACAAACACCCCCCCCCCCCCACACACACATGTGCATGCAAACAAACACACACACACACACATACACACACACACACACACACACACACACACACACATTAATTTTTGTAATCACTGCACACTGGAACAGTAGCTATTCCTGCCTTTTTGAATTCCAGCATGCATTCAAAACCGACCCTTCACATCAAGAGAAGGCGAACGTCAATGTGTATACGTTAAGCCGGGGCTGAAGGCAATAAGGTGCTGATAGTCAAGCTTCTACTGCTGTCTTAAGACCATTCACCATGCAGCAGAACCCAGTATGTTAGCTGTTGCTAGCTACACAGTTACCTGTGGTCTCTTCAGTAGCATGTACTTGTCCGGTTTGTTGGTGAACGCAATGCTGTTGTTGCTTTCCCGTGGCCAGCTATCCAGGACCGGCACCACTAGGTCATGGTCCTCTAAGCGTCGCTCTGCAGTGAAATGAAAGAAACACAGCAGTGCCTTTGTGAGAATACACACGTCATGAACAACAGCACCTTCTTTCAAAAAGAACACAGCTGTTAAAATCATGGATACGCTATGGAACGTACTGCATTCAGCCTAGCATACACGACAATCTCACTGGGAGCAACAGGAAGTGATGAGTCTCAGTGAGATGAACAAGCCACTCAACACAAAAGTCGAGATCGTTGCAAGACACAGAGTGGCACAACAGCAGGTAAGCTACTCAACATGATCCAACACATAGGCACTGTACATACCAATGTAGTGCTCAGTCAGTTGCTCAATTAGAACATAATTCGGGCCTGGCTGGACGCGGTTCTTCTTCATCAGGCGACTGCACACCTCCCGAGCTGTCATCTTGTCGTCAATGACGATCATCTTGGAGCTACCATCATCGTTATATGCCTTGAGGACGACCTTTACAATGAAAAAAGAACAGTATGAAGCTCAGTGATTTCAGTCCAAATTCTCCACCACATGCACTCTCCGGCTGACGGAGTTCAGCGATGGCCCTTGTAATAGGCAGCAGTTGGCTTTATGAAGGTCAGACCTATCCAATTATCTATACAGTAGTTATGCCACTGCAGTCAAAAACGCCTCGCAGAAAGCAATTCTGAGTGGCAGGAGAACAAGGATTGAGCTTCTAAAACTGAATACTCTGTAATTATAGGCAACTGCATGCATGCACAGAGTTCAAAGTTTGGAGATGTGTTCCTTACACAGAAAGCACAACAGTGTGGCGACACCGGCATAATATCAGGTCTGGATAGCGCAAGTTCTGATGATAAAAGTAATTTGAATAAGCAAATTCTCCACTTCCTATCACACACGCCGGGCAGGGGACGATATTGCTAGTCACAACCCAGAGTACCGCCGAGCGGTACAGTCACTGTATTGCAAACTGGTGCCATGAATCTCTATCCCCTCTTCCGGGGAGACCCACGTGACCAGTTTTGGCAGTAAGACAGTATGTGCGTGTGTGTGTGTGTGTGTGTGTGTGTGTGTGTGTGTGTGTGTGTGTGTGTGTGTGTGTATGCTCTCCATTACCTTCTTGACTTTAGCTTCTTTTAGTTTCTCCACGGCCATCTGGACCTTGAGAGCCTTCAGACGTGCATCTTTGTCAGCCTGTCATACACACGAAGGAAGCAGCAGATTATCCCAGGACAAAGACTCCCACAGTTGGAGGTACATACAGCTTATCAAAGCATGCCACATACATGTACTTCAAGGCTCAGGACTACTAGCACATTTGATCTTCTTTCAGAATTCTTTACACATTCAGGGGGGGGGGGGGGGGGGGGGGGATGCAGCAATATGACGACCGTACCTCCGATAAATTCTCCGTGTTTCCATTGTTGAGCTGAGCCAACTCGCGCTCAAGACGCTCCTGGAAGCATTCGCACAAAAAAAGACAGAAGTAGTTTTGGACTAGGTACGCAGGCTCCCTGCATACAATTGCTTGGGGCAGACTGAACTGTGTGGCAAAAAGTAGATTGGGCACAATGCTGATAGAAAAAAACCCGGTAAATACACCAGGCAACGGCAGACACTACGAATAGTTGTCAATGTTGAAATCAATCGCTCCTGAAAGCCAATGCTCATTTTACAGATATCATACGTTCAGCACAATTGTCCACAGGGCCACGGGAAGGAAGCAATACCACACGGCACAGTCCCAGCATTACAGACTTTCACTCACCTGTGGCTTCTCAGGCAGCTTGACAATGGCGGTGTTACGCACTTCACGAACCTCAACATCAAAGCCGGGCGTGACACTGGGAGATTCGGACGGCCGCCGGAAGTCGGAGGGCTGGCGCATGACCGGCTCTTTGCTCTGTTTGAACACGTCACCAGATGGTCTTCTGTCATCACTTGGTGGGCTCACTGCCTCATCCGATGTTCTCCGTGTGCTACTGTCACTGCCAAATATCGAGGACACAAAAGATCCCGACAGCCGTGAAGACGTCGATGCACCTAGATCACGGCTTAGTGCCTCCAGGTCATCCTCAACACTCGGTGACGGCGCCGTCTCAAACTGGTTGTCGCTGCCCAGGAGGCTTGCCGTAATCACCGATGTAGACATGTCTTCGGCAGACACAGGCTGGATGACCTGCACAGAACACAGTCAAACAGATGCAGACACACGTGTGGCATGCAATGTATAAGAATGCACAATTCCCAAAGCCAAGACACGGCAGCTCGAGGCGACACCCTGAAAAGTGATACACGAGTCGGAGGCACCTTCACGTCCCATTGCCACAGGCAGGACAGGCAACATTTTGATAGCTGCCATACCCAGTAAGCAGTCCACTTCTATAGTATCTGTCAGACCCAGTAAGCAGTCCACTTCTATAGTATCTGTCACACTCCATAAGCAGTCCACCTAATGTTATAGTATCTGCCAGACCCAGTAAGCAGTCCACTTCAAAAGTATATTTCAGACCCAGTAATCAGTCCACTTCTATAGCAACTGTCAGACCCAGCAAGCAGGCCACTTCTAAAGTATCTGTCAGGCCCAGTAAGCAGTCCACAACTATAGCATGTCAGACCCAGCAAGCAGTCCACTTCTAAAGTATATTTCAGACCCAGTAAGCAGTCCACTTCTATAGCATCTGTCAGACCCAGCAAGCAGGCCACTTCTAAAGTATCTGTCAGGCCCAGTAAGCAGTCAACTACTATAGCATGTCAGACCCAGCAAGCAGTCCACTTCTAAAGTATCTGTCAGGCCCAGTAAGCAGTCCACTTCTATAGCATCTGTCAGACCCAGTAAGCAGTCCACTTCTAAAGTATCTGTCAGGCCCAGTAAGCAGTCCACTTCTATAGCATCTGTCAGACCCAGTAAGCAGTCCACTTCTAACGTTATAGTATCTGTCAGACCCAGTAAACAGTCCACTTCTACTATGCAGTCATTGTACAGATATTGTCCTAGGCCCAATGGTACTGGAGCACCAGTGCATACTGGACAACTGTTCTTCTCTTAGTTTCCGGACTATCACGCTTACCTTTCCTCCTCCACTTAGCTTGGTGATCTCTCTGGAAAGGTCGGACGAGACGCGTCCAGCAGCAGGATCTGACTGAGGCTGCAGCGAGGACGAATTGCTCATCATGTCCATCTCTGCCATCAGCCGAGAGAACTCGTCCTCGTCGAGAGGAGCAGGTGCTGGCTTCTGAATGACTGGCCGCGAGACCGGAGCTGTAGAGGACTTCACAGGTGATCCACTGCTGCTGCTACCAGCGCCTGCATTCTCCATTTCCAGCAGGTCAGCAAGCAAAGCATCCAGGTCCACATCACCTCCTATCCATATAACCACAAGAACAAAGGATTACCATTGACATTTGTAGGCCTACAAAGGGCTACAATGTAGTTGACTACAAATACACAAGAAAAGACACCTACCTGATTCAATTCAATGTTTCAGGCCCACAAAACAGAGTAAAGAATACTTAGAATAGGAATCAGCTGCCAATGGGCTACATGACCTATACAAGCACAGCATGTTCATGTACCAACCTTGGATATCCACCATTGACCGTCTGTCCTTTGGATCTTTCTGCAGTGTATCAACACAAAGTAAACACAAGTACTTTGTGACGTTGCAGTGTGTTGCAAAACCACCACAATGTCAGTGAAATGTGCAGAATCAAAACACAGAAGAAATAACAGCAACCAAATAGGGAATAGGGAAGCGTCACCGGACCGCATATAAAAGGCTGTATAAAAGGCTGCAGAACATTGGACCAGACTGGAACATGGGTACACCCGAGAACTTTCACCAAGGAATGAACAAGAAAGGACACTACACATACACCTATTCACCTTTGACAGGAAGAAAAGCTTACCAATTTCGAATCACTTGGACTGCGCTTGACCGACTTCTCTGGCTCCACAATCGACACGCCTTTTGGTTTCGTCACTGGTTTGGACTTTGCAGCCGGCGGTGGGCCTGCAGACTTCACCGGAGGGAGATCTTTACCAGGTGCCTCGCCAGTCGGTTTGTTTACGGAAGCATACAGGTCGAAGGGAGCCGTGCTAGTCGTTGGTGCTTTTAGCGCAGATTTAGGACTGGCAGCGGGTTTATCGGGCGAGGCTGAGGGTGCTAGACTACTCTCATCCCGCGATGGCGGTGGCGGTTTAGGCTTCCGGGGTGCTGCAGCTGGCTTAGGACCAGACATTTGCCTCTCAACGGGTGGCCTTTCGGGAGGCGGCGTCGGGCGTGCGGTAGACGGAACTGGGGGCGGTTCACTGAGGTCGCGGTTAGAAGCTTTAGGAGACCGCGGCGCAGGTTTGGGCTTGGGGGTAATGGGAGGACCATCCTATAGCAACACACCACATAGAGGAGCTATGCATATTACACAACACATAGAGGAGCTATGCGTAATACACAACACATAGAGGAGCTATGCACATAGCACACCACATAGAGGAACCATGCATATTACACACCATGATGGACAAGCCGCATAGCAGAATGTTTACATCAAGTGCATTGAATGCAAGTAAGACAACAAGCAACCACTAAGAAAACTCAGATCAAAAGACCAAGGCATGCAATGGAATTGCATGATTTGCAGTTCATTATAAACTAATCACTCTTCTCCTTCGATCTTGTTCTAATTCTCTAAACATGCTGCTGTTTTCACAAGTTTTTTTTCGAAAGATTCAAATAATTTAGTTATCATAATGCTCACTCGCTTTGAATCGCTGATCAGATCATGATCATGTGATCTGACCACACCATGCGCCATTAACAGGCAAAGCAAGACAAGATCGGCTTCCTTACCATATCATCAAAGGTATCTCCGCCCAGAAAACTACCCATCGATGAGCCTAAACTTGCCAGAAAGCTAGAAGTTGTTTTCTCTTCGAGGTCGTCGCCGGACGCGTGTGCAGTGACCACTGGGGGAGGTGGTGGTGGTACGGGGATTTCTGCATACTGATGATCTGCGGGCGCGGAAATCGGCGGCGGTGGAGGAGGCAGTGAGAGATCAGCGTCAGGAACTGAATCCTGTAGGAAGCAAGTCAGCCATGGACACAGTATGCAGGTATGTTTACACCATGTACAGAGTCAACTCAGATATTATAATCACATGTACGTGTACTACACAGACCAGCACTGCTATTCCAGCAAAACAGTCTTGCAGAAGGGACATGAAATCCCATTAATCCCTTGCTTGATATCGGCTGAGCAATAGTATTCTTCATCAACACTGCTATGCTTTTACACAGCCGTGTTAATACGACAACAAAGCTAGAAATCTTACGTCTACAAAGGATTCCCGGTAGGATTCCTCCAGTTTCCCAGAGTCGAGTCCGGACAAGAATCGCATCGTGGAGACCATGGCGCCAGTGTCCTCACCTACACAGGCAGTGCACACATAGGACAGCCGGGAAGCACAATATACTAGCATACAAAACAAATACTACAGAAAGTCTATTCAAGAAGGGTGACCGACTGCTACTGAGGTCGGCCAGTCGTGGTGTGGTGGCTGATGAGAAAAAAATAATCTACAGCAAATCTAGCGAGAGATGGTAAATCATTGACACAAGACGCGATTATAACATTACAAAACTTGCACTCCTAGCTATGTTATTTCGACACATAGCAGGGTACAACCGAGGAATTGACGGCCGCACAGTTTTCACTGGGTCAGTCAGTCTGCAAGAAGCAAGGAATGCACTCACCATTGACTGCGTCGTTGACAGGTTCAGTCTTCTCGTCGCTCTCTTCCTGCGAACTCCAACCGTCGTCATACTCGTCCACATCAGCGTCCAGCTGCTTCAAATCATTTACTGCTGTGAGCAGGGTTTCGAGGTGCGCACGGCTCTTTATTCCCATCTCTTCCAGGGTGGTCTCGTCCAAAAGCCTGCATGAAAATGAACCGGGGGTGAGACAGTGTCAGCCTAAATGGTGCCGGTGCCACATTAGCAATTCATACATCACACACGTGGCATACTATACACATCACACACGTGGCATACTATACATCACATCACACATAACATACAGCTATAGGTATAACCAAGAGTAGATAAACAAGAGTGTGCAACTCCCGGATGGGTTGGCCCACGGCGGAATTTTTTGTTGACGTAATCTTTTCGACGACGCACGCGCTGCGAGCCTTTTGGAGAGTTTCCCTCGTGCACTTGGCTGGGCTTTATACTACAAGGTCGGTGCCCAGCACGTGCTCTCACACTGCTCTGCGGCAGAATCCGCGTTTCTCTGAAAAAAGGTGACGTCAACAAAAAATTCCGCCGTGGGCGCGGGGTATCTGCAGATTGTGCAGGAGAGATCCGGAGTTGCACACTCTTGTTTATCTACTCTTGGTATAAGATTAGGAACATGTGAAGCAGCACCAATGAAACAATTACAACAACACCGTGCCACGAGTAAATGCAAACAGGCATGTGTGCGTGCGTGTGTGTGGTACACACACGTGAGCACATCCACCATGCCGCACATACAACGGCCGTGCCGTGAGCAGGCCAACACAGAGGCCGGGGACGGTCACGGCTACCCATGACAAGCAACATGTCGATCAAGTGTCTCTACAGGCAACACACACACCTTACAACATGGGAGGGAAATGCAACCAGTACAACAAAACAATACAGAGGTCAAGCCAGGGGGGGGGGGGGGGCAGGCCAGGGGACTGGCTTAAAATTAAAATTAATTATTTATGAAAATAATGAGATACAAAATTTAATGTACAACATTTGCAAAATACATTGTTGTATACGAAAACGCAGCACATTACAAAAATTATGGTATCCGAAATTTGAATGCAAATCAAACACTACTGAAGTGCCGTCCTAGTGTCCACATGCACACAGCACTTAGGTCACAGCCTCTCCATTTAGATCCAGATATTGATGGCCATGAATTCGAAAATGCCCAAATACGTAGCCCAGCGGGTTCCAGACTGAGGAACTCAAACTGGTGGCTGGTCCGGGCTGCTCATACAGACACTAATGTCTGCTCCCAGACTTGCAATGGGTGGTTTCAACGCAATCAAAGCCTGCTCCGCTGTCACGATAGGAAACCCGCAGCGTTGACTGCAGTGCGAGCACACGTAGGTAACCCACACCACTGCAATGGCACTACTGCTGGAGTAATGATACACCCGAAAAGTCAGAATTTTCAAAAAGGAACACATCGTGACAGCTACAATGTAGGTACAATTGGAGAGCGTATCTAGTTTCGAGACGCGTGCCTCGCTGCTCGCGCTTTGGGACTTGAAATGCACCAGTGAGAGTTTCTCAAAAAAAAGCGCCCGACAAACAAACTGAATTCCGTTGAGCGATATTCCCGTGCTCTAGCAGATAGAGCATTTTGAGGACTGCCGTCATCAGGGTCATGATCGTCTGGTGCATTGACGCACAACCCGCACCCAACCTGCACAAGCACACCCGCGGGGAGTCATGATAATGGCTGTGTAACAATCGTTCGTCTGCTGTTCTCTGTTCCACAGTAGAGGCGCTGAAAGCATGCGAGCACCTGACACCCATTGCCTTCCGATATTCGAAATGAGCTTCACCAAGCTAGATATAGACCGCGATGGAAATGCCACAACAATTTTTCATGAACCTAACAGCCATACTGCAAAAGAGAAAGTGTGCACGATTGTGGACGATGCTGTGTAGTCGCGAAACGTAAAATTGCCGCTTGGCGAGAGGAACACAAGGGCTGATAATGGGCCAACACGACAAGAACAAGATGGTGAACAAGTTCTAATCGATATCGGAAGCACTTACGTGCAAAGCGTGAGCTTATCATATCCGAAGTCGACCAGAGTGGAGTGCAAACCCTGCAGGTCATAGGCTTGCAGCCATGTCACCAGGTCAGCGCGATCCTGCTCCGGATCCGTGCCGTCGTCCAGGGAGGCCATGGCCCGTCGTCCTCACGTACCAAGCAAGTCCGCAGTCAGCTCTCCGTCTCCGTCAGAGCTGTGTCGTGTTCCCGACTCTTGCACCTCCGCTCAGAGCGCTGTTTGCAAGGTTGCAGAGTTTGTGTTAGATAAATTTCCGCTCTCGAGCACTGGAGCCTAGGTACTGTTGGTCGACTCGTAAATCTCAGTGGTGGTCCCAAGCTGCCACTACCGCTCAGAAGTCGGTTCGGACAAACGTGGCAAGGCGCAGTCCCACAATAAATCTAAACGAAGCGACATGCACAATAAATTGAGGAGAAAATAGAGCACTCAACTGCTGCACCGCCGCATACTGCCCAGCCACAGACTGTCATCCTAGATAAGACCACCAAGAACTCTCTCGCGCGCTCTACTCCACAGAAGAATATTTTTGCCACGCGTCGGCTAGGCCGGCGGCTCAGAGCCTCATAATCAGACGAACATACACGCACGCACACATACTGTGACATAGCTTCGACCTCAAATCAAGGCTCAACACGAACGGCGCGCGGCGCGCGGCTACACCATGTACACGGGGACACGCTATCGCTACACTAGTAGCGAGGTCAGGCGAAAATTAAATTTTGGAAAACCCTATCGAATTGGGTATCTACGGAAAGCTTAGAGCTTCAGGCGTTCAAATCTAAAATTTGGGCTGGGTTAGAGCAACTGGAAGAGAGTTATGGGTGTTGAAAGGAGCCCGACTACGTGATTTTTTTGTCGCGACGAATGTACGCGTGGGAGCTCGAAAAATGGCACCCGGCACTCGGGTCCCAAGTCGCGACGGAGAGTGCATGATGTAATCTCGCGTGTCACGTGCGTGTACTTCGCTATGCTAGCGGCTAGCGGCACCGCTGCGTGCCGCACTCGAGCCGAAAACTATTACTTTCTGAAGAGAAAATGTTTGTTCCTCTGCAGAGAAGGGAAATGTGCAATTGTCTTCAAGGATCGCCAGTGCATGTACTATTTGCTGTGAACCGGTGATGGTAAGATATTTGGGATCCAATGACGAGTTGGTGGCAACGGGAGCGGTGGCTGCTGTTGATGGATGATGTCGGAAGAAGCGCTTTCTCAAGACAAGTTTCTGCAGACGATCAGGAATGTGAAAACACAATTGTGCTCGAACGTATTGTTTGTTCTGGAGTAGTACAGTAGAGAGACTTTGTTAGAGACATGGTCTGTGTGAAAGTGAACGTTCCTCACTTTCTCTCTCACACAGGTTATGTTTGGCTGACAACTATTTGTAGTGTTGCCTTGATTGAGTAACACTGACTCAGCATTGGAAATTTGGAAATAGTTTCCATTTCTGAAATGATGCATACAATTGGACAAAACTTTGTAAGAAAGACATAGCTTTCCGAAACAGTACCTGGGACCGGGACTGAAGTAGCCATCTCCTTACCTTAATCACCAACAAGCTTCTGAATAGATACAAAATGCTGCACACCAGACGCAAGCGAAGTTTAATCGGGTTGATGGCGATTCGCTTGCTTCTGTTGCTTTTTAGATTGGTGCACATGCCTTCCCAAAGCAATCCTCCTTGCTGGACAGTGACACCAGTCGGGAGCCATAACGTCGGTGCGCCTCTTGTTACGCCAATGAAACTTGGTAGTCTGAAGGATTAGGGGGCGCTGAACACGATGCAGCAACAACCTAAGGCGTAACAAGAGGCGCAAGGACCGAAACCCGCCCTCGAATATTGGCAAAAAGCGAGAGACAGCGCGTCGACAGAGAAACGTCTGGACGCCGCGCGAACGGGTGGAGGCATTACTCCATATCCTTACCAAAGGACTAGAAACTTGAAATCGCCCAAAAAGAGCAAGGAGACTGCACAAGCGAAGTTCAAACGCAGGTCAGTTTTGATGCCTCCCGTAAAAATCGAAAAATCGAGTAAAAACCTATGTGCCATGACATCATCGATTTTCAATGGGCCGGGGATGGTCCAAGCGCGACAAGCGAAGTCCGTGAACTGGTCACGCGTCTGACCTCGCTAACACTAGTACACTGCCAACAGTCGACACTGCATGCAAGAGTCTGCCGTTGGAAATGGAAGCACGGCAAGCACGGCAGATCTACAGTCACAGACAGTAGTACTGAGTATGCAGCATGCTAGTACTAGTAGTAGTAGATCTGTACTGTAGGTCTACTCGCTAGGGCTACAGAGTACAGACTGTATCTAGTACCTGGAATACTCAGTAGATCTACGCTATACTGGTAGGGGCGTAGATTTACGTGGGCGCGCACTCCCGCGCAGAGCATGTAGACCCCCCATAATAACATACAATTATCACTCCCTATAGTATTGACTCCCATAGATTTTTGCCATACCTAAGCAGTCAAATATTCCTGCATATTTCACTCCTCAGGGCTATATTGACCGCTTATATTTGACTCCTTTTTAGCGATTGAACACAGGCTTTGGCTAGTCGTGAAAAATCTAATATTGACTCCGTACTTGGTCAGTATGAAATAAAAGACCTCAGCTTTTATTCCCTATAGTGACCTCGTACTCAGTCAATATTAGAAAGACCCTGATATGACCGTCACTTTCAGTACAGACTCAGATGACCAGCGCTCTACTCAGTGATCAGGCTCAGCTCCCTCTGTGTGGTTGGAAAATTGCGTAGTATTTAAAAGTGCGCAGTATAGCCTAGGAAAACGTGGGGAAAGAGTTGTGTTTCTTTTCGAAGCTTGTGAAGGTCCGTGATGATCCCGGGAGACACGGCATAATATGCATACATGAAGGACTTGGAGCTGGGAACAATGTTTGTAATGTTTGCAACTCAGGCCAGCAGCAGGGTTTCACAACTCTCCGCTGCAAACGTAAATAGAGCGTGGAAGCATTGACGCGTGACGTGACTGACATTGACATCAGGGAGGCGTCAAATACAAGTACATGTATCGATATTTGACGACTCCCTGATTGACAGATAATTACTAGATTGTGATTGATTGATACGCAGATCCACAATGATTATGTACCTACATGTACATGTGAATTATTCATTTGAAGTGCAAACCGTTGTAGATTTTCTCCTGTATTTCTCCTGTGCGACTTTGTCTTTGGAAGTGACCAAATCATAAGCCTCGGTCGGTCACCAGTCTCACCACGTCATGTACTGAACTACTTCTGTAAGTTCTGAAGTAACACGTTTGTTGCTACGCTACACAAAGTAACCAGGTATACCAGGTAACGTTAGTTGCTACTAGTACTACTACTAGTACATGTACTCGTGTATGCGGAAGTGCAGAAGCTGCGCATGTCCGTCGACATACATGTACCATGTATTTAAAAATATAATACAATACATGAATCAGTATCAAATGAAAAGCAAATATAGAACTTCAATGCAAAGTTTGCATTGCAAACACAGTACAAGTACAAAACTACAAACGTGGAGCAAAACAGCGGGCTACACTAACACTAACACAGTAACAGCTCGTTGATACTGACTCTGAGTTTCATGATCTCATTTCATCCGCCAACGTATATGTACAACATCTACAATGTACATGTAATTTGTCCGCATAAAGATGCTGTTGACCACGCCAAACCAAGGTATACATGTACATACATCTGTACATGTACAGTCATGTACTGAAGTACAATAGTGTGCATAATGTACATGTACAATTGTGCATGACTGTACGCAAGGAGAAATGAGGAGGTGTTGCTGTCGTTTTGGTGGGGTGCTGTGTTATGCTTTGGATGTCGGGTTGGTAATATTATATACATGTACAGTCATGTACATGACTGTAGATTCTACTACTACTAGTAAGTATGCGTTGCACTTTCCCATTTCGCTAGCAATGGTACATTGTGACGGGAAGTGGGAGTTGTGCTAGGAGCTGAGAGCCGGTTGGATATTTATGACGTCATAGGCAATACACTGTTATATCGAAGCTTGAAGCTCCGATGCGCAACAGTTATACAATCATCATCATCATGTACATGTAAGCAGTCTGAGTGTGAACAAACTATGCACCCTTGAGTCTTGACTTGGGTGTTTGTCTTTGCACAGTTGTAGTCCCTCACTGAGTCACTGGGCCTCTCAGCTTGTCTCACTTCTCACCTCCTCTTGCCCTCTTTCCTTTTGTTTATCTCCCATCCCCTTGTGCATAATTCTTCGCTAAATCGATCACCTACATGGCACATGTACATGTACATGTACATAGTCATTATACGAACGTGTAAGGTACAATTGATTATGTACATGGTACATTGTAGGTGTAATGCATTATGGTTCAATATTATTACCAGTATCATCCTTGTGACACTACAATCCATTATGTTTCATTGGTTCTGGTTACTCAGTGTACTGAGTATTTGGCTTGGCGAGAATGCCCGAAAACTGCTTCGTGGACTTCAAAGTTCTTGAGTTCTGATTGATAAAATGGTAAAAAGAAAAACATTTTTTCCACGAAGCAGTTCTAAGTACCGTCTACGTCCTGTGCTCACTGGCATGTACATGCTAGTAATGAAGATGATCTACACAATATCAGGGAGTCGCCGGTTTACCCCTGATCTACATGTACATGACTGATTGTAGGTACTGTATCGCACGCAGTCCGCGATACCGGTACTGAAGTCAAGAGATCATGTATGGTATGAAATTCACTATGAATAATCCCCAGCTTGCCCAAGAAACACTAGCATACATGTAGCAGTAGGCTAGTAGTAGGCTACTACTAGCACCAGTCGTACAATTAAATGTATGAATGACTGACATCACTATCAAGATCGTTGCCATTGCTGGGTGCCGCACCCTGATCGCGCCTGTCACTGGCGGAGGCATGGCGTTTCATCACTTTCTTCCAGGCGGTCACAGGAATAGAATGTTCCTTCGAAATAATAATAATTCTTTCCGAGCACCAAGTCCAGCCTTGAAGTCAATGAGTCGAATAATTAAAAGCTCCCGCGCAGCGCGACAGAATGCCATTTGCTCGCGTCCAGGCGTCCACCCCCAGGCAACTCCCACGATAAGTATCCATTCACCTTCTTGAAGAGATCTTCACTTCAGACAAATGAATGAACCCGTAGTGGAGTTCAGACTCAGCAGAGACTAGAGCATCCCGCTCAAACTTGACTGTAGCAACACCCTTTACAAAGTAAGTTACTCATACATGTACATGTACACAAAAATGCAAAAAAATTATGGGCCTCGCTGCGGCAAAGGTCCGACATTTTACGCACTTCTTCGGGAGATGATGCATGTATATGTACAATGATTATGTACATGTAGCAACTTAGGACAGTCCACAGATCTCCGTGTAGCTTACTATTAGTATTACTAAATAAACTACTAGTAGCATGTCGATGGCTATGGCCACGGACAGTACATATATCATACATGTATGCGCACTACCATCTAGTTTCCACCGTTGGCAGTCACTGACTCTGAGTGAGTCTGGCCCACTCGGTCCACCAAGCCAGGCGTAGAATCTACAGTGAAACTGAAAGCGAAACAGTGACCACGTGACGGCCGGGAGGCCGAGTCATGACGATAAGATCAAGAGTCTACATGTATTTATACTAGAACTCTTCAGTCTTTGTGGTATGGTCCGTAGTATGGTCGATATCAGTCATGTGCATGATGCACAGTCGTGAACAGTCAACCATGATCAACCTTGCGAATAACGACCCTCGATCGGGCATGAGAAAAGTAAGTTGTCGCTATTCGCGAGGTAAGGTTATGCAGTCAAAATGATTACTTGGCCTGAAGATATGGTTGCTATTTGCGAGTCGTTGTTCTATCCGAGTTTAGAGATTGTTATTCGCGAGGCGGCCTGTGCAGCGCTTGTGTCATTCGAAGAGGCTCAGTGCAGTGCAGATAGGCTAACAGTGCACGGCTGCAACAACGCCTGGCATCGCTGAGCACTGCACTCACTACTTCTGTATCATTTCCAACTGATATTGTGTGATAACTTCAAGAAGAGTACATTCCCCCATTGGTGCTAGCGGACCTGGTGCTATACATGTAAGTAACGTTGTTTATACCATGATTACTTGACTCTATGATAAAACCTCGGGCCTGGCAAGAATGCTTACTGTGAGTATACGTCCATCTCCTGCCCCCCCCCCCCCAACGCACACACCACACACACACACACACACACACACACACACACACACACACACCTCAGACCTACCCATCGCAGAAGTATTATTATTCTTTATTTCCACGATGGCCCATGGCCAATAAGGAAGATAATATGATTCAAATCAGTCCAGAATCATATAAAACCAGTCTAGCAAGTAAGGAAACCAACACATTGCAGGGGGATGGGGTTACGATGGGGTACAGTGTGAGCTACTACAGGAGCATATGGATGATAGAATGAGGCTAGATCATAGACGCCATTGATTTAAACGCATGCTTGCTATTTGTTTCACGCAGGTCGGGGGGTAGTTGGTTGAAATTGTGAAGGGACAGGTTGATGGGTGAGTTGGTGTGTCGGTATTTGTGATGTTCTCAATGTGTATGTTCTCATGTGTCGTAGTGCATATGGCTGCTCTGTGATTGGTCGTGCAAGGTGAGGCTGTTGCAGGTGAAGGGGAGCGCGGATGTACTTGATGTTGTGGGCAAGAGTAACCTGTCGTAAGAGTTGCCGGGAGACTAATGTGGGGAGTTGGAGATGATGAAGAAGTGAGCTGTGATGGACTGGTGCAAAAAGGGGGACCCGCAAGCAGATACGGGCTGCTCGTCGCTGAGCGCGTTCTAATTGGTCCTTCTGTGTGCGGGTGGTGTTGGATAACACGAGACTGCCGTACTCTATAACCGGGTGAATGTAGGCGGTGTAGATTACGAGCAGACTGGGGGTGTTAAGTTGGCCTCGTGTTTTACGAAGTTGGTGAAGGAGTTTTTTGGATTTGTTTATTATGTGCGTGACATGTGAGTTCCATTGGAGGTTGTTTTGTAGTATGATTCCAAGGTGACGGTGTTCTTTGACTTGCTTTAGGGGTGTGCCGTTAAGAGTGATGTTGAGTTGGTGGTTTGGTGTGAACGACAAGGTAACGGTCTTTGAGGCATTGACGAGGAGGTGCCATCTGCGCAGCCAGGTTGCGGCAGCTGAAACGGCTGACTGCAGGGACAACTCCGATGTCAAACGGCTCTGGTGTGTTGCGATGAGCGCCGTGTCATCTGCAAATTGGCTGCACTTTGTGTTCGAGTTGGTGCAGGCAGAGGGCAGGTCAATGGTGTAGATCAAGAACAGCAGGGGGCCTAGAACGGATCCTTGGGGCACCCCTGCTGGTATGGCTTGCCACTCACTGAAGGCGTCGCCGACACGAACACGTTGACGGCGATGGGTGAGGTAGCTGACCATCCATTGCAGGGCGGTATCCTTCAGGCCGAGGTGTTGCAGTTTCTTGAGGAGACCGGCGTGCCAGACTCTGTCGAAAGCCTTCGAGAGATCAAAAAAGCAAGCTGTGACGGAAAGACCTTTATCTCGGCTCTCGGAAACCTCGTGCACGAGTCTGGCGAGCTGGAGTTCGGTGCTATCATTGGCACGAAAACCGGATTGATCCACTGGGAGGAAGGGTGTGACGTGCTTGTAGAGTCGCTTGTGGACGATCCTCTCCAAGTAATGATAGCGAACAACTATGTTTGACATAGCAACTTGTGCTGGGATTACACTGATGAATTGACCGCCACTAATTTTAGCCTGGTATTCACCACACAGCTGATTGAAGTGGCTTTTTCCACACACACACACACCACACACACCCTCCCTTTCTTCTTTCTCGTTTCCTTTTCCTGCATTTCAATGTGCTCTTCTCCATCACCTTTCTTGAAAGTTTTACTTTGTACAGTTGGCATAGCAACCAAACCAACCTCACTGTGGCACAATACATCATGCTTGCTGTCTTTGAAGTTGCTGAGCGCTCACTGAAAGAAACTGCATGGCGGTGTTGTTACTTGTGCGAGTACACGCCAGGAGAAGCGTTGAGTCGAGATACCGGCAATGATTGTGTAGGAAAGCATCTTGGAGAGATACCGGCATCTCGGATGGAGATTGAACACCCAAGTGACCGCCACATCCTCAACATGCTTGTGCTAGTTTATCTGACATTCGAGCAATAATATGTGAACATTATAATGCTGATGCATATGTACATACTAGAAAGTAGAAACCATACGAAATATATGTATATGGGGGACTGCACTGCTCCCCTTCTGGCAGTTTGGAAGAGTTGAGGTCATAATTATAGAATCTGGACACCTGCTCACATTTTATGGTCTCTTTCCTGCAACAAAACTCAATGGAAGAAGAGGTTGGTGCGACTTCGGCGATAGTAGGGGAAGAGTGTGTTGCTCCCTACATGGGAGCTCGCGGTTTTCCTGCCGACTTGAATTCTCACTTGACTGACTCACGACTGCCATCCAGAGCACACGAGAAGTCCATCGAACCGTCCACTCGACAAACCTGCAAGAAAGCACCACTCCCTGCTCAATACACCGTGAGTGTTTCGGTGAATTCACCCCTCATCAGTTGAGCTTGAGTGGGCTGAGGAAGATTGTGCCTGAAGAGCACCACTTATATAGTGCTCTCCAGGCACAAGCATCACCAGGGATACAAACTTACAGAGACGCTTCGTTTCCAGCCCGACAATCACCTCGTGAACACCAGATAGCAGCGCGAGTCAGTGTCGCTCATGGAGGTACTGAACAAGCGCTGAGGACCGTTGGCCATTCACAACGTTGTTGCCTCCAAACCATCTAATTCGCAAGCCCGCGCTGGGGACAACAATGGGGACTGGGGACAACAATGAAAACCGCGAGCTCCCATGTAGGGAGCAACACATTCTTCCCCTACTATCGCCGAAGTCGCACCAACCTCGTCTTCACATTGTTGTCCCCAGCGCTGGCTCGCGATTTAGATGGTTTGGAGGCAACAACGTTGTGAATGGCCAACGGTCCTCAGCGCTTGTTCAGCACCTCCATGAGCGACACTGACTCGCGCTGCTATCTGGTGTTCACGACGTGTTTGTCGGGCTGGAAACGAAGCGTCTCTGTAAGTTTGTATCCCTGGTGATGTTTGTGCCTGGAGAGCACTATAATTATAAGTGGTGCTCTTCAGGCACAATCTTCCTCAGCCTACTCAAGCTCAACTGATGAGGGGTGAATTCCCCGAAACACTCACGGTGTATTGCAGGGAGTGGTGCTTTCTTGCAGGTTTGTCGAGTGGACGGTTCGATGGACTTCTCGTGTGCTCTGGATGGCAGTCGTGAGTCAGTCAAGTGAGAATTCAAGTCGGCAGGAAAACCGCGAGCTCCCATGTAGCGAGCAACACACTCTTCCAAAACTCAATGGAGTTGAAGAAAGGTGATAGCTGACACATTAATACAATAAAAACTCGGATGTTGAGCCCATAGACTAGGCATAGTAATAATTATGTAAAGAGAAAAGGACCAGGCCGTAAGTTACTAGTTTTGAAAAACTCGTGCACATCTTCGTGGCGCATCCCTTCCCCTCATTGGAACTTTCCGCACCTGAGCCTTCCAAGTTTGCGCTTCATAGATGTGCTGGAGCTAGGTGTCAGGTCGTCGAATGTCTCAATATCCTTGTCAGTTTTGTGCCTTGTTGTCGCACTATCTGAGACTGACTCTTATCTCATTACCTTGGTGGACAGTTAGTCATAACTATAGTCCTTTTCTCTTTACATTAATACAATGTACATGTTTTTAGGTCCATGGGACCCGTAGAATCTGGAGTAGGCATACTAACAAGAGTACATTTAATCATACTATGTACTCTTGATACTAAGCTAAGGAATGCTGAGCTTCTCCTTGCTCAGGAATTGTGTGGAGCAAATGCGTAGTTTTGCGACAACTTGGACACTTTTGACTAGAAATCACCGGGAATATCTTTGGAAGGGCTCGTTCTCCACGTGCTCTCATTTAACTTTGGGCAAAAGGCGTACATGCCGCATGGATGGTATAAAGTACCTTGAGCTGAATGTACATACCGGTACACCCTAAGAATAGATGGTATACTTAGCCAGTACACTACTGTCTGCCATCTTGAACACTTTAACTACATGAATTTTGACCCAAGCTAGATAGAAAGTTCCTAAAGATCTCATTGGAATACTTCGAGAAGGTGCATAATATACAAGTAGGCTTTCACAGGGAGAAGGACAACTTGACGAATATTGCTGCTACCTAAAGAACATAGGTAGCCCAGGTAGCGGTGGCTGATATCAGGCGATCCCCATTTATGACTTGTTATGATTGTATTGAATGGATGTGAACAAAATGTGTGAAACTTGCAAGGAAGGCATCTGGTAGCAGTAGCATATGGCAGTGGTCACAATCATGGTCTAGCCTCACACCCAGGCACACAGTTTTGTATGTCAGCCGTAACATGATGCAGACCGGAAATTGAAGCAAACGCAACATAGCCAGTACTCCAGCAATAAAAGATAAGCAGGTTTAATCCGCACTACATGTACTATTCTGCAACAGATGCCCTGTACCAGACAGGTAAATTACTGATTTACTATGGAGAATAATCATTATAAAAATTGTTTTCGTATTGCCCACAAGAGAAGTTGCTTGATTATTCCTTAGTATGCATATGAAGGCGTTTGGTCCAGACACATTTTTTTAGCTTACATTACAATTATCCTATTGATAGTGCTCAAAAGGCTGTGGTACTCAGGAATGTATAACACGAAGTGACCGGTGTTATGCTCGTAATAAATCGGCAGGGATGTTTTCAAGATCATTTTAAATTAATTACAGTAAAAGTGCGAAATCCAGCCGTCAAGCAGTTTGTGGCATAGCAAGAAGCCGCTGAGCTCAGCCGTGTTCTCTAAGCTGCGCGACATCAGTTCATGATCAGGGGCATGCGGTCCTGCACCGCGCCAGTGTAGATGTCCGTCAGCAGCAGGCAGAACAGAACGCCGAGCAGAGATGAAATGCCTTCAGACGCGGCCATGATGGCACCGGCTGTCTCCATATCATCATCACCAACCAGAGTGGGTGCGTACATGAAAGCCAGCGAATTGCAGTAGCCGTTGGTAAAGCCTAGGACTATCACGAGAACAATGGGAGCAATATCCGAGTTGAAAATCGGTCGATGGTGGACGCTGTATTTGCAGAAAACATACAGACCTGGTAATGTGAGCCGTGCCATGATCGGAACCAGTAGGAACCGATGGCTTGGGAACCGCACCCGGCCGGGTAGAGTGCGACCAATGAAGTTCATGATTTGAAAGAGCAGAAAGCAGGTGATAGGCTGAAAGTAGGAGCAGACCCATGCCTTGTCGATGTCACTAGCCAACGTCACGTTTTCATAGCTTGTGACATCGCCGTCCTCGAACGGCATATTGCCGTCGGTAGAGGTGTTCGTAGTCAAGTTGCACGTGGACGGGCCTTCCTGCACTGAGTGAATTCTTGCAACCAATCCCGGAAAGAGACTCAGACTCACCAAGAACACCAGGAACGTCGACAGAGCCATGGCTCCCATCTTTTTCAGGATACGACGCATATCCGACATGAACGCCCTCCACGACTTCCTTCTCAGTCGCCGCTGTAACACTCGTGTGGGAAAGTAGTTTGCAAACTCCAGCTTCTCCAGGGTGAGAAAGCCGGCAGCCGTGATAGAAGTCATGATCACCGAAGTTAGGAAATAGGCAATTGCGCTCCTCTGCAGATCAGTCTTGTTCAAATGGCCCACGCCACCTGCACCCAACAGCGATAGAACATTAGATCCGGCTGCGAGCAGACCACCGAAGCCCTGGCCACTGACCACGCTCTGACGGTACGCTATCGGAAATCTGCTGGCCAGCGCGAAGACACCACCCTGGAAAATGCACGACGCCGAGTTGATGATGACAACGCTAATGATTGTGAGGATAAAGAAGGTGAGCTGCCAATCGTCTACATCCACCCACGCCAACACAACGTTGAAGCCAAACATGAGGAAGATGACAGCCAGCGAGGCCAGGATGCGAGTCTTCTCTGAAACCTTTTCAATGATGTAAGTGTTGAGGAATAGGATTAATGCTGCCGGCACTTGGGATGCAATTGCGATGTAGTTGACGATGTGCTTAGCAAGGTATTTTTCAGAGTAGAGCTGCAGGCGAAAGTACTGATCGGCCACAGGAAATGTGTACCATGGCAGCAGAGAGACGATGCCGAAGACATACAGAATCCAGTAGGTTGCCCAGAACCAATCCTTGGGCGGACCAGCTGGGTTGACAAGTGGGGTGGATTCGTCAATCCTCCTCAGGGGCCTGTCGTTATTCGGCCTGTCGTCATTCATTTTTCAATGGCCGTGGGATGCACTGGATGATATTATTTTGTACAACACGCTGGAGTATGTGACCAGCGGGGTAGGGGCACGGGTGGGACTGAATCCGTGAACGTTGCTTCGGACACGTCCACTGGCCTCGGAGAGCGACGAGCTGACCAAACAGCTCTAGGAAGACTCGGCAGGGCTCGCGTAGCAGCGTAATCAGTGAGGAGCCACCAAAGTCACTGTGTCACTCAGGTCCCTGTCTGTCTCAGCATCCTCACCTTCACTAGCCAGTGTGTGGCCGAATCGTTCCAGTCCAGGTCGCGGACACGGCGCTTGAATGAAACCGCGAATCGCTTGCCTTGCACCAAGTTGAAGTAGGCAGATGGACGAACGGATCTTCAAATCAGGAAAAGGTGCGACGCTCCTCTTCCTAGTGACGAATCCGTAGTCGATTGCTCGATGCTAATGAGTTCTGCCACGGCTCTAAAATCACAGAAAGGCCACCGCCTGGGTTGTCTTGAGAGTCGCTCGGCAAGTCGATGCTACTTCTCGTAAGCAATCCCAGACTAGACAAGAAGACCTCGACTGTACTGGTAGTTTCTTACCTGCACCAATGACTTCAACTTCAAGCACCACTGCTAGCATTATTTCCGTCACAGGGTAAATGTCGTCATGGCACATAGCTGGCGCTAGTAGTAGTAGCTGTGCGGATATCTGCTGACTGTGGACGCTTCGAATGCTTGTGTTTTGACAGTTGAAGTAGGTTATAGTTGAACCGGTTTATCGAACTGGTGCATATTGGCCTTGGCCAAACAGCACACTGCATGCAGTTTGTACAAAACGTCAAAAGTGTAGAATGATCTACCCATGGAGTTGCTGGTGCCCGTCTGAGGGGCCCGTCGCAGGTGTGTTCTGTATCTGGACTTGAACTGTTGAGGACAACGCTCTCAGTCAACAGCCGACACGTGAGCGAAGATGCTGTCACCGAGTCTGTTAGTGTTCGAAAGTCTGTTATCGTTATGTGATTCTTCTGCAATGCAAGCACTCCATCGATTCAGTCCCTGCCTGGGACTCGGAGTCGTCGGAGGCTGTGTATTCTCTGTGGCTCTCATGCTCACTCGCCGCCAGGCGTCACTGCGACAGAATGTCGCCAGGCCACGACAACAACCTTCGCTACACCAGGTGACCAACAATGACAACAGCACCATAATAGGCCATGTCAGAAGATACCTTTTTGTTGTTGAATCTCGTCCAGGAAAGGACGGCAGTTCGGGACTTCGCCTGCTCCACCCGCGCATAGCAAGCTGCAGGCCGTGCAGCCAGTCCAGTCTTGGGACTAGACAGGTCGAGCTAGGTCACAGGTGCAGGAGCTGAACAGAACCTGTCATGGCAAACCGCATGACGTCATTCAGCCTAACTCATCGTTGTGTTTTGAGTTTTTCTGTTGACAAGATCTGGATCATGCCATGTGCCTACGGCCGGCCCAGGACAGGAGAAACTACCCACAGCTTGGCAGAAGGCAAAACCCGTTCTACAGGTTGCAATCTAATTGGAAAATGTACGGTATGTGCTCATGCCATTGAAATACTCATCATGCTTTGGTCCCTTACAACCATATGCTGTACAAGGAAAACGCTTGCGGCTAGGAGTGAGTATTATACAGGTGCTAGGCAGTGAGCTAGGTACCTTGCTTGCTTTTACCCTGGCCCCAGGAATGATTCATGATGTGACACTGATGTGTGTGTGTGTGTGTGTGTGTGTGTGTGTGTGTGTGTGTGTGTGTGTGTGTGTGTGTGTGTGTGTGTGTGTGTGTGTGTGTCTGTGCATGGGCAGGTGTGCTCAAGGAAGGACGCGGCGGGTTTTGTAACTTTTGTTCAGTCACAGCAGCGCTGATCAAGAGAACGGGTGCAACAGTTGAGAGTTAAGACCACCCGTTACACTCGCGTGTACAAACTTATTCACACGTCCTCAGGGCCCGCTCATGTACTTAACTACATGATTGTATACAGTCATATTTACCATGAAACAGTGAAATGAACTTGCACATGCCATGTATTGCCATCATACATGTCCATGTCCATGCAACACACACAGTAAAATATCGGTATTGCCAATCGGGTAATATGGGGCACTGCGGGAACACCTGCTGTTACAGCATTAACATGGGAAGGATACCGTCAGTCTTATCCACCTGGTCTGCTCCGTCAGTGCTGCCATCCCTGATCCGTGATGTCATCATGACCTGATCAATTATGTCAACATGTACAATGTGCTTGTAAGTCACTGGCAAGCCACGAAAAAAACATGTTTGCAACAGGTCGGGTTCGGTGCAGAGTTAAAGTTTGTTTTATGTACGGGGTCGGTTCATACTGCCTACTCAAGCTCATTCACAGCATTCCTCCCCAGATCCTTTTCTGGATAGCAGCATACCGAACCTTGCCACTTGTCCCAATGATCAGTGAAACTAAACATACACCCGCGCGCACGTACGCACACACACACACACACACACACACACAAACACACACACACACACCGTGACACATGTACACACACACACACACACACACACACACACACACACACACACACACACACACACACACACACACACACACACACACACACACAACCACACACACACACACACACACGCACACACACAACTGGTTTTCTTGCTCATTCAAAATGCCAGAGCTGGGCTATGGATCGGGGAAATGTTTAAGGAAAAATATTGAGAAATGCAGCTTATCACATCAGGGAGTCGGTATTTGACGACTCCCTGCACTACATGTTGCATTCATTTTTCTCAAACAAAAAGACGACTCCATACATTTATTATCAACTTCAATGCAGTGCAAAAACTGTAGATTGAAAAGCAAAAAAAAACGAAATCAACGGTGCATATGCAGCATGCTCAAGTCAAGGTCTACTGTCTGTAGTGTGTCAGGTGCAAGTATGCATTTATGTGTAGGCTCCAGTTCAAGTCATGATGCTTATCATGCTTCAACTGCAGCGTGTGTTTGCTTCGCATCCGGAAAGTGCACCTGGTGGCCCTTCCTGTTCGGATTGTGCGCAACTTCAGCGTACACGTTTCCCGCTTCGTCGGGCACTGATGCATTGGACTTTTTCGATGCTCTCTGCTGGTTTGAAGCGGCACGCTGTGATCGCTGACGCTGCCCCTGAAATCCGTACGGCAGTCCACCATACGGGCTGTTGTAATACTGCTGACCATACGACTGTGGTCCGTAGCCCATGGGCGGCTGCCCGTACCCAGGGGAAGGTTGCCCATATCCGGGGGGAGACTGCCCGTATCCCGGAGGGTATTGACCATAGGGAGGATAGGCACCATATGGACTGCCATAACCGGCGGCAGCTTGAGGTGGGTACCAGTAACGAGGATCCTGAGCGGCCAGCGGGCTCACTTGTTTAGGTGAAGACTTCTTCCTCCCGGAGACGAGGCCTTTTCGCTGTACTGGCTGGCCACTTTCCATGTTCGTCAGACTCGGCTCGCTGGATGCCTTCAGAGAAGAAGTGGCCACTGGTGTGCCAGCAAATGTCGATGGACGTTCCTTTCTCTTGATGGGCCTGTCTGCAGCGACGGGCTCTTCCATGCCAAGTTCATTGATGTCGGGCAAACTACCTATGTGTGCGTTCAAATATCCAGTTTGGCTTCCAGAGCGCATGTCATCGCCTTGTATTGCCTTGCGTGCCGCGGCGCTTCTCTTGCGACGAACATCAGCACTGTCAGCCTCCGCTGCTGCCTTTGCTGGCTGCGAAGGCTGCTGTCTCTTGTGACCCGGCAAAGACCGTGTGCGTGGCATGGTGTCTTGATCGGAGCTATCCCTGTCCGAGCTCTGCCAGCTCTCCGTGCGTGGCATGCTCAGTCGTTCGATGGTGTGTCGCTTTGGAGGGGCTTTGCGCTGGAAGGACTTCTTGCGCGAGGGTGCTTCCTGCACCTGCTGTCCATTGTCAGGAACAACCCTCCCCGTCGTGGTGCCGTCCGAGCTAAGCACGGACAGTGCTGGTGGCTCGTCTGGCGTTGTCTGGCTCTGGCCATCCGGACCAGGGTAGATGTCCTTGCGAGCACCCATACTCAGTTGGCCGGCACCCTCTCCTCCTGCTTTCCTAGTGCCGCGGGCTAGCCGTGTGATTCTCTCGCTGTCCGACTCCAGTTCGTCAAAAGAGTTGTTGTGCTGCCCGTAGTCATTTTCAACAAACACCACGTCGTCGACGATCTCAGGAATAGGTGCTCCCTGATCCTGTAGCGCCTCCTTTTCCTTCTTCAATACCAGAGCAATGTTGGGCATGGCTTTGTTCTCGGCCAGTGGGTCATCGAGTCGCAGTCCTCTAGACAACTCTATAGCACTGCGACTCTTCTCCAAGATCTCCTCAGCCGGGTATGTTATGACGGGACTGCTATCTGCACTAGCAATGCCGTCGGCATCCGCCCTCTCCATCGGCAGCGCCAGCTGCGACATTCTCTTCTTGCTCTGACCGTCCGACGACGCTCCAGTGGGTTTACTGCCTGGGCTTTCCGCTGGCTTACTGGCTCCAGGCATGACAGTGAACGCGGATGGCAATGGGGCTAAGGACATCACAACATCATCGAATGATGCTTCCTGCCGCTTGCTACCTTTAGCTCGGTTCGATTTCTTCGCAGATGACCACCGCTGCAAGGAGTTGGTGCTACTGCCACTTGACACGATCATGTGAGTTGTATCCGTTGCCACAGACAGACCGTCACTACCCAGGACTATTGGCCGTTGCTTGATGAATATCAAGGAGTTGGCCGCCAGCTGCTCATGCTCCTTCAGCTTGCTGAGGGCGCTAGACGCATGCTGGTAGTAACGCAGCAGTGCAAAGCCAGTGCCGATGACGAGAACACAGAATGCGATGGTGAAGCCCAGTGAAGACTGGCACTTGGTCGAGACTTGCAGCGAGCCGTTAGCCAGGCCTGCAGCTAGCCAGGTCATGAGGTATGCCAGTGGTATAGCCACACGGCCGACGGGCAGGTGGAAGAGTTGAGTGCACTCGGACCGCACGCACAGCACGTACGCTCGGAGTCCAGTGACAGTGGCAAGCAATGTCAACAGGGCCGCAGGACACAGCATCATAACAATCATCGCTGTCTCGTTCTGTATCCAACAGCTGCAGGTGTGAACAACCATAAAACAAATATCTTGGTTTACTACATATGCTCCATGCACATTGGGCATGTTCCTAGCCTCACCCGGGGTAAAACAAACCCGTTGGCGAACACCAACTCACGTGCTTTGACTGGAGTATGACAAAAGCCTAATTACTGTTCGAATCGTCCTTGGATTTGGAGCGCTCTTTGAGCCTATCGAGAAGCCAGATTTTGTCCTAATGTGAAGCCAAGGTAATCTGTTTCTTTTAAAAGTCATGGAAGCTCATTTCTCTAGTCTTGGGAGTGGGTTTCCATGTCAGTTTATAAGGGACTGCAACACACACACACACACACACACACACACACACACACACACACACACACACACACACACACACCTTGACCTTGACCTTTGACGCCCATCGCCGGAGGCGATGATAGCAATGCTTCGGCAGAAGCCATAGCAACTTGTGCTGGGATTACACCATTCAACAGCTTGCAAGGCTGAAGAATTGACCGTCACTATTCAGCCTGGTCTACACCATACAGCTATTTGGAGTGACAATTTCTGGCCAGTGAATCCCTATTTTTGGTCTTTTTCATTTTTTCTTCTTCTTTTTTTCCCCCGCACACACACATCACACCACATACTCCGGCATGCACTGGCTGTTGGTAACCACCCAAGAGAATGAAAGAAAAGTCAGGAAGAGTCTGAGAAAGAGAAGAAAGACGTACACACACACACACACACACACACACACACAAATCACCCAGCAGGATAAGCAACAAACAAGGACACGCCAATATGTACACACACACACACACACACACACACACACACACACACACACACACACACACACAAATCACCCAGCAGGATAAGCAACAAACAAGGACACGCCAATATGTACACACACACACACACACACACACACACACACACACACACACACACCCGCACACACACACACACACACACACACACACACACACACACACACACACACACACACACACACACACACTTGTACTTATACTTGTACTTGCTCACTGCCAAAACTGGTCACGTGGGTCTCCCCGGGAGAAGGGAGAGAGACTCAAAAGGAATCTTGGAAAGATGACTCAATTGGCTATTGAACCGCCCAACGGCCGACGCCCCCTGAAATCCCCAAACTAGGGTGGACTTGAAATGATCCCACTTATGGGATCACCACACCTCAGTAAGTGGGTGAGGACAAGGTGCAGAAAAAGGATTGACGGCACTCAGTGTCAGGGTATCCGTCCCGGGATCTGCAACCGCAGTTACCCCTGCCCACAGTGAAGGTAATACTTGCTACTAGTGTGGGTGGCTAAATCAGAGTGGATCTGATCTAAGCTGCACTAGCACCATTGATTACACAAGAGTTAATCTAGCCAGAAGCAGTCCATGGTTAACAGGTATGTATACTTGAAATAGAATGTATATGAACCATGAAACCAACAAAAGTGGCAGGTACAACATTACGCCTTCAAGCAGTCAAGACTGTTGGCAACAGACCCAACACTATCTGGCACAAGTGTACCAACCACACACACACACACACACACACACACACACACACACACATACACACACACACACACACACACACACACACACACACACACACACACACACACACACAGTGTTTGCACCACCATGACTGGCAATATGTGGCTACACTCTCCAGTCAAGTGGCTTACATTTGTCGGTTGATCGTAGCCATTCCAGTCGGATCTGACAATGATGAGCCATACAGGTTCTTGGATACATTGGACGCAAGATGGAGAACGAACATGAAGAGAAGTGGAATACCTGGGTGCAAAGACACAAACACTTACAGATTACTCAGTGTCCTTCCCGTGGCTGTCAAGTTTTCTTCAGACTGTCCCCGTTTGAACTCCCTCAAATTTTTAAAAAGAATAGGTTTGTAAAGAAAAGAACATCTATCGGCTAACACCAGGCACAGTGACGCACATACAGCGCTTCATTTTGACAGCCATGTTCTCCTCCAGCATTTCTACAGCGGGTTGTTCCTGAGACTGAGCAGGGGAGCAACTGAGCAGGCAACAGCGAAAGATATGCTGCTGGTGATGGGCGCATAGAAGCACACAGTGACAGTGAACCTGCCAACAAGGTACTGAGTGGATACTAGTACTACGTACTGGCACGGTGAAGTGATGACTTTGCGCCTATGGGGTGAGAGTGTGAAGCCGGAGACGATGAAGTGTCCAAGTGCTAACGATAGGGTAAGGTGTGACTGCATCGATGTACTAACAGTGGAATATATTATAAGTCAGTACGACCTGATGGATATGTTGTTGTGCTACAGTGCACCTTGGGATTGGTGACTTGTATGTACTGCAAAAAGTATAATGCGATAGTGCACATTGTGCAGGCCCGCCAGAACCAGTCTGATTGGTCAGGTCATCGCCGGACCAACGTTTTGGCCACCAATGCATCTTTGTTGCTAAGGAGGTCATGTGTACCCGCCATATCATACAAAAGTACATGTATGAAAAATTTAGAGTGGTATAGCCAGACCAATCAAAAACTGCTTCCGGCTCTCCTGGTGTGTAGTCGCAAGTCATGTCCACACATGCCACCGGCATACCCGTGCGCAGGGCGATATGCAGTCTCATCCAGTGCTTGACCTCATCTGCCCCAATCACTCTCCACATCTCCCTTTATCACTGTACTGCCCGGTATGGCAATGGAAGTGATCTGGTAGAGAGCTGCATGTACTGTGCGGCGTATGCAGCGCAGCTCCAATAAGATGTGTACAGTCAACTTCACGTATAACGACACTCGGCAGGGCATCGGAAAAGTGTCCTTATTCGCGAAGTGTCCTTATACCCGAAGTCTCATTATATGTATTACAGTTGGATGGGACTTTGCTCTGGGCATGGGAATTCTGTCGTTATTCGCGAATTGTCGTTATATCCGCAGTCGTTATTAGCGAAGTTGACTGTATTCCGCATGGGAAACAGCACATTGTGCTTAGTATCCAAGGTACCCAGTCAACTAGCTAATCCCAGCATACTTCAGTATTGATACACCCGTGCCCAGGACAATGTCCATGCTAAGCAAGTGTCTGTCTTATCAGAGAATGTACTAGGTGAATTCCACTATAGTTTGCTTGCACTCTACAACACTATGCAGACCCGCTATTCTTTTGGAAGGTAAAGTCTGAGGCACTAAAGCACTCGAATTGTTGCCCGGCAATCAGTTGCTGGGCCTGGATCCTTCAGGGGGTTGGTGGAATACCCACGATGGGGAAAACTCAGTATAACCGGGTCTCATGCTGCCGTGAACCGTGAATCAGTTGCGATACAATGCAGGTCATGCTCCCTGGTCTTGTTTTGTCGAGCAAACCTGCTGGCTCAGTGTGTCAAAGTCGTTTGCCTCAGTGCAAGGCTCGCCGTGCTACTTAAAGTCAGAGTACTTTGACTTTGATGCTTGAGCCTGTTTTTTGTTGTTCACTAGACTTGATAGCAATCAGCTTGGCGGGTCACTCTGAGCTCCCCTGATCCCACCCTACAAAGGTCAAAACAGTTAGCCATTTCGCAGATTGAGGGATAATTCCCAATAGAGGTTTCCACCTAGCAATGTATCTCCGCCGCCTTTCATAAGGCGTTCTCTCAGTCGCCTGAGCAAAGGCTAGGAAGAGAGATGCATTAGGCCATAGTTTTGCTTTGCTGCACCATTCCCAGGTGCAAACCTGGAGAGCTAAGTATATTTTAACCTAGTGGCACACACACAAACACACACACACACACTCTCTCTCTCTCTCTCTCTCTCTCTCTCTCTCTCTCTCACGCGTCCACGCATGTGCACATACACACATATTAATGTTGCTTCTTAGTGCTTACCATAATTCACGACACATGCTATGACCAGAACGTTCAACTCCAGCGGACGGACAGTGTTCATGTGGCGAGCGCAGACCAAGTTGATCACATGCTCAGTTGCTATCCAGAAGAACGACGAGAGCAAGATGAAATAGAAGGCACTGCCGAGTCCAGTGCAAGACTCCGCTGATAGGAAAGAACCCGCACTTCTTGGAATGTTGATGATGATGTAGAGTGCAAGAGCAAGACCGCATGTAATCAGCGTGTGAAACTGGATCTTGAGCAGGAGTGGCTTGACATTGAATCGTTGCCTGCATACATGGAACATATGAGAAGATACGCAGCATGCTGAGCATCCACATTGAGGATCATAATAAGGTCTCTCCCCCCCCCCCCCCCTCTCTCTATCTCTCTGTCTCGCTATCTCTCTGTGTATCTATCTACCGGCGTATTCACTTGAGCATAACGTACACCTTAGTACAATGCGCACTAAAGAGGAAACCTAAACGGGTGACGGTGCAACAGAGCAACTAGAACACGTGACGTACAACAGAGCAACTAGAACACGTTGTGTACGTACAACACTGTAAGCACATGTAGAGCATAAGCACCGGCCATACCTGTAGATCAACTGGAACAGGAGAGCTGTGACTACAATCACCAGCCCGACGCCAGTGCCAGAGAGAGACACTGCTGAAACGGTGTTCCAGTCAACATCCGTGCAATTCCGATTGTCCACTGTCGCCGGTGCCTGTCAACAGCATGCAGCCGCAGCAGCATAGCAAAGCAATTAGTTGTGAAAAGCAGAGAACAGAACGCTAATGTTGAACAACACGTGCCCATTTTTGATATCGTACGGTTGGAAGACAGCACCCTCTGATCAGGGCACCGGATGTGCTCCCAGCATCACTGTACATATTCTCCCAATCAGTCAGTGGTGAGTAGCCGCCAACGAAATCAATGTTCGTTGGAATCTTCTCACCCCAAAGAGTGTGCAACTCCGCTATGGGTACTGTCCCGACAGAATTCAAGTTGACGCCATTTTTTATAATGCAGTGCGCATTGTACACGTATCGCCAGACGTATCCTGGACTTGTGGCGCCGGACAACTCCCTATTGGATCGTGTATAACTGTTTTCAAGGAAACACATGCGATGTGTTCACACGAACGTTGCAAAGCACTCGTGTGAGGAGCATTGCCTCATAACTTCAACAATAAACATGACGTCAACTTAAAACATTCTGTTGGGACAGCAGGGTATGCAGGGTATGCAGGAGTTGCGCACACTTGGGGCCGCCGTTACACGTATGTACTCTTGAGTATACACGACCTGTAGCAGCTCCATCCAACGATACCACCAAGGCAACATCCTCTTTCAACCAGAGCTGTGGATCACATTTTATGTAGCTCAGTGACTGGCAGTAATTTGCACACATCCTAGTATCTCCACAAATCGCCACAATGGCATTCAACAAGGCATGTCCCCCCCCCCCTCCCCCTCCCTCTCTATTCCGCTTAGTCCGATTATACTATACTTTCCAGCACATGCATTTGCAAACAAAGCAGCACTGCAACTTTACTGTACCCACCCTCCCTGAGGCATGTTACACATTCACTACAATTGTACCCACCCTGAGGCATGTTACACATTCACTACAATGCGGCCTGAAAGTCACCACCATGGACCATGGTTCAAAGCCACAATTTCAGTAGCGCAGCAGTCCGCATATCAGCTGCGTCTGTCTGCCTGTACATCTACGCACTTAGTCTTCTTGAGTGACATTGACTGATAAGCGATTCTAGCAATGCATGGTTCTATTCGGACTGTGATAACCGCCCCAGAACCACCTTCTGAAGATCCGTCAAGATTTTTCTCTAATAAGTCATTCATGACCAAAATAAGTTCCGGTGGTATGCGTAAAAAAACGTGAGAGAAAGCAACATTGCCAGCGGGGTAACGACTTCAGATCAGAATCACCTGAGCTGTACCGACCATACCTGTGAAGCGGACTCCAGGGTGGATGACGAAGTGGACATCGTCAACGTGCCTCCAGGCTAACCAACGACGCCGCAGTCGCAGGCAGCGGTTCTTTTTCGGTCCAGGAAACGTGTTATTATTGTGAAGGATAGCGAGCAGAGAACGACCTATCTAATCAGTTGTAATGTCCTCCTGCTTGCAGATCTTGGTTGGTCTGGCGTCCTCCGTGCTCCGCCGGTTTTCGGTCCTTCCCGACGTTACTCACTCCTCAGATAGAGTAGTGAACGCGCCAGGCATGGCGATGATATGGTCAGTGCAATGACCTGCTCACTAAAAACTCTCCGGATCTAATTTCAATTCTGCACGCCGCCAACGCAGCTCCTGTCGTGGCCTGTGACACGGATACTGTGGCTGGCAATGACTGGCTGCTTCTCATACGACTGCTCTCTTTGGCAGATTGGCAGCGAGTCGACCACATCATGTGCATAAACACAGACAGTGGTTGTCGCTTTACGATGATGACAAAATCTTCCCGCAACGAACCAACTAGCTTCATTTCAGCAGCTCTTCAAGTAAACATGACCGTGGCTCAAGCTTCGCGCCACGCACTGTCCGACAGTTTCGTACGAAGTCACCTGCCACGGTGCAGTTCGCAGTAAGGTGAACGTCTAATGGTCTCCCCACTCTGCCACTTTGCGGTCGTTAGCCAAGGCACTGTTCCCACGATGTTGACACGAACACTTCTCAGCTTGCTGCCGACACGATGGAGAGAGGCGCACAGAGAACAAGGGAAACCGGGTGACGGTCAGATGGACGGTTGACATCTCGGATGAGATTTGAATGAGCGACGTAGAGCTACGTGGTGTTGAGTCTGAACAATCCAGACCGAAATCGGAAGGCGCTACATTCAAGCTGCTACATCAGTCATCATGTACAATGTACAGTACCAGTGGGTAGCCAGGTCAGACAGTACTGCCACTACTGCCACTAGTAGTAGTACTACTGCCAGGCACTGGTTCTACAGACCTGTGTTAGACTTAGTCTTAGATATAGAGTGGAGTGTAGTCACAGATGGAGTAAGCAAGACTTAGTACAAACTAGTATTACGTGCGCTCTTCGCTGGAAAACTCTCCGCAGTGACAGGTACCCAGGTTGAACAGCAGATATGACAGTTACATGCAGTACATGAACCGTTTCTGGCCTTGATCCACAATGCAGTTACTCACATTACCCACACAGGCAATTTTGTACACAGCCTCAGGCAGACATCACTGTGTGCACTATTGCTGACCTGGATGATCTCTACACATGCAGTGTCTGTATCATGTGTATGCGCAGGCGGTGGACATAAGCCTATTTTCAACATCAGCTTGGCTGCTTGGCGTGGCGAACAAGCAGACAACCCGCTGGTAATTTTGACGGCCTTGTGTTAGGAGCACTTCCACTGACACGACAGTGCAATTACATCACAATCATGATGCCACCGTCGGCCACTGGCCGCCAGCCATCGCACGCTAATGACGACGACGGCGACGGCTCAGGTTTCAAATCACCGGAGCTAGAGTGCAGGTGAGTCAGTATATCAATGCAATGATTGTTACATACAGTGCTGTGCTGTGCTGGACTGAGGGACAACAACACCCTTCCGTACTCATCTGTCGGGAGCAACTCTAGGTTAACTTAAAGAACTGAGCAACAGCTGTCTACTTAACCTCCTGGAAAATCCAGTACAGCATGAAAATAATAATTAATTACAACACACCCACAGTGCCATACCGGGCACAAGCCTACAAGTAACTTATCCCGGCAAACTATCGATGAGACAATAATGTTGCAGCTGTTCGGCCCCTCGTCTACGAAAGACCGCCTGTAGTAGACGGACTTTCTCTCACACAAACCACTATATATTGCACTATTCATTGCTGGCACCACCAGGCCGGTCTCTTGTTACCTACCGTGATTAGAATCTGTATCCTTCCTACACCGCCACAAACCATACACACCACATCCAGCATCATCATCCTCTTGACCGACAGACACACCTCCAATCGTGCAGCAGTGCCAGGCCCAGCCTTGGTGTAGATAAAAGATCTAGTATTGCTCCAGCCCATCACCATGAATGCATTATCACTGGCAGAGGCTCAGTCACCGGAGTATACACTGTATCGGGACTACAGCAGGACAGGATCCGCCAGCACGACAGTCCAGACAGCCAGTCAGAGTGTCCAATGACGGCTACGAAACAAATCTGGGCACACTGCCACCAGCTAGCAGGCTAGGCATGGTGTGCAATTCCCTTGAGGATGCATGTACATGTACATGTAGGGGCTGGAGTAACCTTGACAACAGTCATGTGTACAGACAGTGCAGTGCCATGCAAAGTCAAACGCTGTTCAAGAAAGAACCGTGCATGCATGATTTCATGGCAAGCTGTGCAGTCGCTTGGACAGCACGGTGCGGTAGTTGTTCTACATCCCTCACTCTGGCAAAACTCTGCCACCTCATGACACTCATAGCTATACAGCTGTAGTAAGCTGCATTAGCTCTTTGTAAGCATAAGAACTTCTTCATTTGTAAGCATAAGACCCTCTTCCTTTATAAGAATAAGACCCTATACTTTGGCACAAGAGTACATGGGGTTATGTACTCTTGCTTGACAGCCACAGGATAAGTACATATTTATGTTTGGATGCTCTTAGTGTAGTGGTCCTGTCAGCTCTTCAGGCTATTATTGTTGATGATAATATGAACATAAGTATTGCCATGTACACATCTTCTATATTGAGCTTTCATTAGTTAGAAGACCCCCCCCCCCCCCAGACTCTTGGATATGTACTTTTATTTAGATGCTCCAGTCGGCTGATTGAAGACCCCTTTTAGTCTTCAATTAGCATGATAACCATTAGGATCTCACTAAGCTATTTATTTCAGAACTCCATTTCATTCGGATGCACTTTTCGAATTCCTTTGCATTCCTATTCGAACTTCCATCCTTTGACTGGAGATGACTATTCTTCCCGTAACCTGAGTGTTCTACTACTGTAGTCCAGTGCCAGTGGCCTTACTAATAGCAAGAGTACATAAGTCTTGCTAATAGGGAGGTTTAATCCCACGTAATCCGTGTGTACTTTATGTGTGTGTACCACGTGATACTCAGTGACCCACGTACAGCCGTTTTCTGATTCACGACATACCGCGTACCGTGCATGGAGGATCACCCACGTTCCGCCAGAACGTGGGTGAAAATCAGAAGGGAGCGCATTGTGAAACTGTGAGCGTGCTCAGCTGAAGAAGTTTCCGAAGCACGAAATCAAAATATTCGATGAGCTTCGAAGCTTTGTCTTTGACCAAGTTTGGGCCTATCGTTTCATGCTTTTGCTTGTTCCGTGTTGTAAAAACAACATTACGAACGTGGGTCCATTGCATGAAATTTACGTGTATCATCCACGTTCCCGTATCCGTTACGTGGGACTAAACCTCCCTAGTATCTTGGGTCCACAACACAGCCCTCGCCTTTGCCAGTCGATCAGTACCAACACGTGAATACCACAGAATAGTGAACACCACTAGTGAATAGAACAAAGCAGGCACTCGACTACTACTGTTGTTCACACTACTGTAGTCTACATGTTGCACAATGGCATCGCTAGCTGCTTCAAAGCGCACACCTACAGAGTTAACCATTAACTTTAGTATTCATTTGGTCGAGGGAATCAGAAATGGGAAAGGTCTGAAGAACAAAAACTGACCGTCACCACCAGGACTGGAACAAGGGAGCCTCGCATATGGCCAGCGGATGCTCTACCACTATGGTATGGTGCAGGCGTCATTCAAGCAGCGACTGTTCAACATTCTCTTCAGACTTGGTAAACCTAACTCTATAGTCCAAAAGAAAATGATCATGGTATGATCATGGTATGATCATGGTGACACATCGCACTGAACTTGTCACCGGCTAAAAAGTATCAAATCTTAAAGAAAAGGTGGGTAATTTCTGGAAATAGGCCATACAGACAGCACATCAAAATAAAACATCGGGAGAATGCTACTGAACAAGAGAAGGTAAATTGAAATTATGTCGTCTACAAAACAAAATTACCCTAATCATAATCTAAGTATAACCACAAAACCTAGAGAAGCGAAGAGATCCATAAAGAACAATAAAAACATGAAGCCGTTGAAGCTAGAAGACTAGAAGAAAGAGAAAATAACTTTAAAAAGTGCAGATTTTCAAGATGGAAGAAATTTCAAACTCAACCACACGGGTAACACCTGATAATGATCAGTGGCCAGCTGGCACACACACACAGACACACACAGACACACATACACACACACACACACACACACACACACACACACACACACACACACACACACACACACACACACATACAGCTGAGCACAACGTGTTGATGACGTGTAGCGTGCACACAAGGAAAGTGTGAATGGTCGTGACTCGTGACATTGAACGTTGATTGTTACTACTGCTCCTCTGGTTTGGAGTCTTGGAGATTAAAAACACGGCGGTTTGAGACAGTGGTCTCGGTTTGCGTCAGCGTCAGGGCATCTGTTTGGTCTGAAGGCTCATCACCCGGTGGTTGAGGCTGGGGTCTAGCATCATTATGCTGCTCAGATGACAAACCAGCTATACTTTCCACGGCCTCTGGAGGTATGTTGGAGTCTTTGGACTGAGCGTTGGCAGTAGACTGATCGCGTTGGTCCTGCTTCTTCTGCGATGGTCCATGATCTTTCTCATTGTCTTTTGTGTCTGCATCTGTCTCGCTGTCCTCACGATCCTCATACACCGAATCACGATACCTGGTGCGGCCGGGTAATATGTAGAGGATTGCCGTGTCCAGCACCGTGGGAATGATGGTGATCATGCAGATGCTGGAAACAAGCTTGGTCAGCAGACTCGACCAGCTGAACATACCTGCAGCACACACACACACACACACACACACACACACACACACACACACACACACACACACACACACACACACACACACACACACCAGGTCACACGACACATTCCCTGTCACATGACACGCTCCAAAACCCCTGGCACATGGCAAGTATGCTCCTTGGTTGTTGCCTCGCTGGTCACACAGACACGCAGTAAGTGCTCAGCCAGCTTAGCCACGACAACACAGAACAACATTGTTTCTGTCTTTTGATTCTGCATTTTAAAGCACAATTTCCCATACAAGGCAATGTCCACTCAGGGTGGGGACACCTAATAGTCTAGTGCCATACAAGGCAATGTCCACTCATTGCTGGGGATGCCTAATAGTCTAGTGCCATACAAGGCAATATTCCCTCAGTGCTAGGGATACCTAATAGTCTAGTGCCAACTGTGCCATACAAGGCAATGTCCACTCATTGCTGGGGATTAGTGTCAGACCAATTTGCTCGGCCAACATCGATATTTTGCGGCAAAATTTTGCCCGCACGTCGCAGATATCCTGCTTGGCAATGCCGCGCTCACTCGAAATTTTGCTCAGATTTTGCTCCGAGAGAAAGTTTTTGTCGAGCAAGAGTTCATAAGAGCTCATGGAGGTCACAGTATGAACTCTTGTTGAGGCCATGTATCATTATCAGCAAGAGTACATAACCCGGGGGTTACTCAACCCGGGGGTCATGTACTCTTGCTATCAGTATTATAGTTTGGATATCGTAATGGCGTCCAACATACCCGATCTTATAATCGAGGACGAAGAATGATCAGACTCCCGCTCCTGATCCATCGCCAGGCGAGCGGCAGGTGGAGTTTATGGCTCGGTTTCGCAGCCCCAATATGTCAGAGATGTTGAGGAAAAGAAGTTCTCCTTCCAACTTCTCTCCGGGAAATGCGGCGAAGCGCTCCAGTCCTGGTCGGAATGACCATAGTGGATCAAGTTTTGTACGTAGTGTGTCGCCAAAGAAGACGATTGAAGTGTTTCCTGAGCAGTGTTTGGTAGTAGATGCCGGAAAATTGTTCTGCTCTGCCTGCAGAGAAGAGCTAGGCACGAAGAAAACCTCTATCTCCTCACACGTGCGGTCAGAAAAGCGCCAAAAAGTGAAGGACAAGCTAGCAACAAAGGTCACGGGTGTTGAAACAATTATCTCAGCACCTGAAGTCATATGCCGAGCAATTCCATCCTGTTGGGGAAAATTTTCCGGAAGATGTTCGTCTATACCGGCTCCGTGTCACTCAGGTTCTGCTGCAGGCTGGTATTCCCATCGAGAAAGTCAAACGTGACTTTAGGGATCTTCTGGAGGAGAATGGTTTCCGTTTGACTGCCAATACCCATATGAGGGAGTGTATTCCCATCGGTCATGGCATGTTTAAGAAAGACATACGTGAAGAGATCGCCGGCAAGAGCATTGCTATTGTATTCGACGGCTCAACTCGATTGGGAGAGGCAGTTTGCCCTGGTCACCAGGTACGTCACTGATGATCTGCGTATTGTGCAACGCTGGGCAAGCCTTAAGTGCGTTGAGAAGTCAATGTCCGGCAATGACGTGAGTGGACTGCTAATGGACATCATCATTGAGGACTTACACGTACAGCGTCACAACGTTGTAGCAGCAATGCGAGATGGAGCCTCTGTGAATGGTCTGGCTATGAAAAATCTACAGGATGTATTCCCGAATATGTTCGACATTACGTGTTTCAGCCATAC